GTTGGTAGGTATCAAGGCTGTATCTGTGTGCGCAGAGACAGCAACACCTCAATTGTTCAAGGTATGTTGTTAAACCAATAGTATATGGCTGACGTACCTCAACGGTGTGCCAGGATATCGAAGACGGGAAGTATCGCGCTATAGTTATCAATCCCGAATTGTTGATGAAGGAGGGCGGGGGCTTTGAACGTCTATGGAAGAACCAAGACTTTGCGTCTCGGATCATCAGTATTATCTGGGATGAAGCGCACTGTGTCAGTCTCTGGAGTGCGTTTCGTACGGAGTACAGGGATGCCTACCGCCTGCGTTATCTTTTGCCTCATGTGCGCTTTGTGTTAGCATCAGCCACGCTGCCCGAGGAGATTCAAATCGAGGTTATGCGAATCTTAATTATGTAATGTAGGTAGCATATTTCATGAAGCGCCCAGTCGCCCAATCGAGGGGACTACCCTCCGAGCGCCGCTGTTTACCAATGTTTTGTGCCAGCCGTCACAGGGAGGTGAGGGGGATTAAGATTGTGGAGTTTGAAATTTTGAATAGTGCACGTGATATATGTGATGGGATCTATGATATGATCTTCCCTAAGCTATTGGGGCTTAGCATGAATTCCGCCCTCGAATGAAGTCCCCCTCACCTCCCGAAGACGGCGGGAAGGAGCCTGGGAACATATCTGACATGTACATCATCCAGAAATAACCTATTTTCACAAGCCACCTCTGATTTCGAAACTATCATCTCTGACTCGTACTCGACCTATTATGGTTGCTATGGTTGCTGTTGAGGACTTGGATAAACATAGGTATCGCCGTTGCATGTGGTCCCGAGACTGATGAGAACGTTCTGTCAGGTACGTGTATTTACGATGTCCCCGGGCAATATGGAAGCAGCGATAATTAGGGAGTATGATCACACATCGTCCAGGCACAGCATTGACTACCGCCAGTCTCAAGTCTCATCCTGCGGCATATATAAGGCTACCACCATGACAGCGAGGGCATTGGCCTCGTTATCGACATCGCCATGCTGTTCGCTGCTCGGCTGGCGACCGCGCTGACGCTCGGCCTCTCCTTGACAGGCCTGGCCTTGTCCGAATTGTCTCCTCGGGTCGTTCACGAGTCGCGTAGCGCCGTTCCATCCGGGTGGACGCTCGTCCGCCGCGCCGAGCCTCATACCACCCTCCCACTTCGCATCGGTCTTGCACAGTCGAACCTGGAGAACCTCGAGTCCTACATCCTCGACGTGTCGCACCCCGAGTCGCCAAATTACGGCAAGCACTGGAGCCCAGCCCAAATCGCGCAGACCTTCCGTCCATCCGCCGAGTCTGTTGACACGGTTCGCACATGGCTGGTCGAGAGCGGCATCGAGGCACACCGCGTCAAGCTTAGCAAGAGTGGTGGGTGGTTACTCGCCAATGTCACAGTCTCGGAGGCCGAGTCGCTGCTCGGTGCGGAATACTATGTATATCAGCACGATGTCGAGGAACAGCCCGAGCACTTAGCGTGCGCAGGGAAGTACCACCTTCCGGAGCATGTATCGAAGCACGTCGAGCTCGTGACACCGACGCTGCATTTCGACGCAAAGCTCAGGAGGAGGAACGAACCGTCCGGAAATGCACGCACGATCGGGCAACCCGGACAAAGTACGAGCTACCCCAAAACCACTGGCACGATCTCGGTATGCTTGGCGGACCCTCAGAGCGGTTTTATTACTCACTCTATACCTGTCCTTCTTAGGAGGTTCTCACCGAGCTTGAGGACTGTGACGAGCGGATCACACCGATATGTCTGCGGGCGCTGTACGACTTTGTGTACGAGCCGCTTGTTCCTAACAAGAACACTATTGGTATCGGTAGGTCGTCGCAATTAATCTGCAGATGAGCTAGCTTATGCGTGGACGGACAGTCGAATACACGCCGCAAGCGTACGTTCCCACTGATCTCGACATATTCTTCAGTAACTTTTCGTCCGAGCAAGTGGGCGAACGACCGACTCTCGTCAGCATTGATGGAGGTGAGAATTGCCGGTGTTTATCCGCTTATGCGCATTTTGAAATCCCTCAAATCTCCCACACGGCATCGTCCGTGATTCCAAGCTATGGCATGCTGAGTGATTCGTTCACAGGGTTTATACAAAGCAACCAAACGGGATTCGATTACAATGGAGAACCCAATCTCGATCTGGAGTACGCCATGTCCCTTGTGGGTCCCAAGCAACCGGTCACGCTCTATCAGACAGGAGACGATGTAGAAGGTATACGTTTTGCACCTATACATTATGTCTGTGGGATAAATCGTCATAATCGCACTCAGGCGCCTCGTTCAACAACCTCCTCGATGCCCTGGATGCGTCTTACTGCACATATGAGGGCGGTGATGACCCGACAGAGGATGGAATCTATCCAGACCCTTACGGAGGATATGAAGGTAAGCTGGCCTGGCGACAACAAGTACGCGTTCATGAAGCATCCCTCTGTTGTTTTTCTCCTAGGCCCCGAGGCATGTGGGACGGTGACGCCTGCACACATCATTTCCACGTCCTACAGCTCCAACGAGGCCGATCTCACGCCCTTCTACATGGAACGCCAATGTTATGAATATGCAAAGGTAAGCACACGAGTCTTTTGCATTCGATATATGCTCATACATTAGACTGTCATTACGACGTTCTAGCTCGGACTAATGGGTATCACTTTCCTGTACTCCTCCGGTGACTATGGTGTCGCTGGGTATGGAAACGTCTGCCTTGAGCCTAACGGCACGCAAGCCGTCGGCGCACCGATATTCAATCCCACATTCCCTTCGACGTGCCCTTACGTGACTAGTGTGGGTGCGACGCAGGTCAACCCAGGCGCTGCGGTGCGTTGTGCGTGTCTTGAGTGGCGCATGATCCTGACACGCGCACCTCAGGTATATGAACCAGAGAGCGCGGCGGATCAAGTGATCTACTCGAGCGGCGGCTTTTCTAACGTGTTTGCGATGCCGAGCTACCAAGAGACGGCCGTCAAGAATTACCTGACGAAGTACCCACCGCCATACTCTCCGGAACTCTATAATACCTCGGGCACTTCGCGTGCATTCCCCGATCTCTCTGCTAACGGGTGTGTCCAGCATGGCTGTCAGCCCTCCTTTTCTCACTGAATCTCATTTGGTTGTCTCAGTGTAAATTATGCGATCACGGTTCAGGGCGAGTGGTACCTCGTTTACGGAACGTCCTGCTCCTCGCCCGTGATGGCGGCCATCCTCTCCGCGGTCAATGATGCGCGCTTGGCTGCTGGCAAGAGCACGATCGGTTTTATCAACCCCACCGTGAGTTATTTTTCGATGTCCATACCTACAACAGTTCTGATTATAAGGCAGATCTACACTCCTACATTCATGGCGGCGTTCAACGACATCACAACTGGTTCAAATCCCGGTTGCGGCACAGAGGGGTTCTACGCTGAACCCGGATGGGACCCTGTTACAGGGGTCGGCACCCCCAACTTCGCCAAGCTTCTCGCGCTCTGGCTTCTCTTGCCTTGACGAAGAACCGGTGTTCTGTGTAAGCGGTATGTGTAAAATACATTACGGATATCACTGGAGTCACATGCGGTATATGTGAGCTGGTGGTTATCCAGACGCACAACGTTCAATGTTCCTTCGGGCTGGGGTTATACATAGTAGACAAGATGCCAAATGTCATACATGTTATTGTGCGCAAACTCCAAAGCTAGATCATAACCAAACATAGTTGCAAAGCGAAGCAAGAAACATGCGACGGCGTTCATGAACCTTACGAAAAATTGTCGTTCCGAGTCGTAAAAATCATCATCAGGCTCAACGAATGCTCAGGATGCCGCTGCTGGTGCTGCCCGTGCCCATTCTACTCCCCTCCTTAGCGTCCTTCCCCTTCTTCGGCTTTGGCATCTCCCACACACGCCAGAACTTGAGGTTCTCGTCACCCGCCCCGGTGCAAACGAGATCCCCGCCAGGACCGAGTGCACTCCACAGTACTCGAGAGTCATGAGCATCGCGAATTTCCACGACACGCTCCATTGATGGGTATGCATGGATCATGAGTGAGTTTGTCGGATACCCGTGCGTTGTCAAAAATTCTTTCTTGTGCGGCGACCACTGGATCGACGTAACCTGCGACGGCGTCGTCAGCGAGTGCAGTCGCGCGCCTGTCGTCGTGTTCCAGATATGCACTGTTGCGTCTGACGTGCCTCCTCCTGATGCGAGCAGCGCCGGCTGCCAGGGGCACCACGCGATAGCCTGCAAACCTCTAAGTGATGTATACCACCAAAGAAAACCTAGGCACATACCTTAACTGCCGCCACATGATTACGCTTCGTCCACCGAGCAGCGGATCGCGAGCCAGGTGTAACGTCGCCCACCCGGCCGTCCCACACATTGACGACGTTATCATTACCACCACTCGCAAGCAGTTCGCCGTCGCTCCGCCACTTGAGCCCACACACTTCGCCCTGGTGCCCAACCAATTCGCCGACTTTGTGCCGTGCCACCCGCACATCGTGATGCCAGATGCTCCCATCACCGCACCCGGATGTCAGGAGATGCTGATGCCATGAAAGGCACGCCACTTGCGTGGAGTGTCCGCCCATAGTGCGCAATTTCGTCTGCGTCTCGATGTCCCACAGCTCGACGGCACCCATGCCGAGGCCAACGCCCAAGAATTGACCATCATTGGAGAAATCCACCGACGCGACATACGTGCCTTCTGGCGCTTCCCCCATTTGCGTGACTTCACCAGTGTCAGCACGCCAGAGGTAGGTGCTCTCTGCGAGCGCGACAGCAAGCGTGTTGAGCGAGCTCCATGCAACAAGGTTCAGATAATAGTCGTCCACCATGCCGGGTGCATCAAGCACGCGCTCGGGCTGTGTTGCAATCTTGCGGCCCTTGCTGGTCGTAGTCGATGTCGATGTGGCCAGCGCACCGGGACGCGCGTACAGTGGACGCACGAGCTCGCGCGCCTGCGCGAGAAGGGGATCTGAGGACGACGCTGGAGGGGGTTCATGGTAGGCGAGCACACGTCGATTGAGGGGCACGCCGGCAGCCGCGGCAAGACGGGAAGTATGCCCCGGAGATGAAGACTGTGGATTGAGTGACATCATGTCCAGCGTTGCCGTCACCTCGTCTGTCGTGTCCCGCGTCGTGATGAATCTGTCGCGGGTGTCCCTCTGCACAAAGGTTTTAGTCTCAATGGCCTTTCATGTAGCAAACACGCACAGTTGGCTGCGACTTTGATCGCTTTTTCTCCGACTTGGGAGGAGGAACATAATCGCGTGTGATCACATCCAGCCTACTCTCAACGCCACCCTTGCGAATGACCCCCAAACTTGCTTGCCTTTGGAGGCTTTCTGATACTTGAATGGCCCCACTGGTGGCACGCTTTATGGGGGACGCTGGACGACTCGTCGCGCGCCTCGTAGGAGATCCTGGCCGACTAGACAAGAATGGGTTGAACGAGGCATCAGCTCTTGGCTTACTAGGCGAGACCTGTGTAGGAATAGCCAGTGACAAGGAATTCAACCCAGCCGTGAGCGACGGTGTTAGCGGCGTTTTCGCCTCAGAGCGCGAGCGGTGTCTCGAGGGGGTCTTAGGTTTGTGGGACATGTTGGTGAGCGGGAAAGACACAGCTGGGACACAAGTCCCAGGCTCTCGAACTTGCAGTCATGTGACCGCGACGTGACGCGAGTTTATATGCGGTCATGTAAAGCCTTGGTCGATATGTTTACTCTAACAACAAGTCATAAAGAGTTTGAATACGGGGAAAACACGTTTACAAAGAGCCGATCATATAACATATTACAATGTGAGTGTATCTATGTCGCTGTAAGGCTAAACATAGAATTATAATCGTGTGTAGCATCGACATCAATATCAAGTGTCGTCCAACGGTTATGTTGCTGCGCATCTTAAGTTTCAGTTAAGTAGTAGATACGAAAACAACTTCAATGGTGCCATGTCGCATCCCACGTGCTGGGGCAACGGCGCATAGCATCTTCGGCCCATCTGGAAGCTTCTCTTCTCTGGCATGCGCAGTGCGGAGACCTCAGTTTTTCGTTCCACATAAGAACCCATGTCGGCAGCTGCGGGTGCAAATACATGTCCCCTGCCTCTAAGACAGGATCGTTGACGGAATGACTGTGAGAAATCTATCAGTCAGTGATCGCATTCAGAATGAAGCAAGCTACGCCGGATGTTGACTGTATATGCAAGTGTATCATGATGTCCGCGAAGTCGTCACAGCGGAACGGCTTTCTCTCTTTCTCGCAGTACGCACAGCACCAGCCATGCTGGTCCTCGTATCCATTCATAGATGAATGTTCAAGCTTGGCCTCGACCTCATTCGCCGTGGCCGTTTCTCCTGGGGTCGCGATACGCCACATCACCTCTTCCCTGGCTCCAACGTTTAGCGCATGGCGCCACACGTCAAAGCTCTGGATGCTCCCCACCTGTAAACATGAACTCGCTCAGCACGAAACGCGCGGGTTGATAAAGATAAATGGACCGCCATACGCCAGGTCATGATCATCGTGTATGTGCAGGGCTTCGACGGGATCGTACAGCACACTCGCATACTCATGTCGTCGAGATCCTGACGCGTGGTCGTCGAAGGATCCTTCGCGCACCCATCCAACAGGCACCACCTGAAATCAACGGCAGACAAGGCGTAGCTCGGAGTCGAGCGACCTCCCTTGAGAATGCGAGTCTAGCATAACGCGCACGTACCCATCAACACCCTCGCCGTCTACATATTCAAAGCGTACGCACTGGTGCGCTACGACTTTAGAATAATGATACAGTCGGCGGCAATTCCTGCAAATGAAAAATGCTATAGCGAGATCTGAGCAGCTCTCGTCGTTTGGCAGTTCGGCGTCCTTTGTGAGGAGCGTGATCAAAACCGTCTTCACTCTTTCAGACCTTCGCTCGACCAAAGAAGCTAGCTGCGCGGTAACCGAAACCAGATCCAGGGATGTGACTTGCACCTCGTTTGGCACGTCAAAGATTCTGCAGACCGCGGGCATGAGTGCAAGATCCGTCGCATCGGGCATCCACTCGGTACTTGCGCGCCGCCGCCCGTGCACTGCCTATAAATCGAACATGAGTCTCGAGACGTTTACGGAGGATGATGCGAACGGAGGATGATGCGAACGGAGGATGATGCGACGTGTTTCAGCAATGTGAGTATCTTTAGACTTCGCAACAAAAGCGACCATTTCGTCGCGGATCATGACCCATTCCACCGGCTCAGAGTCGGATATTACACACGCAATGCAGTACTGGGGCAGACATACCTCGGTCTGTCAGCTTTTTCGCTGACGTACGAGAGAGTGAGCGCGGAAAGAATACCGCCTCTTGAACCAATCTAAGTCGGAAGCCTAATCCAGACTACGCAAATTATTGACAATCCTACAAGCAAGGATGAGTAGATTATCTCGTACAGGCATACACACTACTCACGCAGTCCGATGTTGCTCCCTGCTCGAGTCTAGTTCATTAGCCCGCCCTAGCGCCCAATTTACGCAAAGCGCTGCATGCTGCTATGTATTTTGATAGCGGTGCTTTACTAACCGCACTAGGCGCAGGTCACCAACTAGTGCGCTCCACACTAAGAGTGGCCTCCGGACTGATTCTAAAGGAGCGACATGCATCTGTGAATGATCGAAAGTGATGTGAGAAATACGTACGCTCTTTGTAATTGAGGATGGGTCAGTATCCGCGCCTTGAATCCGACATTGTGAGGAAAGGGAAGAGGTCTAAGAGGGCCGTGATAACCAGGCTCCTTCCCGCCGCTGTGGGAGTTATAGGGGACTTCATCCGAATAGCGTACTCAATGTTTTATCTTGTGTAACCGAGAATAGAAGTCTTGCCACAGATCATGTGGCATCGATGGGTTATTCAACGAAGGGATGTTGCATGAGGCCTTCAGTCAGAAGGACGAAAATTAACCTTGGCAGGGATGCGCGCATCTGTGTCATAAGCCAGGTATAAAATTTTTATTAGAGGGGTGAAGGCCATGGTCACAAAGTTGCACCGAGGACGATGAGACTCGACACTGGGACACATAAACGCTACTGTAATACACGGGACCGTAACGATTATGTAATGATGGGCCAGTATCCTGCCTTCCTAATCTAGGTGACATGCGCCGCTCCTCCGCTGTTTGTAGATGTTTTGTGCCAGCCGCTGTAGGGAGTTATGGGGGTTTAAGGTTGGGATTCGGAGTTTCATCTTTCCTCGGATGTAGCCGGATTGTGGCGCAAGTGTGGCGGATGGGTTTGCAGGACTTAGCTTGCGTCAAATTTGTCGGATTGAGCCCCTATAATTTCCACAGCGGCGGGAAGGAGCCTGCGTGATAACCCCCTTTGGGGGTTGTACCTTGCTGGTCTCGACAAGCCTAGCTCCGTTGTAAGCAAATAAGAACAGAAGAAGAAAGGTAGATGCGTACATCAATTCTCTACAAGCGGAGAACTATCTAATTGAAAACTCCCATAAAATGCTCTTGCTGCAATGTGCAAGACAGTTCTGGAATGACTGTTCATAATTGAAACGTGAGATAATATAATACTTGACAGTGCTGGGAGAAAATCAAATTTACGTAGGCCGGCTGGTTTAATATGAAGGGGACGATAGAGCTCTTTCGATGAGCTCCCAGGCAGCTCGCCAGACAGACGCCACCTTACGGATCGTCAATAACGCACGAAGGTCTTTGCAGCTTCTGCCAGCCGTAGAAGATTGTGCGGATGGAGACATGTCGAATATTACTCTTAGTTCTCCCTTTTGACGGACACCACGCCCGTCCTTTGCAACAGTCTTCCGGGGAGATTTTGCGGTCGCAACAGATATTTCAGCGGTATGTGTGGCCGCCTTCATTGTCGCTATGTCTAGAACGCAATGGGAATATTCGTGTTATCGGTGAGAGGCGACCGCTGCGAGCGCGCGGAGTCTCAGCAGTCTCAGCGAAATTTCGAGTCCCCTCACGTGATCGTGATATCCCGACTTTGCTCGAAGCAAACAAAGCATAGGTTGTCCGAAAATTCAAAGATTTGGTACGCAAGTAGCAGGCTCTGTATATCTTTCCCCGGCCACGCTCGTTGTTCTTTCGCTTTCTCTTCTTCCCCGATGGCAAACGTCATAAAGCTACCTGTGGTACCACTACCCTTGCCTGCAGCATGGAATCCCCCCACTAGCTCGGGAAAATCGATTTCTCGTGAGTCGCAGTATGGCCTGAAGTTTGCCCTCCAGCTAACAACTAGGCAGCCCTTGTCGAGCGCAGATTACTCCCCGCAGGACCGGCGTACCTTGCGTACGTGAAGCGAACGGTGCACAACTTGACTTTCGAGGAGCACGACAAGCATACAGAAGACGAGCGAAAACGCCTGGAAGCTCTCGCCGGTGCAGGAGGGCAGGGCGAGGACGATCTTGGTGTGGGTGACGAGGAAGAGACAGAAGATCTACTGACATTGGATCCGAAGGAGTGGAAGGTACGCAGCTCAGGACGTCCGTATAGCTTACCCGCGCTCATCCGCGTTTTTGTAATTCAGAAACAAGATCATTACCAGGTTCTTGGCATTTCACATCTGCGATACAGGGCAACGGATGAGCAGATCAAGATTGCGCGTAGGTCCCCGTGTTTTCTGTTTCCTTACATCGACTCATTCGGCAACGTAGATCGAAAGAAGGTGCTGAAGCACCACCCAGACAAGAAGGCGGGCGTTGCGGGAGACTCAAACGACGACGCGTTCTTTAAGTGCATCTCAAAGGCATTCGATGTGCTCACAAACCCCGAACGCCGGCGACAGTTCGACTCCGTCGACCCGTACTATGAGCTGCTCGAGACGGACGTGCCGACGGCTTCTCAGCTGAAGAACGCAAAGGACAACGAGTTTTTCTTCGAGGCATTCACACCAGTGTTTGAGCGCGAGGCGCGCTTCAGCCGGAAGCAACCTGTGCCGATGCTGGGGTCTTACGAGGGCTCGAAGGAACAAGTCGAGGGGTTCTATGACTTTTGGTACAACTTTGACAGCTGGCGCAGCTTTGAGTATTTGGACAAGGAAGTGAACGAGGGCAGTGACAAGTGGGTTGTGTGTGCGTTGTGATGCTGCATACAGTTGACTGACCCCCTCCCAGCCGTGATGACAAGCGCTACACCGAAAAGAAGAACAAATCTGAGCGTGCACGGCGCAAGAAGGAAGACACTGCACGTCTGCGCAGCCTTGTCGATCTCGCGCTGCAATATGACCCGCGCATCAAGCGGATCAAACAGGAGGAGAAGGAGGCGCGTGAGGCTAAGAAGAAGAGCAAGGGCGGTGTCGCGAATGGCAATGCTCAGAAGCTGAAAGAAGAAGAGGAGAAGCGCAAGGCGGAAGAGGAAGCAAAGCGGAAGGAAGAGGAGGAGCAGGTTTGTATTTATGTTCCCTTATGCACTTCTCAACCACTGACGCCATCGCGCCCGCCAGGCTGCTCGCGCAGAAGCCAAAAAGGCGAAAGCCGCTGCAGCGACCGCTGCAAAAAAGGCCCGGCGCCAGCAACGTGCGACCGAGGGCGCGGCGTAGACTGCGAATACGACCAACGTTACATCCTAATGATCTTTTTCTGCTTATCCGCATATTTGCATTGTATCCTTCCCATGCTGTCACGCTTGAACCATGTCCTGCAGAATAGATGCCAGTCGACAGTGAGATGTATCTGCATTGCTTTGTGGGCGGCCATTTATTGGTTTTTATAGCATGTTGAATCCGTGTATGCTAGCGGTACAATCAGCAGTATGTCGCCGCCTCTGATTGATCTTGAGTCTAGCACTGCTTCTGATCTCAACACTACCCGTCAAGGAAGCCTTCACCAAATAAATATGAAACAGAAATAACCGCATTCTCTTTCAGTACCAACGCAAGCATCAACGTTCTGTTACAAGATCAAGCAGGACCTCTTCGACCTCAGCAGCCGCTGCGATGCTACAACAGCTGTACGGCATTATCAATTAGGATAGAAATAAACACAGCCGAGGTGCGAGTACAACCAAGAGCACGGTTTGGCCTAGGTGTACACACATACAGTAGCTATGCGGACGCGCCCAAGCCTGCTCAGGCGGAAGTACAGATTCATGTCGTGCGTGCTAGTCGTCATCAGAAAGTACGTCAATCTTCTCATCTTGCAACACGGGCGCCACCGTCTCCTCGGCCTGCTGGCACTGACGCACCGCGCGGCCTTGCATGTCCTTGTAGAACAGGATGTCGCCCGTCGACTCGATGAACTTGCATTGCGTGAACGAACGCCAGAGCGCGTAGAGCGTTGGCTGTAGGACTGCATCAGCTCGGTATCGGGCCGCCCAGAGCCGGAGGCACGCACCGTCGAGTCGTAGTAATAGTAGTCCCCGAGAACGGGTTTGATCGCCTCTGTCACCTCAGGCAGGTTGTCTGGGGGGCAGAAGGTCAGGAGCAGCACGCGTGGGATACCGGGAAGGAAGACGCACAAAAGGGGACCGTTACGAAGAAATGATGCGCAATGTGATCATGAGCAATCTGCCGCACATCAGACAAAATATGTGCATGGATGATTACACACACGCACTCCATGCCAGAAGAATCGTCCGACCCAGCCAAAGATTGGCCGGTCGACGGTGGCCAATGCGCCTCGCAGGAACGTCCACTGGCCCTACGACCGAAACAGTATCAGCATCAACATGCGGACGGCCTAGACGCGGACTGACTCGATAAATGGGCACCGTAGGATCACTGTGCTGGAGGTACGTAATCATGACAATCCTGGGGCGTAATCAGCCAGACCTTCTTCTATTCCCGCAATGTTTGACCTACCAGTTATGGGCCCACTGCACAGAACGACAAGAAGCATCAGCATCACACGAAGCCTGTCATCGGACCAACACACCAGCCACGGGACCACATAGAGTCTCCAGACGTTGTTCCAGCTCGTGCTGTGGATCCAAAAACTAAGGAGGCAGATCATGACTGCCATAGCAGCATCCGAAAGGATGATATAGGGGCCTATCCGTAATGCACATGGTGAGCTTGCATGGGGTGGGTGCAGCAGACATCTCTATGCTTACGGTCTTCTGGCCTGAACAGCAATGACGAGGGCTTGTAGTGCTGCAACAGGCGCCAAATCAAGATCTCTCCGAGCAGCACAATAGTGAAGTACTCACGCTCGTCCACGGCGGATACTTCGGGTTGCCTTTTCGGTTGTGGCTATCGTAGGGAATACATCAATCAGACATTTTAATTAAGAACACCTCGACAACGCACATCAAGTACAGTTGGAAGCCCCTATGACGCAGGATAAGGGCCCGTTCACATCGGACAACAGCCGGTAACTCACAGGAACTGTCGGATCACCATCTTCCACAGTGTGTATAGTGGCGTTTCTTCGATGAGCTCTTTGTAGTCCATTGGCGTCGCAACATGCTCAGGGGGTAGATTCAGCTCCTCGCGTGTTTGCGGATGGTATGTCTCGTCACGATCAAGGTTGTTTGTCCCTTTCTGTAAAGCAGCATCCGTCAATGGGCGTTCCTCGTGAAGCACATTGGTCCAGACTCACGTGGTGAGAGCGATGAGTTGCGCGCCACGCGTAGTATGGAGTGAGTACAAAGGTGTGCAGACCAAGGCCGAGCACAGCATTGAGAAGTGCGCTGGGGGCGAGCGCGTCATGACCGCACTGCACGAAGAAGAGTCAGATTTCCCCATTCGAGGAATTACAATAAATTCTGCGATCGTACTTCGTGTCCTGGAATGCAGAAAGGTTAATCACCGATCACGATCACCCAGATCGAGACGTACCCAGCGTCCATAGACCGGTGAATGCGACACTCTGCCAGAACCAGTACAATGCCCAGAACGCGTAGCGCAGCGCAGACACCGCTCGGCTGCCTAGGTCGTGCTGCGACGCTATGCGGAGCACCGTCGAGTCGATGCGCGTCGCACACAGGTAGAACGCGAAGGAGACGGCCACATGTCTGCCGACGTAGTAGAGGCACTTCTCCGTGCTCCTCTTGAAGAGGTGCTTCGGGACCGCAGCATGGACATCCTTGATGGTGATGGCAGGCGGCGAGAAGGGCACCTTCTTGCGGGCCTCATACTCGGGGGAGTCCTTGAAGAGCGCAGCCATGGCGTACAGGGATCTGTCGAGCACCCGGGAGAAGACGGGGTAGACGCCTACTTATGGCCGTGCATATAGGTGTTCCGGAATCCTGTGAGAAGGAGCATCTGATGCAAAAGGCGATTAGACCAAGAATGTCCACCAGTCCATCTTCGTGCTATGATCATCAGAATGGTTCGGAAGCGTCTCAACGCACACTCTGGTTGATTGGGACCCACCTCTCACCTCGTGCACATGCGATATCTACGTCGCGGCGAGCCTGGGGTGGGAAAAAGGATCCTCAAAGAAACACCTGTTCATATTGCTGTTATTACGCCGCCTGCAAAAGCGCACTGAATCGACGGCCTAGAACAAACGGCGACGTGGCGGTGGTGGAAGGGAAGATCAACAAACAGCGAGACCGTGGCACTGAATGTTGCCTCGAGGCGAAAAGTTTTAGAATGACAGAAAGCGCGGTACATGGCCTGACACTCGCAGGCGGTGTCAGGGCCAGCGCCCCGAACATAATTGCTTCCCGCAGCTGCCGGATTCCGTGATACGGCTAGCGGCTGGGTGACGAGTGCGAACTCGAACGCGCCAGGCGGCCGGCCTTCTGGCTTCCCGGTTAAGCTCGACCAAGCTGGATCCCGGACTTCACATGGGCATTGATACATGTGTAGATGGCAAAATGTTCCGGCCACGGCGATCGTTGTAACTGCTGAGTAAACAATTTACGAACTGTCGATGGGCCAAGTTCAAAACGGTAAAGGCATTTCCATCCAAATATTGACACCCAATGAATGGCATCTAGTGTGAGACAGCAACGATCCATGATCCACGTCAGGTTGATCAACCTAATCCCTGTTGAAGCTAGTGAGCTCGCGGAAGTATTTAGAAACTCAATCAGTACCGTGACTGATCACACGCACAGGCAACGCGCACGAGTGGTGACTAAGATAGCTGGCTACCAGTACCTGGGGACTCACTGCACTAGAAAAGGACAACATCTACTTGCTTTCTATGGCGTAGGAATTCGCTTGAGATTAGGGAAACACATGGTTATTTTGAGGCTTCAAACTCTAGGATACGAAAGAATATACAAAACAGGGCACACGGTAGTCAATCAGGTTAATGACACAGGGAAGCAGATGGTACACTGAATGGCATAGGCACTAGCGCATGCGAGTTGGCAATTGGGGTTAGGTCGCTCCGTAGTACGGACATTGACTTGACGTCGTCCACATCTAACGACGCACATAGAGACAAATCAATCCAAAAATGGTCAGTGGGGATGTTTACATCTCGTAAATAGCTTCGTAACATCAGCGGTATATAAAGCATCGGCCTGCAGCCAAGTCCGAGACGGGGTGACCAATGCACTGCAGTCATTGTCGGGTATGAGAGTCCTGCCGCATGATCCACTCTCGATGCCGCTGCCATGACCCGGCCTCAAGCTGGACAAACGCCTTGAGCTGGTCCATTGAGAACGGCAGCGTCGAATCTGCCTGCAAGGCCCGTACCACGTACGATCTATGAAACACAGGCACGTACCGTCGTCAGGCACGAAAGCCAATACACCAACATAAAAAGGAAATGCATCACATCAACGACCGACCGTGGGCAGGCAGGTGACAGGGCTTACATGACAGTGCTTTCCGCCAGCGGGTTCTCCTTGCTCCTTAGCGCTGCGCAGATCTCCGGGAGCGGCATGTTCCCGCCCTGCCAAAGCTTGTATGCGCGTAAATGTTGCGGGCGCGGCGCCTGGTTCCCGTCGACGTTCGTGACATACCCAGGCGGGCGCAACCACGGCGAGCTTGGATGCTTCGACGCATCCGAAGGCGCCTCAGTGGACGACGACGTAGTCACGCCGCCACCATGATCATTCGCACTGCTCTCAGGTACACCCTTCCCTGCGCGTACGCCCTTGATGCTACAAGCATACGCCACCGAGTCCAGGCAAAGGCCGTGCTCCGTGGCGATCTCGATCAGGCGCTTGTAAACAACCAGCGCACAATGTGCGTCGTTTGCCGCATCTACAAGCGCGGAGGAGAGTCAGTGAGGACTGAGAGAACAGACGGAGATGCACACATGTTATCTGCTCCTGCGAGAGTGGGGCGGCCTCCCAGTTCCCGATGCGCACCTTCCCCTTGTCGAGGCTCCTGCGTGTGTAGTGCTCTACCATTCGCGCCAAACTGACTATAGACCGGTGGTAGATCGTAGAGAACGCCGGGTCGGCGCGATGCGCGAGCGCACCAAGCTCGACTAGGTTTGCGGCAACGATGCCATAATCACGGAAGAGTTTCTCACCGTCGTCTGTGACAGCACGTCAGACACCTTAATGGAAGAAGGCGAAAGGCTATCAGCGGCGCGTACTGCGTATGTTGGCGCCCGTCTTGACTACCGTGGGCGACTCGATAAGTTCCTGGCGGACGGGCGTACGTCAAAAGGATAATGAGACGCGCAATCACCGTCCGCACCTTGACTTTCTGCGGAAACTCTGCGGCGTGTCAGTTGTAGTAATGATCTGATTGAGCAAGGGATCCGCACTCTTCATCCGGCTCACTTGGACGACAAGGATCATGCGTGCGTCTGACAGCTGGACGACGGCGGTGCGGCGCTCTATGATAGGCGCGCCCCGCTGTATGAAGATCCGCCATTCCATGTCAAATCCTAGCGGTCTATTCGCGACAGCCAGCGTGGAAGCCATAACGATACCGTACACGTCAAATCATTATCAATCATGCGAGCGAGCTGCGCCGCTGCGCAAAAACATGCCACATACCCTGTGAGAGCTGCGGCAAGTTCGTTAGCCTCATCTTCGTGCCGCGTATATACAACCGCGGGTGCGGGAGAATAGTCTTCGTAAGTGTAGAGAGGAAGCGTTGAGTCTGTCGGTTGCACGAGGCCTTTCGATTTCGTTCGTGTATCGGACGTGGTGGTTTTTTCGATGGACCTTTTCGCTGTTGACACTGCGGAATGCAGAGTGAGTGGTTGTAGCTTTGTTGTGGCTTTCGGCTTCGAACCAATGGCGAGTGCAGCGGGCTGCAACCCAGAGGCGCCAGAGGCAAGAAAAAATGTATGAGTTCTGAACGGATCCATTTGGGTTAATGTCGACCAGCGGATGATAAACTAGACGTAGACAGTGTTGCAGGGCACTCACGCTTTCTTAGACGTCGCTGGTTTGTCGCTTATTGCTGCCGAAGGGGCCGTAGTATTCTCAGTGGTCCTGCGCTCGGCGGCCATCATAGCGTCGAAAGCTGCAAGAAACTTCGAGCCACCTCTGGCGGCGACCTGCGAGTTCCGCCGCTTCGAGGGCGAGCCCGGCGGGCTGAGGCGGCAGAGCACCGCAGGGAGTTTCGACTCCTTGATTGCGTATAGTGCCATCGATGTACGCTCCTTTGTCCGATGTCAAGTTTGGGACGTGCCCCTTCCAGATGTCTACAATGCAGACTGGCGAAAAGTCTCCGAGGTGGGCAAGAAGTAGGTCCCGTGGCGCTCGCCACCGACGCGTCGCGACTCGAACGTGTCACGTGCATAACATTTCCCTCCGATTATGGAAGGTCTCGTAGTTCAGCCTTTTTCTTCTTTTCTCTGAGCCGCATTGTGAGCAATGGTTTCATGATACATTCAGATGCATGTCAGATATTGCGCCCATTTTACTCTTCAAACATGATTTGTGACGGTAATTACACGTATTTGTTTCATGCGAACCCATAGGTCCTTCGAACCTGAGGTCAGTGCCACGACGTAACTTGTCGGCACGAGAGTCTCATCATGGTCGGGCATATCGTTTTTCTGTTGCCTTTTGTGATCAACTACACAGTGAGTTTCGGTACAACATACTGATATACTCTTAGGTTCTCTTTCTCATCAGATAATCTTAGCAAATGCACCAGAACCGAAGAATGAGCCCACGCGCCCGTTGATCCCCGTACCCATTGACGGAAGGTTCGCGGGAGAAACGTCTGGGTTCATATCCTTGTCCGGCACGAAGCCGAGCGTCCTCAGGGACGCAGCGAGTACGTCAATGGTTTCTGACGGGTTGCCCATCAACTGATGGGCATTCGTCTGACGAAAGTAGCCGAGCAACATGTGCGCGTCAGCCCGAGCTTCTTCATTGTCATGCACGCACGAGTACTTCGCTTTCACTCACGCCTTGGCATATGTCCGGTCGACTTTGCTCGCCTCCTCCGCCTCTCGCAGCGCCTTCACCGGGTTGTATCCAGAAGCCACGCCGCGGCGCAGCATGCAAGGCAGATGCTCATCAGTGCCTTGCAGATGCTGCCGCTCATAGTCCGGCCGCCATACATTGTACTGACGATGTGCTCGACCGCGTCCATATAGTACCGCATGGCGGCGCTGACGATAAACATCATCACTTGCACTCACGGCATTTCAACACGCTATGTGGACAGTTTCGGTAGGATGTCAAGGAAGAGACCTTCAGTGCATCGTCGTAGAGAAAGAACTTCCTTGAGAGTATCAGTTGTTCTGTCAATGCATGTTTATGATGCGAAAAGAAAGTGGCGCAATGGCTTGTTTAACGCGTCGGGCCAGAACTGCAGGATCTGTGTTCATGATATGGCTCATGTACTGGCCCCCGTCTTATTCGGCATCTTATTCGGCATTTTTGAATCCGGCGAATAATTCCAAGTCCTGGGCAGCGCGTCATGTCTGGGCAGCGCGTCATGTCGGAAGCTGTAAAATAGGTATGATGCGAGTGCAACAATTCAGAAAAGATATATTCTTGAGGAGTTGACGACGAGAGTTCTAAGATAGCGGCAGGCCGAAATAAATTGTAGAGGACATGCATTCCGTTGCAGTGTACTTATGAAGCTTACTTGAGGGCCGAGTAGTACTGTGTTCGCTTCAAACGGCACGACACGCGTCCGAGCAAGCGCGTCGCGATCGGGCAGTTAAATCATGGCGCACGTGACTGATACCCAAGCTGAGGATTGCGGGCGTTATTCTGGAGGTGCTACCGTGACATACGTTCATCTCGCTTTTACGCTTCGAGCAAGTTTTCGGTCCTTGTCTAGCTGATATTTGACAAACGACGACATGTCGTCTCTTGCCGGTGCACTTGACCCTATTCAAGAATTCAAAACAACCATGTCCGAGGACGTGGATATGAAGCATTCCGCATCGGCTTCGGAAGCGGACGGGGAAGAAGCGAGCGCCGAGGGCGGCGACGACGAAGAAATGCAAGACCTCTTTGGTGAGGGTGAGGAAGCCGAGACGGTGAAGCATGAGGAGTGCGTTTGTTTCAAACCTCTTACACGCTTTTCGCGCTTACGAGTTGCCACAAGTGCGGCGACGCCAGCATCGTCAGAGCATGTCGATCAGAACGAGGGCCTTTCGTCTCCTGAGCGAAGACATAGGGAAGCAATGGAATATGCTGAGGAAGACGATGAGACAGAGGCACCAGTCATCCAGATCGTTGAAGCCAAGGCTGCTATCCCTAATATCCCTGTGCCCCGGAGCTCTGATGGAAACGTAAGCTGCCTTGACGATAATATACACTGTATGATTGTAATCCTAGCTCTTGTTAGTACTGGGTCATTCGTATGCCCAATTTTGTCAAGGTCGACTCGAAGCCCTTCCACCCAGACACGTATCTTGGGCCCGAGCAGGAAGACGACGAGGTGTCGCAGGTCGAGACAATCCGCGAAAAGAGCATGTCGATCAAGCTCAAGGTAGAAAACACAGTGCGGTGGCGTTGGGTCAAGGGAAAAGATGGCCAGGACGTAAGTATCCGCTGCGATTGCATCTTAGGTCCAGTGGCTAATGGTCTCGGTGGGTCCCCGCTATCAGCGCAGACAATCAAATAGCAGGGTGGTCCGGTGGTCTGACGGCACACTCAGCTTGCAGCTCGGAAAGGAGCTCTTCGACATCACACAAACGATCGATACGTCTGGCGCTGTCCCCCGTCAAGCCCTCGGCGGTTCTCAACCAACTTCACAACCCATACCCTCCCCCTCGCAACCGCCCGCGACCGCCGGCCGCTCGCAAGGCCTCACATATCTTGTTGCACAGCACAAGCGCGCCGAGATCTTACAGTGCGAGGCGGTCATCTCGGGCTACATGTCGCTCCGCCCGACGGGCATGCAGTCCGAGACGCATCGCATGCTCGTGCGCGCAGTCGGCCAGAAGCACAACAAGGTCGCACGCCTGCGCATGGCGCCAGACCCGACGACAGACCCGGAGCGCGAGCGGCTCGAGCTGATGCGCCAGGCGGCGCGGAAGCCGCGGCGCCCGCGTGGCGAGGACGACGGGCTCAGTGGGCGCCGCCGGCGCACATCGGGCTACTCGCGCAAGCGCACGGGCGACGACATGTGGTCGGACGACGAAGAGGACGCCGTGTTTGGCGGTGGCTCGGAGGACGAGTACGGCGAAGAGGGCGCGCGCAGCGCGAAGCGACGGCGGCCGGGCGGCGAGGAGAACGCGAAGAAGGGCCCTGGGGAGTACCAGACGGACGATTTCTTGGTCGCGGACTCCGACGAGGAAGACGGGGCCTTTGGTGAGTCGGACGAGGAGACCGGAAGGCACCGGGCCAGGCGGCGTCGCGCAGAAGAGGAGGAAGAGGGCGAGGAAGACGATTTGGAGAAGCTAGAAGCGAAGATTCACGAGCGAGAGGCGGAGGAACGCAAACACAGGAAAGATTCTGGTGGGAAGGGCGTCAGCAGCGCGAAAGATGAGTCTGGTGGGAGTGAGGAAGATGGGGAGGCAGGTATGGATGTGGAAAGCGAGGAGGAAGACGAAGGCTTTGGTGTGCGCCGTCGAACCGCCTCGGGCGCACGGAAGCGGAGACCAATTGGGGCAGATGAAGAAGAAGAGTAATTTGCATCGGACTCGTCTGGCTACATCCTCTGTACTATTTGTTTGCTATCATTTGATGTCTCATTGCAAATACCCAGCAGTTCAACGTATCGTTAGAAGACCAATCTGTTTTATGTTAAGACAAAACGAAGTGCGTACGAGACAGCCATCCGCCAGACGTCAACGATACTATAGGTGGTGAGGCAAATCACCCGAATTTTATGCTCACAACTACCTCCTTCCTAGCCCATTCGCCAATTTTGCTGCCGTCTTCACCAACTAATGACCTCCAAATGAGCAAACGGGGTGTCAGCTCCTCCCATTCAGGGCACTTCTTCTGTCGTGTCATAGTCACCCGCCACAACGCCTCCACGCAGACACCCCAATCTTGTGTCGCACAGGAGGGAGGTGCGACAAATAGATCGTGTGCCCGGTGTGGAAGTACTCTTTTGATCGTGTCCGCACGCAGGGATAGGGGTGCAGTGAGGATAGTGACATTGCCCTCTATAACCTTCAGTAAGGTCAGGCAGCGTGTGATGAGGCCATCGATCCCGGCAATCTGTGGGCCGGGAAGTAGGCTCAAGCGCAACACTACTGGGACAGCTTCGCAGAATACGCCGTCTGTGCAAGCTGTGCGAAAATCAACTAGGTTACTGAAAGTGCATTGGTCGCCATACAAAATCAACTTACTTGGGCTGTAGAGTACCCTTGAGATACATCTGCCCAGCATTTCTCGCCATTCACCGTGTGTGGATTGCTCTATCTTTGCAGAATCCAACACGGCTAAGATGTTCTCGACGATGCGTATCCAAGCTAACGCTTCTTCCTCGGCCGGTAGGCGGATCTGCAGCTCGATCCAGGATAGAAGCGATGATTTTAAGACGAGAGATGTCGTTGCACGACTGTTGCAGGTGACGTTAGCAAGAAACTAGGACAGTGTTGTTCGATGAGTTGTTCAAACGCGTGAGACTTTATCCCGTACTTACCTCGAGAACGCCACGCCGGAGGGCCTTATCTTTTTCTTCACTCTGGAACAGGCTAGCCAACAAGTCCCAGGTATGCCGCCTTTTCAACACGTTCCATTCTGCCGAGCTGACCATACCATCGGACAGAAATCGCACTATCCAACCCCTCTCCTTTTTCCACTGTTCAGACGAGCTGTACAACATCCCAAACAACATGGGTACATCGCCTGTATCCAATTCCGAGCGTTGTAGGAGGAATCTTGCGGTGATCGGATAGATGAAATTGGCGGGATAGAAGATACCGCGCAAAGCGTGAGCCAATAGGAGGGTCGTATATACTGGAAGACGTGGCGGAGAATCATCCTCGGATTTGGGTATAGCATCTTTGAGCAAATTCAGCACGTAGATTACATGCTGCTGCTCTTGCATGTCTGCTTCCTGGCAACAATCAGACGTATAAGGGATACCCCAGACTCCTGCAAATACGATGATGACCTACTTGTAGACATTTGTGGAGCGCAGCCAACTGGGCGATACTAGTCGCCCGGATAAAGTCGTCTTGTGCAGAAACCGCTCTAATAAGGACGCTCGCAATGTTTGTTCTGAAGAGCTGGACCCAGCCACTGGCTGTCGTTGGTGTGCCCTCTTGTAGTAATTGTGCGAAGAGAAGAATCAGGAAAAGCGGGTCGTACATGGAACTACCATGGAGCACTGAGTTCTCGTCATCTGAGTCGATGGTAGCACGGCGCCAGTCAGGGAATGAGAGGCATGTTTTCAGGCAGAGATTGGGATCTAGATTTTGCACAGCCTCAAGAGTACTTCCAGCGCGGGAGTCACGGGATGCGGACCATCGATGGAATAGAGAGGCAATTGAGGTCTTGCGGGTGACCTCGAACAATTGGAAAATGTCGAGCAGCCGTCGATCAGAAACAGATGCGGTGCCCCCGTATAGGCGAAGCAAGGGTTCTATGTGAGTAGGTTGGCAGGCGTTGCTCGGGTGAAGGTGGAAGGCCGTATGAAGAACATGCGCAACGGACTCTGCGCTTGATGGGCGGGCTGTGGGGGCGTCAGCACAGATGGCAGAGAACCGCGGATGTTGTATGATCGTCTGAATGCATTTATTGACTGTGGCAGGCTTGAACATATGCGTACGTTAGTGGCTGGGTCATCATTCGGTATTGCAGTAGACACACCTTAAATGAAGCTGTTTGTAGTAAGAGCTGTACCAGATTCAGCGCATGGTGATCGGCTAGTCGATTTTGTATGGCAACTGTCAAAACGGGCTCAACGAGATAACTCTTGATGTTATGTATTGATGAAAGCAATGCATCTGTGTTTGAAAATGTCAATATTCGGGATAATTTCGGATGGACCTCATAGTTGACTCACAGAAGTCCTCAACGAGGCCAACATTGGTCTGCGTACTTGCTTCGTTGTCAGTTCCCGAGTACAGCTGAGCTATCCATTTGAGGCCCCGGTCAACTATTGCCTCCACGACTTTGGCACCCTCGACATCCATCGTGGATTGTACGAACTTCGCAATCCGTATCATGTGCGAGGACATATAGTCTGCTTGCAATGCTTCGCATCTCCGCTGCAGATTGATAAGCAGCTTCGGCCTAATCGAAGTCAGCTGTCGCAACATTTTAGACACGCAGGTGGTGTAGGTATCAACGGCTTCTGCATCGATGGAATACTTGCCCGACATAACAGCTTTAAGGAGTCGGTCGAAGTGTGGGACTATGGATTGTAGGTCTTCCTGCAATGTTAACTCGTTGAAGCGTTGTGAATCTAGTAAAGCAAGCAGAATACGAGCAAGTTGGTCTGTTGTGCAGGGTGCAGTGGGACTGGCCTTCAGCCAGGATAAGATCGAAGCTTCGGTAGCTGATTCTGTGTATAAAAGGCCGAGCAGGACGTCCACTGTGCTGTCTGACCAATCCGTCGTGGACAGAATATCAGCGACATCGATGGTGGATTCAAACAATCGTCCGTGCTGCACCCAATGTCTTTGAGCATGTAAGATGATGTCAGAGAGCATGCTTTCGTCCGGAGACGAGGATAAGAATCCGCCAAGCCCGAGGGGAAGGCTGCCAGATAACACTTGGGCTAGAATAGAGTCAAGCGTGTGGGGCCGTGAAAGCTGAGAACGCAAGCGCCAAAGCGCGCCTGCGTATCGCTGCATAACATACGAGTTTGCACCTGCGAAGTACGACAGCCCTTGAAGTAGTTCCTGAAGCAACTCGCTGTCGAGACGGCAGGAAGGTTCGGACGGATCCAATGTGCAATCCAATAATACGAGCAAGTCTTCGAATGCCATGTACTTGATCCATAAGGCACATGTCGCTTTCTGTACAAAGTGGCAAGGTCAGATGTTGATAAGAGACATAGCGATCGCTGACTTACTTCATCAGACGACAACACAGATAAATTCTCCTTGATCATGACTGTCCAACGAGCTCCGAAGTCCCTGATCAATCGTTGCTCATCCTTCCCTACGTGCTCAAAAGAGGTTTGTAGCAACCCAGATAGGCCTGGCATGCATAGTCAGACAACAAGATATCAAGTGACGCTGAATAGGCTCAAACCTTGTCTTGTCTCGTCAGCCACAGCTTTGTCGCAAATACTTTTGATCGCATCCAACTCAAAGCAGGTACGTACCAGGAGAGAGAACTCCTTGGCATTTAGCCTGCTTTGAGCTGTTGAGACAATGTCTGATAAAACGACCAGGAAGCGCGGAGCAGCAGCGTCATTTTGGCAACAAGACAAAAGGGCATGATGAACGAGCGTTATAGCTCTTCCGATATCACGCAGACTAGTCGCATCTTTGAAAAGACTTTGTACCAGGATCTCGCGTCTCCCAGCATTGGCCAGGGTATCAAGATCAGAGTGAAACAATAATACGTCGAAGGACAGACTGCAATGCACAATGAGCTCTGAATCTATCAATTGTCGCAGATGCACATACCAATCTTTCAACTCTGCATAGCGACGCACCAAATCTATGCAATCCCACACTCGAAGTTCACCTGCCCTGAGGTATTTTAGGAATTCACGCAAGCTTTTTTTAGACCGCTGTTCGATAATGAGACATAGACGACTGGCTTGCTGGATATTCATCGAATGGTTGATGACACGGTACCAGTCGATGAGATCATATGCGGACTGTTGCCATCCTTGAGGCAGCACTAACACATAAAAGTTCGTCAAACCAAACGAAGACGTTGATGAAGTGTCTAGACTTACGTGTGGTCTCACCCTGGATCTCCACCATTTCGAGGAAGGACTCAACATGTTCATCGCGATCGGTATTAGGCGTCAACCGCGGACGCACAACACGCAGGAGGATCGAATTCAGGTAGTCTAGTTCTCGTTGAATCGCGGACAGGATCAAAGAGGTGTCGGCATGCGGATGCCCCATGATTATGTTATTAAGTCTTGTTGCTACCGCCCTTAGCGGTCCAGCATGGTCCATCTTGCTAAGCAATTTCAAGCAGAGTTTGCGGATAAACGTCACGATAGCCAACGTGTCTGACGCAGATAATAGCTGGCCCTTCACCTTGGCCTCAAATTGTTCGAGTATAGTCATAAGCAGCGGGCTGGGATGCCGATCGGACTGACCCGCGACCAAAGTGACACCTTCTGCAGCGTTGTCGGCACTCCTGAACAACTCTTCTAAGTTCTCCAGGTAGCGGTACGGCGTCTTGAAACAACGCTGTGCGCAATCGTCCACGAATGAGATGACGGCGTCTGGCTCGCTGGTCAACAGAACGCCATCGGGGGTCCTAGTGTCGGGACAGCGAGTCATGACCGGGAGCGCTTCCAGCCAGAGGGCCACTTCCTCAGGGTCGTGCTGAAAGAGTAGACTGGCAGACAGTGCACGGTGGAGAAGGTGCGTGATCGCGGCTCGTATATCCCTGTTTGTCGTCGCGACGTATCCGCGCAAGAGGACGTTGAGGTTACTGCGTGATGTCCCTGTACACGATGTAAGTGATTGATCTGTCATTGAACTCAATAAATCCCACCTGTCTTCCCGGACCAGTTGAACTGGTCGCTTTCACTCAAAAGCCTGAGTACGTGAAGCTTGCGAAGGACATCCATACCCGAGTTTGAAGCGTTGACTTCAGACGTTGACTCCCTCGCCTCAAGGCTTCCTTCAAGCACGGACAGCAGCTTCCCAATATCAAAGCGCGCCTCCGCGGCCAACGAAGGTAGAGACCGTTGGTACAACCACAGCAGCCTCTGCGCAATCTCCGAGAGCAAGGCGTATTTGGCAGGATTATAGGGGACAGATTGTATACTGTCCTGCACGGCGCTGAGATCCGCGAGCTTCTGTGCGAAAGCGACGACAACCTGAAACTCCGGGACTCTCTTCCTGATCTCCCGCTCGAGCTCACTCCGACGCCGGTGCCATTGTCCCTCTTCATCCTCCTCCAGTGCGTTCTCGACTTCATCAAGGGCGCGTAGGACTGCATCATACTTCCTGAGGCACTTTACAAGAGTGAGTGCAGTGCTATGTTGTACTAGGGAGGACGTGGCTTGCAGCCCCCGTGACAGGTGCGCCTTAATGTGTGCGGATGGCATGGTATTCTCTACGATGGTGGTCAACGGCGGGGGGGCAGGGTTGTACACGGCCTTCCCAGAGGCCTCCGACAGCACGAAGCTGGAATGCGGCACGGGCAATGACACGACCGTGCCAAAGAACGCAATGTTGGCGAGCCATTTGGACGAGTTGCGGGGTTCGAGGGCCAGTGCGGCCGATGACCAGTAGCTGTAACGAAGGGCGGTGAACAAGGGAAACGTTGATGAGCCTCTGCTACTAACCCAGCGACGAGCTCTGGACAAGCCGCCAATATCTTGAGCGCGAGCTCTTGTTGGCGCGGATCTTCATTCACCTTGAGCATCTTCAGCACATTTGCAAGAATCTTGTTGTATATTCTGCCAATTCGTCGACTGCTCCCCTCTTCTGGAGACTCAGGGGTGTTATCTGGTACTTTTTCTTCCTGGTCCAACTCGCGCGGGTACCATCCTCTGTCCTTGAAGCAAACTCCGACGCCAGGGCGCGTGCAAATGGCCAGCATATAGTGATGAACGACGTCGGCCGGAATATGCTCCAGATCACTGTCTTCCGCAACGTCGCGTTCGTACACCCTCATGACCTGGTCCGCGATTAGGAGTATTAGTGATATGAGGACGATCCGTGCGAATTAGATTACCTGCGAGAGGACCGTCTCATTGAACAGGCCAACCTTCAGCGTTCTTCTCACTTTCTGGTCTGACCATAATCCTGTCCAACAGACCTCCAAGACTTTGCGGACGAGTGAGTACTGGTCTTGCCATAGGCCTTTGAACAGAAGGACAAAAATATCGCGACGCTGTTCCAAGAAAGCGGTCTTGACGGCGCTCGATGTTGTACCATCTATGAACGATAGGAGAAACAAGATGAAAAGCGTACGGATATCTGGCATCGCCGATATGTGAGATACGATGCTGCTTCACGTCGATTATTCTAGCGCACCTGGACGTGACAAAATGTCAAGGTGGTCGTCAGACTTGCCTTTACGCCTCATGTGGAGCAGCCTAGGGAGGGTCTGCAGACAATAAATCTCAGCTTCATGATGACTCCTATTCCCCAACATGCTAAACAACCTTTGTCTCCCATGCGAAAACCTCGAATGTGGCCTTTCTCTCCCTCCCACTGGCGAAGTTTGAGAGGCTGTTGAAGAGCTTCATGGTGACGAGTACCAAGTCGTTGTGCGACCCGCCCAGATACGTGTTCAGTCTATGTGAATACTGCTGAGAGACCAGCGATTTGACGATAGGTTGTGCCAGGGGTTGATACAAATAGTGGGCTGAAAGGAGAGTTAGCATAGACGACAGAACGCTGACGACGAGCGACAGCAGATTCATCTGACGCTACAGTAGGCTGTGGTCAGCTATACGGCATCAAGGGGAGAACACTAGCAAATACCTACTGGATTTGCCGTGTCCCATATATTGAAGACATCCTGGGCTCCAGGCGACTTCTCCAACCAGGCCTTGATCAGCAGCAGTCGCTCATCAGACACAGAGACAGAAGGTTCGTCGGGCTTGACGGTGAATTGATTGCGTAGGGTTGTCAGAGCTAATGAGAAGACTTCAACCAGCGCACCAAGCGTTCATAAATGGAGCGCGCATACCGTCAATTAGACTAGACTCTTCTTGTGCCCCGAGACTCCGCCTAACATCCGCTGCACTGGTAAATTTGTGGTCTGGACGCCTTGGTTGTGTATTACGGGTCGGAGGCATCTGCGGGAGGCTGTGCGTGTCCAGAAGAGGTCGTAGCAGTCGTTGGACGCCTGTGTTTTCGCGGTGAGTTCGCGGCAATGGTATGTGGTCAAATACACGTGACACGTGACCGAGTAAGATCGTAGGGATCGGCTATCAAAAGGCGACCTCTCCGGGACTACGACGACTTCAATACCAGCTGTATGCTGTATCATACCAATACACCTTACGCTGGCAAGCATATTTGGTCTAATGTTCCCTTACATTTTAAATACAGTGCGCTTGTTCTGCGTCGCATGCCAGCTAACTGGGCGAGAGGCGCATGCAGTCGCCGCTATATCCCATCAAGCTTACGTGACTGTACAGTCGAACAGATCTCGAGCAGCGCCTCTCGCGTTTTTGTGGCGGCTTATCTGACGTATTCGCTCTTGCGAAATCCTGCCACACGCATTCTAATGACAGTCCTTTTGGAGATTGATAGAAAGGAGTCATTGATCAAAGTGAGCTGAACAAGCACTGTGTTCCTTTATGCCACTGTTCCAGAGACAATATGATAAAGCATGTCATTGTGCCTCTCGTGACCATATCAAATCACTGGATCATTTACGCCACTACGCTCAGGCCCAAGCGCAACCAAAAAGTATAAAGGGCGATGCGTGCCGATTCCTTGTATCGACACGCATCGCATTCTCCTCGCGAACATACGCCATGTTACATTCCTCGCTCACTCATTTCTATCTACACACACTACTACCTATTCATAGGATCCTGTTTTGATCAGGTTCAAAATCCTGTCGTGCACCTGTGCGACCCTGCATCTGCTAGAGTTATACTGCAGAACTCTCAGGTGAGGATCATGTCATTCTTATGAGTAACTGGTGTTAACTGGTCATTGAAGAGCCAAGTGGAACACACGGATCAGCTACAAAGTGCCAAAATACAATAACTGGCATATTCAACAATGGAAGACACTTCCTCATTAAATGCAAATGAGGTCACTTGCAAAAAAACCATGCTCACGACTAACTTAGGTGTCGAGTCTTTGCCCTCCCTTTTGTGTATCATTGTATTCTGTGCGTTATCATCCCGGTCAAGGGAGAGCTGGCACTGGAAGGCACACCATGAACAGTATGTGACTTGATACATATTTTTATAGCTTTTCCTGATCCTTTGTGCCACTAGCGAGGTCGAACAATTCATACCACTACAACCTTAGCCTATGACTTGAAAAAATGCCCCTGAATGACTTTGTAGTAATATCAAATATCTTCATTCAGCTTCAAAATTAGAGAATGGTATGGCACATCAGGGCGGCCTTTCCCAATCTTGCAAGAGCCCAAATGCTCTGTTTTTATTGAGTATACATTATAGGAGTCTTTCGGATATGGCACAATATCGAGTATAATGTGCTTGTCAGCTTGAAGTCTTTATGTTTGCATATACAATCATATCTTGTAGGAATCCATGAAGGCAATGACCTACTGTCCTTTGCCAAAAAGCATTAGCACTTAATGATTATTAGTTCGTTTCTGAGGGTTCCCACAGTAGCAACACCGGGTTTGGAACGGATGGATAAGCGCGCGTCGCCATGAAATGATCGTGTGAACCCAGATATGTATCATCATCTGAGCTTCATGAATGTGAGACTAGGACCATTCAAAATTGCCGCTTAAATCTCGCTGGGAAACAAGCGACGTTTAAGCGGCCAAAAGCAGCGAGCAGAATCTGAGCTCCCCTCCTCGAACAGCGACAAATAAGCAACCTTTAGATCGAAGTGGGACACGCAAACCTTATTCGGGGACGGTCACGTGACTGACGCGCGACGCGGTGCAGTCACGCCCGTGTCCCGTAACAGGAAAGCGACTGCTCGTCGCAAGCGCTCGCAGATTCTCACGGCCATGTCACGCTTGCATAATTCGCCGACCTGGTTAGCCCTTCGCAAGCCGAGAACGTGATCAAATCACGGCTGCATCACGCCTAGTCATCTGTGACGCTTTCAGCGACCTTCAGCCACATATGGGCGCTCAAAAGCAGCGAGAAGTCGCTTGTTTTCCAGCGAGATTTAAGCGGCAATTTTTAACGGTCCTACTCCTAGATCTGCATGAGCATTATTCTTGGCCCGGAAGGGTACCTGCGGATTGTTTGGTAGAATGTGACATTGCAAACACGTATCATCTATGACTGATAGAACAATACAGTGCAAGAACGCACGGCCGGCCGTGTCTATGTGGACAGGTGAGGGTGGATATGACTGCCGTACTAGCGCGACGTTGGTGAGAGGCACTGTAGGAAATTTCCCATTGTATTATGAGCGTTTTATTTCCTTCTTTAATTGATGCAGGGGAGAATATCCAGCTGTAGATTCTATTCGCTGCTGCTTGGTCCATCATCCAAGCAGCGCGATTAATGTTTTGCTGGCGGTCAACGTGTTGTTCTCATATTGCAGATACATCCTCGCAGACAGCATCACAGAAAGAAGGAAATACTGAAGTCAGACGATCTGTCGGTTACAGTATGTGCGGACAGCGCTGCATTCTACAATTCCATCAACTGCATGCGATGCCGGCGTAATTCACACGGTATTTTTGGTGAGTGCAGGCACTTTTTTTGAGCGTCGGCTGCAAATTCTCGGCGTATTGTTTCAGCTCGCTGGCGCATGTCGCGACGAGACGGAGCTGCCGGGGCTGCTGAGCCCCGATCGCCAGTGAGTGTCTCGCGGCGGAGCTCAACGCGGCGGGCGGCAGGTTCTACGGAAAATCTTGACAGCGCCAGAGATTGGAGCAACAGAAACGGACGAATGAGAAGGTGGGCAGAAGAGGGCGTAGCGTACGAGCTGTCAACGGCGCGAGGCTATGCGCGCCTTCACAGTGACGCGGTGGGGCGCCCGCGATACTTACCATATCTGGACGAGTGCGCATCCCAATATGGCAAGTGTCGTAGTTGGTTCGTCTTGGAGCTGTGTTTACATTTCCCAAACATCGGCCGTACAAAAACTGGGCTCTGTCCTTTGCTGGATCTTCAGCACTTGCCCCGCAATCGCTCTCTCGATACTCGCACATACATCCACCCTCTGCATTTTTGCCCACCCAAACTGCTCTCATACACGCGATGCACGCTCTGGTCGACCCGACAAGCATCCTCGGCGTGCTGCTGTTCCTCCGCGGTACCGTCAATAGATACTGGTTCATCAACAATCCTGGGGAACTCTCCGTGCAGACGATGGCTCCTACACGCACAATCCTCGTCGATATGCCCCCCACGCCGACTGTGCTTGATACCGAAGGATCACTTGGACCATCGGTTCATCTCACGTTATTCAGCGTGCTAGCAATGATGTCGCTCGTCAGCGGCGCCATTATAAGCTTCAAGAAAACCCCCTCCTTTTCCTCAATGATCCCTCTCCTCATCACCGTCTTCGTCGTCTTCTCCTCTGTCCTCGGCCTCAACGTCTCCGTCGTCCTCCACATCGTCCTCGAGGCCCGGAACGAAATATCACTCGCGACCGACATCTATACAGAATCGGTGTCGCTTCTCGTTAGCATTCTATCCACCATGGGGCGTGTCGCTACTCTATACGGTCAACAACTACTCCTGAAGGCCTTCTCGAACTCGGAGCTCGCCGCCGCCCACAATGTGTATCAACATATCGTCAACGACGTTGTTAAATTCTCTCTACCTGCGGTCGAACGGGGTCGAGAGGGTATGGAAGAGGTGTACAGGGTGCTTCCGTATGCGCGTGTCGTCGCCCTGTTTACAGTAAGCCTTCGACTATTGCGCTCTGTATGCGGGGTGTACACTTACTCACACTGTATCCAGCTTCTCATGGCTCTCATCTTCTTCATCTACAATACTTGTCCCTGTCTCATTCGTGCGGTCATCAACACCACCACAAGACTCATCCGCGGTCTTCCCCGAACCATCTTCCTCCTCAGCAAGGTCATCGTCAAGAGTGCCTTCTTCCTTTTCGATATCGTAGACAAGTTCTTCATCCGCTCCGTGTTCCTATGCCTGCGGATAGTTCGCGTTGCATTCAAGCTTACGGGAAAGCTCATTCGACTCATCTGGCAATCCATTCGTCATTCTCGTACTCCTCAGGTGACACCGGACTCTGACGACTCCTGCTCACACTGCTTGCATTGCATGTGCCCGCGACCAATCCCCGAGGAAGACTACGTCTGGGATATCGAGTTGCCTGACGACTCCGACCGTGTCTCGTTCAAAGAAATCATGCTGTTCCTTACGCTTTCCCTCTGGATCGCCGGCTTTGCGTCAAACAAGACTCGTCCCATCTCCGTTGCGGTCGTCTACGCACCTTCGACGGTGACTTCTCTCATCTGGAGCATCAAGGGTCTTATCTTCAAAATATTCCTGCATCTGCTGGCGATGACCTACGAGACCATCACATCGCTTCAATTCATCCTCATGGCATCTGCCTACATTGTCGTCAAGTCTCGTGTGCGACTTGCGATCCCAGCTCGCAAGCTCGCAGGATGGCTCTGGCTTGCGATTTACTGTGCCTTCACATATGTCTTTGCTCGTCCGCAGGGTCAGCAAGCGCAACCTCCTGTTCGCAACGTGGAATCTGTCATGAAGACAACGCAACCAGTATTTGTGCCTCCACCGACGTTTCGACGGGGTGGTGAGGAGAGGAAGCGACTGGCAGAGGAGAACAAGAAGAGGAATGCCATGAGGCGGGAACAGCGATCGCGTTCGCGGGAATGAATAGGGTAAGTACTCATTCGATTGTTGTCAACACTCACCTAACCCTGCTTCAGACCGCGCAAGTGGTGCAAGGGGCTTCAATATGGGCAATAGACGGCGGCACGGTGTCAACACTCATAGGCGACGGACATCTATTCGACTAATCGAACATGGTACGTGGCGGTTATGTGTCCGAGTGGCGAGGCGCGACCAAAGGCGCCGTTGATCGCGCCTCGTTAACGGGTAGCACATCATCTCGATAGCTTTCCGCCTCCGACATCGACATCTCCACCAACTGTAAATTCGACGGCCACTGAATTCGCTTCGCACGACGAGCCCTGCATCTTGGGACGGGTGGTAGCACAAGCCGCATCTCGCAGGTAATGCTACTAGGTTCGCGCACACACACTTCGTGCGTTTCCTCTCATTGCGCGCGTGGTAGTCGCTGACTTGCTATGCAGTTGTCGTGTCTCTGCTCGTGTCTTTCGACCTCCGCATCTTCGCCCGCGACCAGCCCGCTCGTTGTCTTTGCGAACGCCACCGGTCATCGTCCAGTTACCTCGTCGATCTATTATCGCTCCTGCTTAACCTCGTTGCTCGTCACACTCATCCGCTCACCGCCCAGTCGCCTGTCCCGTCGCTGCCCGCCCCGCTGACTCCTGCCCTCCTCCGCGCCCTGCGCATCCGGATCCGGATCCTGACTCGTATGATCTATCTCGTATCTTGAATCATATTATCGTCTGCGCCCATATGACCTTCTACTTATATAACGGTTGCCCCCCCCCCCTTTCTCTCGCCTCGAGCCCTGAGGTGAGGACAGAGGCGCCGCTGTCCAAACCTTAGCGCGAGAGGCTCCCTTTTGTTTTGTTCATTTTGACATATTCCCGCATATCTCTATCGACGATTTGTTACTTACATCTAGCCTTGGTCGTCTTCTTGTCTCGTCTTGTGTGTCATCTCGACTTGTGGCCTTGAATATCTAGTAATCTCATCTTCGAGCCGTCCTCATGGCCTCTGAATTGTTTCCTATATTATCAGTTTTCTCTTACCTCGGGTTGGAATGTATCTATACTTCGGAATGCATCGTAGAATTCCCTCTGAATATCCTTGTACCCAAGGGAAGCGTTGGGACTCTTTCAGTGGTTATAATAGTTGGATCTACTTACTGTAAGCTAACAGAATAGTTTTTACATATAGAAGTTACAGGCAACAAATCGCCTGATTAGGCAATTCCCCCCTGAGCCGTCTCTCAGTCCTGAACCTCGGCTGAAACCAATTTGACCCCACGCTTTTTGGATGTGGTGAGTTAAATGCTGCTTGAAAAAGCCATATTGATGATTGATTGACCGTTCCAGCCGCGCACGAGCTTGGGAAAACCAGTGAGAACGTGCAGTGACAGTGGGCGCGTATCTCGTCTTCGACGCCGACAACGACGGCCAACCATGCTACTTGTAGTCTCCCGCCGCTGCAAAGAATGAAACCTGAACTGTAGCCATGTCGGACGAAGCAGCACAAATCGCACGGTATGTAACAGGCAGACTGTCGTGGACTTCTGGCTGACCCAAGACAGTGAGGCCCACGGTCTGCAGCAGACCTTGGCAGAGTTACTTAAGACGAGAGATCCATGGGACAAGGAGGTCGAATTTTCAAGAAAAAAGTAAGTGTACTCCTGTTACTCTACTCTATAGCTCTCCCTCATCTGTGCACAGTCTCAGGCGGCAGTACTTGCGCTTACTCTTCGCGCACCCGTATGCTACCGAATCTCGCGACGTCGACACCCACCTCTGGCGGGCGACGTCATACCCGTTTATCGCACGATACAAGGAAGGCATAACCTCACTCGACCGCACCATCTACGGCCCACCACGCGAACAGCAACCGCGGCAGCAGGGCGGGCAGCAGCGCGTCGTAGAGTACCGCAAGCTGTTGCAGCGTTTCCGCCAGTTCCTTTCTGAAGAGGAAAAGTTTTGGGTTCAGCTCATCACCCGTATCCGCCGCGTGTTCGCGCTGGACGATGCGCAGCGCGCGCTCACGGCGCTCAGCATCGTCCCGGATGACACCTCGGCCACGGCCACGACTGCAGAGGGCCCGACACCCCGGCGCAATCAACACCAGTTCCCCCCAGAATCTAATGGTGTGCTAGCTGCGGCAGTGACGGCGAGCTCGACGCAGCGGCAAAACAAGATGACGGCGCTTGGGAAGGCGCTGGTGCGACTGGGCGATATCGAGCGCTACAAGGAACAGTACAACGAGGCAGGTGGGCGGCCCCGCGCAGGCCATGAGGACGGGCCCCCAGCCGTCCCGCAAAACCGGGGCCGGAGTAGGAGAGGCGGGTCTGCTGGGGCTGGAGCGGCACCCGCGGTGGTCATGCCTCGGATGCGCAACTATGAGAAGGCGGAGCAGTGCTACCGACAGGCACGCTTGTTGATGCCGCATGATGGTAACTCGTCCCACGGGCTCGCCATCCTCGCGTTGTACAAGAAGGACAAGTTTGATGCGCTGGTGCAGTACTATCGTGCTCTGTGCGTGCGCGCTCCATACGAGGCGGCAGCGGAGAACATGCAAATGACTCTGAACAAAGCGCTGGAAACGTGGAAGGGCAGGCAGAAGGAGAGGGTGCATGAAGAGGTCAAAGCGAGCGCGAGCGCGGAGCCTCCCCGTGTACGGGTGGCTGCCTTCGAAGAAAAGTTGGTGGCCCTGCATGCTCTCTTCCAGACGCAGTGCCGGCGAGATGAGTAGGTGTCCTGACACGTAAAATGTTCTCGCGACTTACTGGTCTTCAGTCCAGCGTCGTCCTTGCATGTTGTCTCACAGCAAGTGACGGATGACTTCAAGGGCCTAGTTTCCGACCGTGTCCTTCCCGCTGAGATGATCTCAAAGGTAATCATCATGGCGCAAGGTGCACTTTGGCGATACCGGTCTACCCGGCAGTCCTCCAGCTCGTCCCACCGCAGGTCCTCCGCGACGTCTATCACCTCTACAGAATCCCACATTGCTACCCATCTCCTTGCGACGCACCGCGCGCTGCTCGAAGTCGGCGTAGCGCAGCTTGCTGAAGCGCCAGAAGATCCCAGTAACCAAGATCTTGCTCAGAAAATCACTGCAGAGTTACGGCGCACTCTCCCTGCGTTGCGGCTGGCAAGCAAATGGGTGCGCGCAAACCTCAAATATTTGTTGCAGTCCTTAGGGACAGCCCCTGGCGAACATGCCAATGGGCACACCAACACGAGAAGCAGGGACAGAAGGGACAGAGGCAGGCGATCGACAGGGCCCGGCGCTCCAGACGTGGGCGTACGAGAATTCTGGAACGCATTCATGCAGTTTTCTAGTGCGCTCTCGCGTACCTTCCCACTTGTCAGGCTGCCGCCGATGGCTGTACCTTTCGAGGAAGATGTCGAGCTCGGCGGATTCCAGCCCCTGAAGACATTTGTATCGAGTGGCGGGCGATCTGGAAATGGAAGCAAGGCCCCAAGCGTCAATAGCGAAGTTCTCCCTGAACAAGTACATCCCAACGAGGAGCAGTTGATGAGGATAAGGGATCTGCTCATGGATGCTCAGGCATTAGCGGCAGCAGAGGTGAGTAGTCCCTGACGTTGTCGGAGTAGAGATGTCGACGTGTTACCAGGAAACACCTTTCGTACTGGACGATGGACGATTCGAGCCGGCAGCTGGGCAACCTGAATCAAAACCTGTCGTGCAGCACGTCATTGATACGACACTATCACAGCCAGCCAGGACGAATGGCGAAGCCCTCGGGGCGCTAACGTTACAGCGCGATTCAGTGCAGGAACCTCCGGTCGCCGAGAGCGACGATGATAGCATGGCGGAAACTTCGCGTACAGATGATGATCCCGTTGGGGATGCGTTTCGCGAAGCGCTCAATGGGTCTGATGGTGAGGACGAAGATGACCAGGACGAAATCGTCTGGAATCTTGGGTGCGTCTTAGCTTCGCCTCACAGAGCACCAACCTATAATACCCGTACAGTGCTTCTTCCCGTGAAGTCTTGCAACCTATTCTTCCTCAGGTTTCGCCAGGACGCCCTCAATCATCCAGTCCTCTGGTCCCCGCATTCAGTCCGCTCAGTCTATCCCAGAATCTGCCAGTCAGTCGATCCGGACTTGATAGGACCCCAACCATCCCTACGAAGGCTCTGGTAACGACAGCGGAAGATTTACTGAAGGGTCTGCAGCGCGTTGGCGGACACACACGGATGCCATCCGCTCCTCAATCGCAATTGCTCTTCGGTTCTGGAGCGTCCGGCACCTCACCGTCGATCTGGTCGACAGCTCTGGACGGCAATGCCTTGAAGTTTCAGGGAGCGGCCGCGGGGACAACGGTGTCTCAACTCTATCCATTGCAACAGCCAAACACACTTTCGCAATCGCCTTTCACATCGCCTCGATCGCAAAGCAATGGGCCCGACGTAGCATTACCTGTGATACCGGCTCAGCAGCCGGCCACTTTTCCCAGCCCCGCGCACCAAAGAGTACCTTCCTTGTCCCAGGGGCTACCGAGCCTGAACTCGAGCCAGCCATTTGGCTTCTCTGGCTCATACAGCTCGCAAACGTATCCATCAGGGGCCGCATATAGCACGGGTGTTCCTTCTGCCTATGCTGATCCTGTGTATCCACCTGCTTCTGTGGCAGGCTTCCGTCAGCAATATCCGCCTGGCTATCCCATGCGACCTATTAATCATACACGTATCCCGAGCGTTGGCCAGGTGACAAGTGCCATGCACCCTTCAGTAGCACCATTCCCTTCAATGTCTCAAGTCTGGCCCAATCCTGGATGACTGTGATTGCCCTCAGCCAAGCTCTGATACTCATTCTCAGCATACACATCGCTACGGAGTGGGCGGCAGGAGAGATAGTACGAAATCAGACGCACCGTCTATTTATGGACCCACTCTCTTAACTCGCCCGCTCGAAGGCGGGATCTCCATCATGTCTGGCCCAACCTCCTTCGTTGAGGTATAGAGTGTCTTGGCATCCTTGCCCGTCCGCCCGTATGCGAAGATGCCCTACTTATACGTCTAGGACGCGGTATCACTACTGGCAGACGACTGGTAGTCTATCTCCGTGACATGCCCGGCTTTTTCTCCCCTTCGATCTCCCGTCCTGCAGTGACTCGCACGGATTCTATCTTGCCCTCTCGTATTGCTATCAATGGTTTTTGTTACGTCGTTTCTTTAAGGCCCTTACTTGTATCAAGTATCGTGAGGCCGCTATTCATGCCACTAGCTGCTCGTGTGCGTAGTAGCAATGTGTATTAAAATGTAGCAATGTGTTGGCGTGTTTTACTATTCTGCGCTTCCTCAGTCTGGCCACAAGTATATGCTGAGATAGATCTGACGAGTTGCGCAGGATAGCCTTTGCGCGATATTGTCGAAAGCAGGAGGAAAGCAAAACGAGATGAGACAACATAGCATAAGCAGCCGGTGTATGCTCATAATCAATCGTCGTCATCCTCGTCATTTCCTCCATGTCGGAAGAGAGCAACGAGTTCATCGGCGCCGAGTCGCATATTCTTCATTCTGTCACCCGAAAGCGCTGCCTTGGCTAGCTCTCGCTTCTTGTCCTGAAGCTGTCGTAGCGGTAAGCATAGAGATTTGAAAAAAGCGTGAGGCCATCAAACCTCTAGTATCTTGTCCTCGACTGTATTCGGTACAAACAGCTTGTGGATTCGAACATTACGAGTTTGACCGAATCGGTGAGCTCGGTCAAATGCTTGATCCTGCAAGCAACATTTGATGAGTATCACCAACACTACTGTAACGCAGGCTTGGTTACCTCAAGTGCTGGATTCCACCACAAGTCTACCAGGATCACGTTGTTGCAACATGTGAGATTCAACCCTGCATGATGGTGTCCATCAGTCTGTAATCTTACATGTCACGAGAAAACCGACCAGTAGATCCCGCTTTAAACGAAATGAGGATTACACGGGTCTTGCGACTTTCTCGGATCTTCTCGAGGGCCTGGTCTCTCTGCAGCTTGTTCATACTGCCATCGTCTATAGCAGAGCGTTAGGAGCTAGGGTGCGCAATACATCAAGCCGATGTGTACTGCACTCACATCGAACGAATTTGATCCCTTCTGCCAGGAGGAAAGGCTCGAGCAGGTCGAGCATAGACGTAAATTGGGAGAATATAATAGTCTTCTCCTGCCCTCCGGACTGCTTGTCGATGTCATGAAGTAGCTCCAAAATCTTACGCGTCTTGCTGGAATCAGGAGGAAGATCCGAATCGGTCGACCGTCTTCGTGCCTTCGTCATAAGACTGGCACAAGCATTGCAGTTTCCATCCCCATTGATATCACCGACGGGAAACCTAGCCACAACGAGAGTCATGATTAGTGCCGAAAACTCAAAAGAGCAAGGATAGCACACCTCATCTGGCACAATTGGCAAGACGTTGTCCCAGAAATGCCCATGCCGGCGAGAGCGTCTGCAAGCGCATCTGCGTCTTCGTCTCCATCCTCTCGACTTTGTGTAGCCTTGGGCTCAACCGCGTCCTTGTCCTTCCTGTAGTCCTCGGACACAAGGGTTGGGTGATTGCAGGCTATGGCCAAGACCATTGAGACAGTAAATCACGTGCAATCACAAACTTCACTAACCCTGACGCAGCCGTAGAAGCAACACGAGCATCGAGGTATAGTTCTTGGCAACACCACCTTGTTTCTCCAACTTGTCCAAGCTGTCCTGGACTCGGGTGTTGACAGTCTCGTAGAAGGCACGCTCCTGCGCATCGAAGTGGCATTCCACCATCCCCACGCTCCGATCGGGCAGCTGCAGAATAGGTTTGCCATTGACCACTGTTTCTTTGGTTCGCCGAAGCATGACGGCGCCCAGGACCACCTGCACATCAAGGCATCATCAGATCAATCGAGTTGTGAGAATAGGTCTGCTGACCTGAAGACGTTTCATTGCCCTCGTTGTTTTGTTGCTCTTCACGGGCAAGGCGATCTGCGCATTAAAGGTGGGCCAATCGTTAAGTGGCCGGATGCGGAGAAATTTGAATAAAGAGAATAGCTCTTCGACGTTGTTTTGCCTGCATGCAATAGTCCCCGTCAAGGCACCTGATACATAATATCTTCTCTAAAGTACTCACATCGGGGTACCGGTCAAGCACCAGCGGTACTTGCTTTCAAGAGCACAGCATGCTAGAGCAGCCTTTGTCGTTCTGTTCTTGATGTTATGCGCCTCGTCTGTGGAGAGTATCCCCTTCAACAGGGTGATTTCTGGGCTTCACGATATTCGAAGACTTGCCTAGCACTATGCGATACCATTTAACACGAAACAATGCGTCTTTTGGCTTCTTCCCAGACGCCTTGCGCGTCGTAGTCTTGAGCACTTTGCCGACGCTGTCATCGTCGGAATCATCTGAGACTTGGGACTGAGACTGCTTCGACTTCTTTTTGGGCTTGCTCTCGTCTGTTGCCGGGCTATACGTGCCATATTCGGACGCGATGGTTGAGTACGACGTGATCACGACATGAGCGCGCTCGAGATCCGATGGGTCTACATGCAGAGATGTCTGAGCAGCGGGTTTGATTTCAGTTTCGTGCGCAACGTACTGCTAGTACGGGTTTGACCGTGATGTTCAATGACTGTGAGACCGATCGCCATCTTCATGATCTCACTCGCCCACTGCGACACGACGGCAACGGGACACACAACGCTTGCCTCCAGTCAGCCAGGTTCCTCCAATCAAACGATTCTGTTCTCACAGAGTAGAGGGAGACCATCCGTCTTTCTTGTCCCTCTTGGTCGCACGGCCATCCACGATCCTTGTAATGGTCTGGATGGTCTTTCCGAGCCTTTGTGCGTGTCAAAAACGTGTGTCCTATTGGGCATACCATAGACTTACCCCATGTCGTCCGCCAGGAGACCACCCGTCTTCTTCCCTGTCTCTCGCTCGGCCATCCACTTCCTGCCCACGATCTGGTGTGGCAGGAGCTTGATTCCAGGACGGAAGCCTTCAACAATAGCATCTTCGAGCGACACATCAACTTCATCGTGGCCGTAAGCCCCCGTGACGAGATCTTGCAGCGCCTTTTCAGCATCAGCGGGCGTAAGCATGGGGTCGTACATATTGTCAGCAGCAGGGAGATCAAAGGTCTCATAATCGCGGTCTGAAGTGCGCAGAGGCTCCAGGTCCTTGTTGGAAGGTATATGCACCGGCCGAGCTGCTTTCAGAAGAGCAGGGGGCGGTGCATTCGATGATTGGGGACGTAGCGGCTGCGAGCTGGATAACAATTGGTTCATAGTGCAATCGAGATCATCTGGGATGAAACGCACACAATCTGCACTTCGTCATCCTCTGAATCTGATAGTACAATGATCGGATTCTGGTTCCGTGGCTTCATCTTCACTGGCATGTCGGAGTCGGAGGCGTCAGAGTTTATGGACTATTAGGCGAGTGCTAATCAATACACCGTATATACGAATTGCTGTATCACTGACCACAACAGATATAGGGTTCTGAGCTTGAGACGTCGTTCCGGGTGCCTCTCGCACGCGCGAAACGTCCGGGTACATGCTCGTGCCAGCATTCTCCATGAGCTTCCTTCGCCTGCAGGACAATATAGGTCATGTTTAGCTGTCTTCTCTTTCAGCCAGAACATAACCAGAAATTGACTAATCATGCAAGGTCGAGGAAGTAAATCTTGTTGGGCCACTCAACATCAGGACATCCACACTTCGTGCATGACCCTCGTTCTCATCGTGCGCAAGCATCATCCTTGATTAGCAGCATCCAAAACTCATACATATCAGAGAGGGCGACCGCACGCATCCATCAGACATAATGTCGACCGATAGCATGAAGACACGCCTAAGGCGATTCTTCTGTCCGCCACCGACGCGGCATGAAACCAGGCGCGTGTTGACGATACAAACGTCGTTGGAACTTACATGGCCTCCATGTCGTCTACGTTCTATCCAGGTAAATAGGCTTGGTTTCAACAATTCACAAAGCAGAGTGGCCAGAGTGGTAGGTACAAGTTCAAGATGAATCTATCCGGCGTTCCGCTATATTGGACGCGTCGAACGGGCACGTGACGGCGCGTTGGGATTCCCGTCCTCGTGACTTTGACATCATGTTGTGCTTAATATGAGTGATGTGCATACTTGTATACCTTCGATAGCTCAGTTGGAAGAGCGCGAGACTGTAATTGGATGCGTCATCTTGAGGTCGCTGGTTCGATCCCGGCTCGAAGGATGTATTTTTTCCCTGGAACCGTCACGTGCAGGGACACTCACGGCTACATCATGTGCCCTCTGACGCCACATATCACGTGCAGACCATCTTCAAATCCAAACTCCGATTGAGGTCAGGTGCCAGGGGTGAGGAGTCAGAATGCACGTGATACTTATGACGTAGGTGATGCGATCTGTGATACGATCTTCCTAGATATCCGGAGCCGGCCCAAGTTGAAGGAATTCTCTACTCTGCTCTCAGGAGACTACGATCTTCCCGCACCTAGCATGAGTGCCGCCCTCATATGAAGTCCCCAAGACCTTCCAGAGACGGCGTATAGAGGTTTGGGGATAAGCTTGATACTAAGCTAGTGATAGGACTGAGCAGGTTTGATGTGGTATACAGAGGAGCCAGTACACCCGTGGCAAAGGATACAGCATCTCATGGAAAACTATCGCCATCCAGATTACGCATTACGCATGCCGACGCCCGAGGCGTCCGCGTCCACAGAGTCCCCCGCACCCGTATTCGCACCAGTGGCGGGGCCGTGGCTCGCGTCGAAGGTTGCGCTGCGAGCGTGCTCCGCTGCCTGCTCGTGGATTTGGGCGAGCTTAGACTCACGCGTCGCCTAAGGAGCATGTCAACCCTCGCGAAAACGGCGAGAGAATGATACCCACGTCATTGGCGGCCTTGCGCTGCTGGAGCTCCTCGAACTCGTTGCGGCGCTTCTGGAGATCCTGCTCGAGGACCGACTCATGCTGGCGCTGGAGCTAGGGAACAGCGAAAGGTCGATGCAGGCGAACACGAGAGAGTAAGCCAGCGTACCTCGACAGTCTTCGAAGCGTTGTGCTGGTTGGCGATGGCGGTCTCATGCTGGTGCTCGGCCTTATTGACTGCTTGGGCGGTCTTGTGCTCCTTCTTGACCGCCTTGTCGAGCGCATGCTGCGCCTTGTCTGCCGACTGCATTCCCGGTCGGTGGCGTAGGCTCTGGAATCAATGATATGACAGCGCACCTTGATGCTCTTATCGTGCATCTTGTCGGCTTTCTTCAAGTCCCTCAGCGCGTGATCGACGTTCTTCTGGTCGGCCTTGGTCTCGCTCGCGATCATCTTCTCGACCTGGCGCGTTTCGGGATTGTCGGACATGGTGCCTTTCTTGGATTTAGAGCTGAATATACCCATGATGACTATCAGCGAGTGTAGATGTGTAGTAAAGACGGCGTGAGCTCAGCTCAGAGTGAGAGGTCGTGAAGGTCGTTAGGGAAGAGGGAGAAAGGCAGAGTTGGGGCAATATTGGTGGCGGCTGACATGGGGAGGCCTTTATGGTGCGCAAGGGTCCTTCCCCTGTGCAGCGTCATCGGAGGCTAACGGTTAAGTTGGAGACTGGAGTCCAAAGACAGGAGGAGCCTTTGCCAGCCCCCTCGCGTCGTGCCTGGTCCGTGACGTCACGCGTAAGTCTCGTGATCACCACCTAACCCGTCCAATCAAACGTCTTACGCTACATGATACTTGCCAACTTCCTCCCTACTACCGTCAGGATGTTGCACGTACGCAGATGCCCTTATACGAAGTTCTACAGACACTATCATTCTGCTCTGGTATACTTAACTGATCATGTGCGCGAGGAGAGGCAAACTTGCCGTGTCCCAATGATATCTTTCCTATCCACAGTGAGCGACAATGCCTGTACCACAGTCTGTGAGACAACTTTTGAGTAAGCAGCCCCTTACGCTCCTGTTCTGGCGGTGTGCGCCACGCGCAGTGCAGATGCGTCACCGCCTGCACGGTAATGTGTTCAACAAACAACTTCCATTTACTACGCCCCATGCGTGTCGTGCTCACGTCAATCGTCAGGTACAGCTCGCATATATATGTCGCTTTCTTCTGTCGCTCATCATTTTGATACACTGTCGCAGCTCGCAGATCACGGTGGTATCATCCCTTGTGGCTGTGCTCATCGCCCCCCAATCTTGCCGTACACTCGCTGCGTCTTGTGACCGACATGCCCGTTGGCTTGCGTTTCACAGTTTCCATGATCGACCTCTAGTGCACGATGACTGCGCATAAGTAAGACGATAGTCTTATACTGGTTTGTCGAGCCTCGCGATTGCAATGCCCGTCATTATGGACTCTCCTGCTGCAATCGAAAATGAGGTAGCAACGACGATACAAGCCTCGTAAAATTGCATTCTCTACTTCTCAAGCTCGTGCTGACAGATTCCTCTGCAGCATGATACTCGAATGCTGTCTTTTGGCAGCCACCGGTTCGTGGCTACGTCATCATCTGACATGTATGATCACTGACATTTGTTCTGCAGCTGTGGTCGTTTATGACCAGGTGCTCATAATACCCGACATGTTCCATGTGCTCAAGAGACGCGGGTTCTCCGGGGTCTCGTGGATACTCTCACTCAATCAAATTACACTACTTGTGAAAACCATTTGCAGTATTCCTGTCAATGATGCCATTCTGCGTGCTATTGTGGGTACCAATGCAATACTTTGAAGTGATTTTGTGAATTCTGACTTTGTTCAGGGGTATGTTGACGGTAGCTCTCTGATGATGAGATGTTGTGACAATCGGCAGTAATTGCGATCAGGCTATGGGATTATCATTCTTGGTGATCGGGGTTACATTGACTACTGGTAAGTGTCCACCACTATATGAGCAGGCTCAGGCTCACAGGTATACAGCGTTCAATTCACTACGACTGTTTGCAATCAGCCTGCACAATAAGTCGCTCACGGCAGCAACCTTTCTACTAGGGATTGTTCCGGCAATTACAAACATTGTATGTTGCCGGATTTGAGCTTTTAAGCAGAGTGAACTCATGTTTTTCAGTATCTGTATTTCATGTCGTCCGAAACATCATCGACTTTCCATGACACAGTGATCTGTTCATTGCATACACGTTTGTCAGAAGATACATTGATTAAGTATGTAAGATATGAATTGCTTATGGTGAGTTATGCCTATACTGAATTTCCTACAGATGTAAGATAATGATATCTAGACATAGTACATCACTGACATAGGAGCAGTAGAGATCATTACAAGAGTATCAGCTGTACTGTCTGACATTCTAGCTATAGGAGGTACCTGGTATTACAACATCTCTGTCTACAAGATGGCATACAATGCAAATATCAAGCATTCATTGGCTTATATCATTCTGAGAGATGGTATGTCTTATTACACTTTGGAAGCACGATCAATCTCAGTATATATGCTCAGGCAGTTTCTTTTTTGTGTATGATTTTTCCCCTTGGCTTCTCACTGTGATTGCTGACAAAAATGTAGAGTAATGCTGCTCATACACACCTTAACGCTTATAGCCAACATATCGGCATACACAAATCCAAATGAAGTCACACAGGTCAGATAATTTTGGGTTGGTCTATGCTCATGCCACTGACTGCAGATATCACAGACCATATCATTGGCCATTGAGCCATTCGTACTAGTGTTCGTGCTCCACATACCAAATGACATTCCTAGTTCTTATTGCATCGCAGGCTTCCAATGCTTCTCACCACACATTTCATGCTTAACCTGCAGCATGCTTCGGCTGCAACTAGCGATGATACGGCCATTCAAGATATTTCATTTGATCAATCAATCAGGCGGACAATCAGTCTCCGGTTTGCATCTAGGATCTCAGATGCTATGGGTGGACCATTGGAGTATATGTCGGTTTCTGGGGAAACTTTGGAAGATGAATATGATGACTTGTCTGATGCAGGGGAAGAAGATCAACCGTTATCTACGGGTTATGTCGCTGTTGCAAAGGATGACACCGATGAGACGGAGGAGGGGCTTCTCGAATCAAACATATAGAAGAACAGTAGCCACTACCAATTCAATATTGCACTACAGCCGAAGTCATTGTGCCGAATCCAAAAGAATCATACGTTCAGCAACAATGCTAGATCTTGAATGAATGTATCTAAGCACAAGTATTATACCACCATGTTCTCCTGCTTCCCATTGGGAAATTGCCCAGAGCGGAGTTCACAGCTTCGGCTTTTTCATTCCGCTGATCCAATCAGCCAATGCGGAGTTCACATCATCCGCAAGTACGAGATGAACCCAATGCCCGCAATCATACTCTCGCACCGTGAGATTAGTGCAGAGTTTCTGCATTTGCGGGAGGTATAGCCGGGGTACGGCCACGGCGTCATGTTTGGCCTCACCGAAGAAGACCGGCTGTTCGATCAGCATCTGCGGCTCCGCGATGTCTAGAAGTAAGAACATGTCATCATTTGTGGGTAGCGAAGCGCAGCTGCTAACGCTGGGGGAGCGTGGACGCACTCTTGCTATCCTCGGCGGCGATGCCTAAAAGCATGATCCTGTACCAGTTGAGCGCACCGCCGAGTCCCTGATCTATATTCTGCTTGAAAATTTCCTTGTCCTGCTGCCCCGCGTGAGCAAATTTGGGCAACGAGAGCAGGCCACGGCGTGACCTTGTCGTTCAGATACGAGCCGACCGCGCACTTCTTGTCCGCGGTCAGCCAAGTCTTCAACGCGCCAGAAGGGCAGAAGTCTGTTTTCCAGATTTGTGGGTCGGCTGCGTGGACGATGGAAAGGAACGACTCGGACTACGGTTTACGGCACAAGATCAGACTCCACACATACAGAAACGTTGCAATGCGGCTCACATGGTCCTTAATGACGCGGTCTGTGCCATCCTCGCTGAAGAATCTGACGTGACGTATCAATACAGCACGGCCGCAAAGGGAAGAATACCTACCGCCAATATCCAAATGTCTCGTAGCCAAGGGCCTGCTTTGTTAATGCGAGCCCCTTCTCGTAGTCGAAGTCCGCGGCGGATGGCGAGTAGCCAACGGCTAGGAACGCAAACGCGAGGAAGCGCTCCTTGTGAAAGACGGCCAGGCGAGACGTTAGAATAGAACCCCTGTGATGATACGTATGAGCGGCTGAGACGCGATTGATTGCCTCTCGTGGAGAAAACAGGCGTCGACATGGGTATCTCCGCAAAACTCATCAAGCAATACACAAATTTGAGAAAGGAGCCTTTGAAAATCCTGAAAGACGGCAGATTCCTTCCTGTGTCACAAGCCTGTCATCAGAAGCCTGCTGTTACGCACAAGCAAGGACAGTAGTCCTCACATGAGACCGAAGTCGTCATGTGCAAAACTAGCTTAAGGCTTTCTTCATCACCTGCGCCGCTCAAATACCGCAGTCGAAAAACTCATAGACAGCGCCGTTTGGATCTGCACGACCTCTACAGCACATATAGGTCTCCCGGTGCCTTAGAGAACACGAAATGAAGAAAGGAGCTCGATATATTGTCATCAAGGAGAACATCGATCTAGCTTGCGACACCCAAGCGGTATTCCCCCGTGCGCACGAGTCAAGCCACCGTAGAGGTACTAAGGTGCAGCACGAGTCCCAAGCGAACATCAACATGACATCAAATCGCCTTGAGCCAACTTGTCACCAAGACATGATACGTCCCGCTCCGAGAGACCTTGGTAGTGACATTATTGAAGGGTGCGCAAAATCAATGAATCACACCTCGAAACCCTACACTATCACGATGACTTCCTGAGACAGCCACACGAGGTAGAGGGCACATCTGTATGTGCGCAGTTTGACGTACCAGTCGTGCCCGATCGCGATCACGTCGCGAGCACCCTCCAAGTCCAGGATCTCGACAATGTCCGCGCACATGGCGCTATACCTGTACAACGCAGAATCGGCCGGCTTGTCTGTGCTGCCATAGCCTAGTAAATCCGGCACGATGATGGGGTAGCCCGCATTCTTGAAGAAGGCAACCTGGAGACGCCAGTCATGGGAGGTTGAGGGGAAACCGTGCACGAAAAGCAGTGTCGGTTTGAACGCATCGCCGGGTGCGGCGAAGTAGTTGTACTTCAAGCCACGAGTGGTAGTGCGCTGCTTGTAGAGGGAGGGATCCATCGCTGTCTAGGGTGCTCGCATTCAGCGGGATGTGTATATGATCAATTGTATACAAAAGATCGGGAAACTCGCAGCTTGACCGGTTGACCGAGGGTGACGATTGCAACAGCTGACCTCTTATCGCTATACATATTACTTCTGAGAAATCACGTTCAATCCATCGGACACTCAAATCTTGTTTGCTATATGTGTTGTCCGAGAACGAGGGAATCCACCCTCCCCAAGCGACGTTGAGAGCCGTGGTAAGAGCAGAGAGAGCACCTCAGAGAGGTGGCAAGGCCGACGAGATTGTCCCGCCAACAGCCGGCATAGCTCGGCCATCAGTCGGCAAGTGATTACACGCTTGAAATGGAAATGCTGTATTGTGACTGTCGGGAGGGCGCGTCTTGTAGCAGACGCAGGTCGGCCATCCTCCAACTACTCAGAAAGGGCACTCTAATTGTAGGCTGCTGAGTGGGACTAGGGTTATCATGACAAGGTACAGTATACAATACTGTAGCATCATAGTGAAGTGACGATCGCGTAAGCTTCCAGCGCTCCCGTGTCTCTGAGTCGCTCGGCCGGGACTTTCCCGTCTCGGCACTACAGACAATCTGACTTGTGACCCGACATCCAATACTGGGACTCTTCAGCGGCCAACTGAGGCATTTGAGCAGCAAAGAGGAATATGAGCATGGCGTCGCAATCGAAGGACGTGCTGCTCGTCGGGTTTGGCGCAGTGGGCGCCATATGTGAGTCAGCCCTTCGACGAATTTGATGATAGTTCATCATTATTCAAATTCCCATGTTCATTCGTAGACTCTCTCATTCTCAAGAGAAGCGGCCAGGCCTGCGTGACGGCCGTAGCGAGGAGCAACTACGACGCCGTCAAATGTATGTCGTGTCTGTTGTATCATAAACGCTTATATTTATTGTAGCTGGTATCATTTCCCGAGGAAGCCAATGGTCTGCACATAAAGAGCAAGAAGTATGGCGAACACAAGGGTTGGAGACCTGACAGATGTGTGTCGTATCACTCATGCTGATTTTTCTTGTCACCTATACCATGCAAGATAGTTCACTGACAAGTTCACAGTGTTCCCCTCGGTCGACCGGGCCCTCGACCGGCCGTATTCATATGTGATCGTCACGGCTAAGGCTATTCCCGAGCTTGTGCGGACACCGACACTTCTCGCACCGCTTCTGTCCTCTCCATACGCCGACCAGCATCCGCAGCCGACCTACGTGTTGATGCAGAATGGTCTGAATGTAGAGGTCGATTTGTACGATGCACTCAAGAAGCTCAACCTTGGGCAGGAGCCAAGGATTATAAGTACAGCTGTCTGGATTGGCACTGGGATGGTGAACAGCACGACAGTAGAACATAACGATTTCGTGAGTGTTCATCCTTACAGGCTCTATCCTGACCAACATCGCCTACAGGACCGCGTGTCGATGGGGGTATACCGCCCTTCGTCTACTGTTACGAGCAACACTGCTGAGGAACAAGCTCTGCTGGAAGACTTTGACCGCATACTCGCCGCGGGCGGCAGCCAGACGACGATTGTGCCCGAGATTCAACGCGTCAAGTACACGAAGAACTTCTGGAACGCGTGCCTCGGCATCACCGCCGCACTCTCGCGCTATCCGCTCACTGCCATATTCCGCCCGCCACACATGGAGCCAGGTGCCTCACAGACCGCTGCCGCCCCCGCTGCGCCGCCCCCAGCGCACCCGCCATCAGCCGTGGCGACCGCATCCATCCCTTGCGCGTCCCCAGCCATTGGCGCGTACACAATCCCGCTTCTGCACGATGCAATGTCCGAAATCTACACGCTCGGCATGGCACTTTTCCCGCCGTCCGACAAGGGTCCAGGGCTTGACCCGGACATCGTGGTGAAGACACTTACCAACACTGCGAGCCTACACGCGCGTCCCGACGCTAATCACCGTGCGAGCACGCTCGTGGACGTGGAAAACGGGCGCCCGACGGAGGTGGAGGTCATTGTCGGGGAGCTTGTACGCATGGGTAGGGCGAAAGGCGTCTCGATGCCGGTGAGTAATGTACGGCTGGATGCACTCACATTCTGACAGTTGCTTGTAGCGCGTTGAGACGCTATATGCGTTGATGCTAATCATTCAGAATCAATTGTTGAAGGAGAATGAGAAGAAGGCGTCGTAATTTGAAGGGCGGAGGAAGACTAGTGTACGTTTGCGCCATACACAAAGAATCAAGTTATGTGGAGTGTATCGTCATTCGCAAATTCAACAAAAGGAGTGTCTGTATTCCAGACCCCTAGACCCCTGACAATAATATGACCATTTATCCTGCTGATACATCAATATTTCTGCTATGTCCTTGCTTGTCAACAACCAGGCTGACGTGGAAAAAGATGACGTGGATCATATCCGATGACAGCATTATAATAGGGGCACTGATGAAACACTGAAGGCTCCGCTGCAGAATGATGAAAGACAATAGGAATTTTCGGTGGCGAGCGTCAAACGGTCTGAGTTCCTCCCTTCCTTGTGAGTCCTTGTTATAGACTTTTGTTCTCACAACCTAATTGTGGAGATACGACATACCAGGTGCTGCGGATGTCCACTTTGCCCCAGTCAACGCAAATGGACGATAGCACTGTAGAGCAAACGGATGATCTAGGTCTCCCTCCCCTTCCAGTCAATCGTGTCTAAAACCTTCTATGCAAGTCTAATCGGCGCGAGCCCTAGCAAGGTGTTCGCAACACGTGCGATGACCCTTGCTCGACTCGCGTGCCGAGCAGTGGGAACATGAGGCTCACATGCCCCTTATTATGCTGCAGAGGGATTTAACCTGGTAGACTGGTTAGGGGCAGGAAAGTACACTCTCCCGCTCCCCTTTATTTCACTGCTAGGTACGTTCCTTTCGAGTTAGATCGACTAGCGACAGCGCGCGCTGACTTCATTATATCGCGCTACTCACAGTCCGCACCTTTCTTTCATTTCGTGTAGCCAACGCAAATGGACGCTAACACTGCCGCGCAAACGGAAGACCTGGGGCTCCCTCCCCTTCCACCGAAACCCAAGGAAAAATCATACTCAGAGCTCTCCGGCATAGAGCTATATTGGAGAGATCGCCAAAAATTCTTGGAAACTCGTGGCTACATGTTACGCCCCCGATTCTGTCCTGGATGGGTGCCTTCGTGGACGGGAACGGATAAGCATCCTGTATTGTGCGATGATTCCAGGGAACTCTTCGTGCGTCGGCTGTCACCAATTGGTAACGTCCGCTGATTATGGATATAACGAACAGTCGGAGGATTCCATTGACGCCAGGATCATGGCTACAGGGCAGCTAGTATACATCAAGAAGGTCGGGACTGGGGATGATGGATCGCGCCTCGCCACCATACTATGGGAACAGCCCCTCCGCAACGATCCAGCCAATCCTTGTGTTCCCATCTTGGACAGCTTCATCGACAACGAGGATTCCAGCATATCGTATATGGTGATGCCTTATCTACATTGCTTTGATGACCCAGATCAACCAGAAATTGTGGATGATTTAGTGGATCTAGCGGACCAAGTGTTACAAGTAAGTGTCACTATGCCTCCTTGGGTTGTTCATTGAAGTTCATCGACATCAGAGCATGGTCTTCTTACATGCACGCGGGATCGCGCATAGGTATGTGATATGACACGACGTGCAATGATGAATTGACCTTTGCAACAGGGGGTGCTCGCGCAAGCACATTATGATGAACGTGAACGCATGCTACCCGCGCGACCTATTCTTCCGCATTAGCTCGAACCAGAAGGCGGCACCAATCCCTTGGTTTCGAAGACGCGCGCAAATCAAGTACTACTTCGCATACTCTAGCATCGCCGTTCATATTCCTCTGGAGGTGGAACCCAAGCTCGCGATACCAGCCTTCGGCGGCGACATCCATGTGCCTGAGGGTCGTAACCAAGTCCCGTGTGATCCGTTCAAGACGGACATATTCATGGCAGGCAACCTGCTCCGTCGCGAGTTCCGTGATGTGAGTTCCTCTCATGCTATTGCACGAGTATGCATCCTTATATTCCAGCAGAGATACTCTAACGTGGAATTCCTCCTCCCGCTGATCAAGTCGATGACCCAAAAGAATCCTGCATTAAGACCGACTGCGGCCGAAGCTTTTGCACAGTGGCAGATCATTCGTTCTCGCATTCCATTCCTTCACAGGGCGTGGGGAATGCTTCGCCGTCACGACAATCCCATAATCAAGGCGATGAGTGAGATCTACGCGTTCGGTCTGGCGGTTGTTCACATCACTACAAAGGCTATTGATCGCGTAGCAGGTCTACAAGGCTGAGCACCGCCTAGCATTGTGTTGCTCTACGACAATCATGATTGAGATATTCTTGCCTTGCCAGTTCGAAACATTGGTATTTTTGACTACTTCGGATTGCGTCTGGAGATCCTTATGAGGCATAGGAGAAATACTCGAGCGTCGCACGTTCAGTAACTTCTGTAGATCTGGTGAGTAGCATCGTGTTTTCAGGTGTTTCCCTGCACGAACCTGTCGCAATAATGATGACGTAGGACGAGGTAAATAGACCTGGCAGCAGCATTGCGGGTAATAGTAATAGAGATACAGTGACGCGCACGATGATACGAGTTGTACCCTCGCGCGTTTGTACTCCATTACGAGCTATATTACGCATACGGGAATACGTATGATTTCAATCAGATAAGATGCAATTAACCATGTAAGCTTGTTCAAACCTCAGTCTCCAACACATTTCTGTGTTAGCGGCGTTGAGGGGCGCGAGGCGGACCGGGCGACGTGACTCGCTGCTCAGGTATGAGGAGCATGTGCGCAGATAATAGGTGCGCGTGTTAGACTGTCCAGCGTATCTGTAACCCTTGAGTAACGGTGGATGTTAATAGAGACATCAATTGGAAAATCATGTTATGGATTCTTAGGCTCTGGCTATACAAGTACAGTGAGCGTTGTAGATTTTATAATCAATCTCTGGGACGGACTCGTGCACTTTAGATGTCCAATCTTGGACGACAGCTTGATGAGGGCTAACTTGTTGGAAAGAGTCGGCATAAAGTCACGTGGGTTGTCGCGTACTCCTCGCACTGACGCGCGCGACGGTGGCTCTACGCTGCCACCTGCGACAATCGGGCACCTCCGCCATCACTGGATTCTAATAGATCATTGTCGCGCACTAGCCCTACTCGTCGCCGCCTGGATCGGTTAGGCAATGGGCAATGCTCAGTCTCTCATTCGCACCAGTGGTGCACTGGACTCGTTTGTGGCCGAATTAGGCGGTGACATCGTCTACGAGAGAAGGTAAGCGTCATTCTGTACGCAGGCCAGTTCAGCTCATCGCTAGCTTAGTCTTGGATCTGCTCGATTTCTTAAGACTGTCAAGTGCCGACATAAGAGCGGGTATCTCGTAGTCAAGATATTTGTAAAGCCCGATCCTGGGCTGAGCATGCGGAAGTACCACCGAAGGCTCAAAGGTGCGCACACTCGACTGCAATTTCACGGATTATACTGAGCGCGTGTAGTTGAGCGTGAGGCCTTGGTGGACATTGCAAATGTGTACAGTTATCAGACCTTCGTTGAAACGGACAAGGCTGGGTATATCGTGCGACAATGGATTGCGAGTAGTCTGTACGATCGAATCAGGTGCGCTCGCAATGTTTCTCTCTCACAAGGACCTGGAGTTAAGGATGTGCCAGTACCCGCCCATTCCTCAGTACGATAGACAAGAAATGGATCGCATTCCAGTTGCTCAATGCTCTACGTGATGCACGCAATCGGAAGGTCTCTCACGGAGACATCAAATCGGAGAACATCTTGGTCACCTCGTGGAACTGGGTGTACCTGTCTGACTTTGCCTCCTATAAGCCCACGTATTTACCCCTTGACGACCCCTCCGACTTCTCGTTTTTCTTCGACACGTCTGGCAGACGTACATGCTATATTGCTCCGGAGAGATTCTATACCGCTGCGGATAACCCAGACATCAGTGCAAAGAAGTCACGTTTAGCCATGGACGATGGCGAAGGCAGGCGAGACGGCAGAGTGACCGAGGCTATGGACTGTTTTAGCGCTGGCTGCGTGATTGCAGAGCTCTTTCTCGAGGGCGCTCCCCTTTTCACTCTCAGTCAGTTGTTTAAGTACCGTGAAGGAGAGTTCAGTGTCGACGCACAACTGAACGCCATTGACGATGAGGGTGTGCGGGTGAGCATTTGATTGCAGTGAGTCCATTAGTACTTCTGATAAGAGCATGGTACAGAATCTCATCAAGCAGATGATTGCCGTCGAACCGTCAGTCAGACCTACTTTTGACAACCTACTGCACACCTCGCGCGGCACCGTCCTGCCAGAGTCGTTCTATTCCTTTTTCCACAACTACGTCTCATCGATCAATGAGCTTTCCACCCCGTCACCTTTCGCAGCCCAGCCTGCCCCACCAGTCAATGTCGTCAATATTGTATCACCAACCACCCCTAGCTCAACCATAAAGGGGACCGCCACCGTGGCTTCCGCGACTGGAAATCTCAATGGCGATGTTTCCACTGAGCCGCTGCCAAGCGACTCGGACCACAGAATGAACAAGATATGGGCTGATTTCGAAAGTGTGGAACCGTACCTTCTTACTGAGACAGTGGAAGAGACGGTGATGGATATCAAGGTAGAGTACACCCCGACTGCGGAATCGTCGAAACCGTTTCAGGTAAATTTCGTGTGATTTTACGGCGTCAAGTGACCCATGGGACACGCAGGATGTCCTTCCGGTTGAGCTGTACATCCCAAATCGTGAAAGCAAGCTACGCACCGCCTGGTCTGCGGGACGCCGAGCTGCTGCCGAAGGTAATAAACCTTTTGAAACTGCAGTCTAACGCTCATTATGGATATCACAGACGGACCCGCCTTGATTGTCCTTGCACTTGTGTGCGCGAACATCCGCAACTGCAGCAGACCTAGTTCTAAAATCCGAGGCTTGGACGTATTCTTGGCTCTGTCACCTTACCTCACAGATGAGGCCAAGCTCGACCGCATGGTCCCGTACATTGTGGATCTCCTGCACGATGATGCTGCCATCGTTCGTGCTTCAGCCCTTCGAACTCTCATGCAAATCGTGCGCCGTTTCTTATTCACACGCCGTGTGGGTACTCATACATGCCTTAGCTGATGCTCGTCACGGTAATTACTCCATCAAACGCTGCCATATTCCCCGAATACATCATCCCAGCCGTCGGACACCTTGTTCGTGATCCAGAGGTCGCTGTCCGTTGTATGTATGCACAATGCATTGTGTCGTTGGCAGACACCGCTGTGCGGTACTTGGAGATGGGACAGGCGCTGAAGGCCCACGGTTCGTATAAGCTAGCACCGGACACTCAAGAGTATGACGAGGCGCACTTTGAAGTCGGTTGAGACTCGTCGTGTTTCACCCATGTCTGGCTGACCTTGAAATGAACAGGTCTCATATGATGCTAGCTTGCAAGAATTGCACAACAGCATACAGGAGCACTTGGGAACACTATTAGTCGACCCATCAAGTGTTGTCAAGCGGGCCGTTCTCCACAACATATCATCTCTCTGCATATTCCTTGGAAGACAGAATGCCAATGACGTTCTTCTGAGCCATATGATCACATACCTGAACGACCGCGATTGGCTCCTCCGGTATGCCTTTTATGACTGTATAGTTGATGTTGCAGCTTGCGCTGGGGGACGAAGCCTTGAGGAGTACATTCTTCCCCTTATGATTCAGTCGCTTTCCGGTAAGTGTTTTCAGGCAGGCAGTCCATCAGTGATTAATGCACGCTCGCACTGGTATTATAGACGTGGAAGGGACCGTGGTCGCTAAGGTTTTGGCTTCATTGACCAGCCTATGTGAACTCGGTTTGTTCCAGAAGATGCGAATATGGGAGCTTATGAGTGCTACCCTTGGTTTCCTGTATCATCCGGATATTTGGATAAGAGAAGGTAAAGTTTTAAATTGATAATATGTGCGCCCATGTAGACCTGTAGAATCTGTTAGGTGCTGCCGCTTTCATTGCCTCTGCTGCTAAGCACTTACCACCAAGCGACGTCTGGTGTATCCTGTATCCCTCGCTAAAACATTTCCTGCGTTCTGACGTCCGTGATGTCGACGAAAGGAGCCTCTTGTTGATGTTGAAGCATCCGGTGCGTTCATAATATATTCCATGAATTGCACACACAACGATTTCTAACATGAATGCACACCCGTAGCTATCAAGGCAGGTGTTCGATGCCGCGGTACAATGGGCCATGAAGTCCGACAAGTCATCCTTCTGGCGAAGCCATCGGAGCTCGAAGCCAGAATCTCCAAGGGATAGTCTTGCGACCGTACGGCAGTCGAGCTATCGTAGTAGATCAGAAGAGTTGGGCCAACTACTCACTTCCACTAGCCCGCTGCTGACAGTACATGTGTAGAGATGAGTCACAAATGACCAAGCTGCAGCAACTGGGTATGACGCCCACTGAAGAGTCGAAGCTAATGGCAATGCGTGACTATATATTAAAGCTGGCACGAAGTATCTCGAGGTAGATCTCATGTTGCATCCCGTTGGGCAAACGCTCATAGCGTCCTAGCTTTGCGAATCGGATTAGCGCCGAGATGGAGACAAATTCTCTGAAGTCGACGACCGCTATTGAGCTGCAGAAGCTCGGTGTAGTCCCACAGACCGTCTTCTTGAAGGCGTCACGTTCAATGTCGACTCGAAGGTCACATTCGGATCTATCCGTAAGATCTCCAGGCATAGGCACGCCCCGTTCGGGGAGAACCTTCAGCATTGATCACACTACCGGTGCTCCTTTCGAGGACTTGCGGCGGAGACTCGCTATTATCAACGGTTCAACAACATCTCTGACAGTGCAGGGTGCAAGGGAATTGCGCAGTCCTACAGCTCCTTTTCCAGACCCCGCAAACTTCCCTCCATCTAGCATTGTGGATGTGGTTGGCGCTGTCCCTCGACCTGGTAGCCCCACAGAATCGATCGTGTCTATCACCAACCCGTCTGCCTCACGGCCCATGCGCATTGGCAGCGTTGATGGGCAAAAGGCTGCACCTGCTATTGGGTCCTCCCGGACCAACGCGACTGGACTGCTCGACGCCCATAGTCACAGCCGTTCGGATTCACCAGAACCGTCTGGTCGGACATCACCTTACTCGCCTGCAGGTACCGTACGTGCGCAGCAACGATTCCGCCCACCATCGCTTGCACCGATTTCTACATATGGTGTGTTGTCTGCGTCTACTACAAAGGAAATGCCACTTAACCTTTCAACAGATGGCCAAGAACCTGGAATCGGCAGCGTGCTCGAACAGCTATACTATGACAACAGTCGTGAGCTGCAGAATGATTTCGGCCCTCGTGTACATGAAGGCCCTGTCAGACGGAGAAACGCAGCGAGACACAGCTTCATCACTCGAGACACAGGTTCCCGACGTCCCGAGACCACCCTCATCGCCCACCTCAACTCGCATGGTGATGCGGTCACCGGTCTAGCAGTATCCCCAGACCACATGTTCTTTGTGTCCGCGTCTGACGACAAGACGGTCAAGGTGTGGGATACTGCGCGCCTCGAGCGTAACGTCACGAGCAAACCGCGGCACACATACGGGCAACACCATGCGCGGGTGAAATGTGTGTGCATGCTGGAGGGTGTGCACTGTTTTGCGAGCGCGGCCGACGACGGCAGCCTGCATATTGTGCGAGTGCACGTACACGTCAGTCAGAGCGGCAGCTTGCCGAAGTACAGCAAGCTACAGGTAGTCCGCGAACACCGCGTCGAGCAGTCTGGCGAGTACATCACCAGTATGGCGCATCATATGACTGGTATGCTATTGCATCAAGCCCATATAGTCGGTGCTAACCAAATTGCAGACACCTCGTCGAACCTGGTGTACGCAACCACTCATAGCGTCATATCCATCATTGACTTGCGCACGATGCGTCAACTCCAAAGGATGGAGAATCCGCGCCACCATGGACCAATCACCTGCCTATGTCTCGACCGCAGGCGTGCGTGGGTCGCGTGCGGCACATCAACTGGCGTGCTCTCGTTGTGGGATATTCGCTTTGGCATCCTTATCAAGAGCTGGAAAGTAGGCGCTGCAGGCAAACACAGAACTGCACGGATCTACCAGTGCGTGGTCCATCCAGTGAAGGGCAAAGGCAAGTGGATCATCGTCGCCTTGGAGGCGAAGAAGCTTGATCAAGAGCAAGAGGCACAAAGGCTGCTAGAGGTCTGGGACATTGAGAAGTCTGTGCTGGTAGAGACATTCGTGACCCGGATCGCCGCGAATCCCGCTCAAGAGGTCGCGGAGTTAAGTGCTGCGAGTGTGGACGACGCAGAGACAAGTCCCGCCGCAGCCATCGCAGCTCTCGTTCGTTCTAGGCAGGAGGGCGGCAGTGCCTCTGACCCCACTCGGCGTGCGCACCCTGGCGCGCCAGGCGCTCCTGAGGGAGCCACTCCCCCTTGCCCGGACATCCGCGCGATTGTAGTCGGAACTGAATTCGGCGGCCACACAACGATGCGATCGACCATGGCTGACCAGCAGAATGATGGCACGAAGTCCGGCCGGCCGTCTGGACGGGGCTTCCTCTTAAGCGGGTCGGAGGATCGCCGTATACGGTTCTGGGACCTCGGTCGGGCAGAGCGCTCTAGCGTGCTGAGCGGCCTCGAGAACGAAAGCGAGAGACCGACGTACAGGTTGGTCGATCCACGAGTGCTGTCGAGCCTCTACTCACGTATATTGTTTTTCACAGCGCTGTTCAGCCCGCGGCAAGCTCTGCCATCGCACAAGTGGAAACATGGACTTCACCCCCAAACTCTGGTCTTAATAACAGACCACCACAACGATTGTCCCTCATCAATCATAATCAGCAGAACCTGTTGAAGGGCCATCAAGATACCATAACCGCGCTTGCATGCATTGACTCACCGTTCCGGGGCGGTATTGCGAGCGGCGATCGGGCTGGTGTCATCAAAGTTTGGAGGGTAGAAGGGCTCGACATGTCGTGATAGTTGGAAGTTATTTGTATCCTTGACATAGCTGATTGTCTATGCTAGTATTAAACCTGACTTTCCTGCGGTAATGTGCTTTACGGCACCTCGCTAGGTCTCTATTTTACCGCTTCAATCGTTACCACTCGTCACGAACACAGTCCGTATAACTTTGAGTGCGTTCGGAAATACTGCATCGGATTGTCTTTCGCAGAGGTCTGTATCACTGGCGAACTCGGGATGTACTGTCGCTACATATGCCACTACTGTGCGCCAAGTATAGGCGAAGTCTTAAATGACACAAAAGTAGTATCGCCATGATGGATTCGACAACAGTAGAAAATAAACCAGCTTGAGCTCTTGGCGAGTTACAGTCTTGAGATTTCCATCCCTCGGAGTGATCTTGCATGGAAGCTTAATGCAGAAACACTAGGGCTTGATACCGAGACAATTATCTACTCATCATCATCGTGATAAATCCACCCCGTTATGATTTTAAGGATCAATCGGTGATCCCATCTTATCTTTGTAGTCTGCTGCTGTTCGGGCGCTTGCACGCCTGGTGACTCGGTCGTCGAATTCCTTGCATGCTGAAAGTGCTGAATCGATTTCAGCATCTGCGCTCTTGTATATCAGTCCGTCCTCGCGTATCCTGCCCCATCCGACGCCACCGCTACATCTGCTCTTCGTCACCTACGATGGCCACGCCCGTCGCATCGTCCTCGCAACCAGCGCAACCGCCTGCGCTCCAGGGCCCACACGCCAATGAGGGCAAGAAACCGAAAGACAAGAAGGCCAAGGGTGCTGATGTATCAGGCTTTCCCCTGGAGGTGCACGATGTCTCTCTTGCGATTGACCTAGCACGCTGAACTTACCATGCAGCTGCAACCGCGTCCGGAGTTCTTCGAGCACCGCATTAAAATGTTTGATCAGCTCAGGGCCGAGTACGACGAGTGGGTCAAGGGTAAGTATTGCTCCTGTTACTTCACACGAGAGAAGGCTCATCGTGCGTAGCGCAACCGCGCCGAGACATCGAAGTCACGCTGCCTGATGGCTCAAAACGCAAGGCTATCACCTGGGAGACGAGTCCCATGGATATTGCGAAGGAGATTTCAAAAGGTCTCGCGGATCGCATTGTAATCGCAAAGGTCAGTTGGATGATGACCATCGCTTCGCGTCTGACTCTTTCCAGGTCAACGGCGCAGTCTGGGATCTCGAGCGGCCTTTGGAGGACTCCTGCTCTCTTGAACTGCTCGACTTTGAGCACCCCGAAGGTGAGTTGCAGTTGTGTATGAGGTGCACTCAAAGTTGCTGCACAAATTTAGAAGTTGCTGGAAACCCAGCAACTTCTCGCTGCTTCGAAGTGTCCAGATGTGGCTGGAGGGCACAGCAACGGTGGTACACGACTAGGCGTGACGCAGCCATAACCCGATTGCGTATCATCAGACCTCTTGAACTTGATGTATGCATAAGCGGACCTCGAGCGGGAATCAGCGGGTCCTGGAAAGGTAAAGCCTGGTAAATCGTGGCCGTGACAATATTTTGCCGGTCCAGCCAGGTCGGGTTCATGGTCCTGACCGCTGATTCCATACTCGATATTAACATCCGCTTGCACACAAACATCAAGAGGGAGTCTGACGATATGGAATCAGCTGCAACGTTCTCGATCGCCAGGAGCTGGCCTGACAATTATGTTGGCAAATTTTGCAAGTTCGACATGACATAAGGCCAGAAACTTGCGATGGGAGGTTGCCTCATTGTCGCTGTTCGAGGAGGCAAGGTGATCCCCTGGTCGCTTTTCTTGATTGCTTGTTTCTTGCATCTTCCAGCGAGATCAAAAAAAGAGCGGCAACTTTGAATGCATATATGGCTCTACTTTACGATATAACTGGGTTGTTCAGGCAAGCGCGTCTTCTGGCACTCCTCGGCGCACGTCCTCGGCGAGGCGGCCGAACGGCACTATGGCTGCCATCTTTGCATTGGGCCTCCGACAGAGGACGGCTTCTTTTATGAAATGGCCATTGATGAGCGGTATGTTTCTCCGTTTCTATATCGGTTCTATGTGTATTAAGAACGTAACGCGCTAGCGTCGTCACGAACTCGGATTATCCCGCGCTAGAGAAGCTCTCCGACCTCGCGGTCAAGGAGAAGCAGAGATTCGAGCGTCTTGTCGTCTCGAAGGAGAAGTTGTTGGAGATGTTCAAGGTAGATGTCGTCCTAGACGCGCACTGGCGGGGGCTCATGTGTGCACAGTATAGCAAGTACAAGACGCATCTCATCCAGACGAAGATCCCGGACGGCACATCGACCACGGTGTACCGCTGCGGGCCGATGATAGATCTGTGCGTCGGGCCCCACATTCCTCACACCGGGAAGATCAAGGCCTTCATGGTCACGAAGGTGCGTAATCTATTGCAAACAAAAACAGGTTGAAGCCCAACTCCTCGCTCGCAGAATTCGGCGTCGTACTTTCTGGGTGACCCGAACGGCGACTCGCTGCAGCGCATCTACGGCATCTCGTTTCCCGACAAGAAGCAGCTTTCGGAGTACAAAGAATTCCTCGCGGAGGCGGCGCGTCGCGACCACAGGAAGATCGGCAAGGTATGTATCATGAGCGTGAACTGCCTTCCGTTAGCTGATAAGATGTCGCCGGCAGGAACAAGAATTGTTCTTTTTCAACGACCTCAGCCCTGGGAGCTGCTTCTTCCTCCCGCACGGCACCCGTGTATACAACACGCTGGTCGAGCTGATGCGGGTACGTCGTACTTGCCACATTATCTTCCCAGTCTAATATTTCGTCGTAGTCCGAGTACTTCAAGCGCGGCTACCAAGAAGGTGCAGCTTGGATTTATTGTATCGGCTGTCTATCCTTGCTGACCGCCTGCCAGTCATTTCGCCGAATATGTACAACAGCAAATTGTGGGAGGCGTCCGGCCACTGGCAGAACTACAAGGACGACATGTTCACGCTGACGATCGAGAAGGAGCCGTGGGCGCTCAAGCCGATGAACTGCCCGGGGCACTGCCTGATCTTCGACTCGCGCGACCGCAGTTACAAAGAACTCCCCATCCGCATGGCCGAGTTCGGGATCATCCACCGTAACGAGGCGTCGGGTGCGCTCACGGGCCTGACGCGTGTGCGCCGGTTCGTTCAAGACGACACGCATGTGTTCTGCATGCCATCCCAGGTGTGTGCTTGCCGTTGTGTGTCCGCTCTCCGTGCTCTGAGCTGATGCATGCGCGGTGCGGGGTGGTAGATCGAGGAAGAGATCTACAATTTGTTTGATTTCATGCAGCACATCTATGGCCTCTTCGGATTCGACTTCCGTCTCGAGCTGTCGACGCGGCCTGACAACTACTTGGGCACGATCGAGACGTGGAACGAGGCTGAGAACGTGTGTCTCCCCATCCACACAGAGCGCGCGTGTGACTGACGTCAGGTCTCCCCGCACACAGCAACTGAAGAAAGCCCTGGACCAGCAATATCCAGGCCAGTGGGAGATCAATCCCGGCGACGGCGCCTTCTACGGCCCGAAGATCGACATCACGATCCGCGACGCGCTGCGCCGCTCGTTTCAATGCGCGACCATCCAGCTCGACTTCCAGCTTCCAGAGCGATTCAACCTCAAGTACCGCAGCGCTGACGACACCGCAAGCGCGGACAAGCCACCCTCAAGGCCCGTGATCATCCATCGTGCCATATTGGGCAGTCTAGAGCGGTTCATTGCCATTATCACGGAGCATTTTGCGGGCAAATGGTGCGTATCTGTGTGTGCGCATGTTGACAAGTCGCTAAGCCCTCAATCACAAGGCCATTCTGGTTATCTCCTCGCCAAGTCTTGGTCGTTCCTGTGGCTGTGCCATACGTCAGTACAAATGCCACCTTACCTCCTCAGACCCACGCTGACCGTCATCATTCCATTCACAGAAAGAATATGCTGCCGAAGTCGCACAGAAACTGTCTGACCTCGGGCTCTTCGCCGACGTTGACAACGGCGATAACACGTTACCCAAGAAGATCCGTAACGGCGAAATCGCGCAGTACAACTTCATTCTTGGTGCGTCTGCTTCCTGACGATGGATGCTCGCATTACTGAAACTCAATGTAATTACTACATGATAGTCGTTGGGCAGGAAGAGCTCGATGGCCGCTCTGTAAACGTCCGGAACCGCGACGACGTCGGTACAAAGGCCAAAGGCCAAATGATACCGCTAGAAGAGGTGGTCCAGAAACTCGTTGCATTGAAGAGCAGCAGAAGCTTGAAGAACCAATTTATATGATACTCTCGACCTACCGCATACTAAGTTCTGTCTGCATGTTTTTGTTGCTACTGCATGTATGTCGAGAAAGAGAATAAAGAAAGCCATAGTACAGAGCACATGTCAAACATCCACGAACCCGTAGCGATTTTATGTTTAGACGGTGATACCGCCCAAAAATTGTTTGCGCTATAGCAATGGTCAGATGAGCCATGTCCTACTTAGCAGAGGAATCGCTCACCAATTGCTGGATTTGATCACGTTCGGGCGGAGGCAAGGAATTGATCTGTGCCTCTGTCAGGCTGAGCACTTGCATAAGCATATCCTATGAGCATCCAACGTCAGTAATGCTGACACGCGTGAGCTGTTCGTTCAGCGAACCGACATACTCTCTGAGCGGGATCAAATGCGGGCTGTGGAGGCTGTGAAACAGCTTGTGGTACCGGCTGGGGCTGCGGAGGTGGTGGCGCACGGTAATATGGCGAGGGTTGCATCGACGGCGGCATGTGTGTAGCTGGAGGAGGGTGCTGATACATGGTAGCTTGCGGGGGTACCGGCGGCGTCGCGTGGTGGACGGGTGCGTGCGGGACACCGAGGGATGGGAAGGCTGGTTGAGGGTGCTGCAATGGCGCCTGTGAGTATGGCGTCGGAGCGGGCGCAGGGACGGTTGGCTGTAGCGGCGCCTGCCGCGGGATGGATGCGCTCGTGGCTGCGAGCATGCGCTGGAAGGAGGTCGATGAGGACGTGTGCGGTGCAGGAGGGATGGACGCGGCACTTACGTCCAGCACGCCGGAGTCGACAATTTTGTGCAGAAGAAGGGCCTGGAAGAGCGCGTACCCGAGCTGTGGGTGCGCAACAAGTAGAGCACGAGCTTGATCAGGGTGTGTGATCACGAAAGCCTGAAGAGGTCGCCAGGTCAGAAATCTGCTGCATAGCTCAACGCATCGTCACGCACCTTCATCTGCGCGAGGACCTCGAGGATCTGGGTCGGGTTTGACGTCGCGAGTACCTGACTGATTGTGTCCAACGCGGTCGCACCAAGAGGTATGGGGACGCCGGGGGGGAGCGTCTGCAGGAACCCGTTCGGATCCGCGTTCCGCACGGGGGTGTCGCGGGGGTCAAAGTGACGTTCACGTTCACGCTCCCTCTCGCGCCACTGCGCACGCGTCTCGCCTCCATCAATGATCTCTCCGCGCACGGTGGTCTTGCCCTCGAGGAAAGGGTCCGAATCTGCGAGGTCGATGCGGAGCGGACGACCACCGAGCTCCTGGCCGTTGAGGTTCCGTACAGCGGACAGTGCGGTCTCGTGGTCTTTATAGCACAGCGGTTATATGCCACGATTCAGACAACACACGCGGGATTGACGTCATTTCGTGGACAGAATGGGTTTGCAGACGCATTGCACAAATTGCACGCATCGCGTTTTAGTCGAGATAATTCATTGTGGGCAGTTGCAGCATACAAATGGCCGACATTCAAGGAGGTTCATAGTTGATGGATGGCGCGCCAGGATTTGCGGGCAGCGGCAGCGTTAAGTCGATGTGGACAAGCACAGAGTTGGATCGCACGGGGAACGTTGAGATTGCCACAGTTAAGGTCAGACAACGACAAGCTGCAATACTTGAAAGAGAAAATGCTGTACCCGAGAATTCACAGAAGCCATATCCTTTCGGTTTCCCCGTGTCCCTGTCAAACACAAGCCTGTGCGGATGGTGAGTACCGTCGGAATTGAGCACGAGCGAGTAAAACATAGACGGCACCTGAATCCAACAACTTGCCCGACCGTTTTGAACACGTCGATAAGCTGCTCCTATACGCCAAAGCATCTGTCAGAGACCTACATCGTGGTTAGAAGAAACCAAACGTACTTCGCCCATGTTATACGGGACATTGCCAACTTCACGTCACCGTGTCAGCAGCTACAGCCTAGGTGGTGGTTACTAATGAAACGCACCAAATACGACCTTACTCATGTCCACTCAAGCTGCAGATTCAATAGGGTTCTATTATTCTTCAAGACGCGTTTGGAATACGGATGATATGTTGGAAAGACTGCGAGGTTGTGCGAGGTGGCTGCATGCAAACTCCAAGCAAACCCCGAATCTCTCGGGTTGTTACACGGCATTCGCCGAGAAAACGCCGGCCTCTGCATAAATTGGATTACCGTTCGTTCCCACGGCCTACTTAGGGAACCTAGCTGTCCAGAGCAAATATATTCAAGGGTCTGCACTAGTTTGTACTACGCTGGGTATGCTATACAAAGAGTATAATACGTACGTCTCTCTCAGCCTTCCTGACAGGAGCCTTTCAATGCTCGATTTGTACAGGGCAAAAGTGAGAATGAGGCATACTATACTACACTGTGATGTCGCGGACTCGCGATGAGCTGCTCCTGGACATCGACGGCAAGACCTACAGCATTGATGGTGCCATCCAGGGATTAGGAGGTGTTGCCATTGGTACCATGTGGCCTCACAAAGTAAGACGTTATCTCGTGAGCTACACTGGCAGTAGCTAACATTCGATGATAGTACATATTTGAGAAGGCTTTTCGAGCTACGAATGGCGCATGTGCCGTACAAATCACATTAAAACGCACCGGCTATTAGATGCCGGAGACAGATCGCATTTTGGCAGCTCTCAGCCGCTCCTGCATACTGAACAATGAGTTAAAATAGTCAGAACATGTTTGCTCTGATTTATTCCACACGGTGTCTGCCTCTGCTCAATGGCATCAGAATGGTCGTTGCTGGTGTCTGTGGACGTACTTCTAAAACGATGGTGTTCTTCGACTCCTATCAATGATTATGCGGGATACAGCAGCAGTATAATGATAGGCGGCCATGTGAGTATGTGGGAGCTGACATTCGTCAGACAGTGCAGCCTGTGCCAGTTTAGCACAGGTCACTGTCTCAGGCTGGCATGCCGGGCCAAAATTTGGACCAAGTGGGAATGTTAAGCCGAGAGATCCGGTTGGTTTCCGAGTCTATCAGACTGTCACTATGGGTTCTGCGCTGATGCACTCAAGCTTTCATTCCTTTCGAAAGTCACGTACTAGCAGCTTTGTCCCTGCTGTATCCAACGGTTTTTTTTAAAACCAAAATAACATTCCTCGCTGCAGATGCGCTCAGTCGCTAGTATTCAACAAACCCGCATGGACGGCCACAATATTTGGTGTATTTCATATACTCCAATCAAATGTGTGTGGGTTTTCCAGTGAACGTTCCGCCGTCTAACCCTGATCCACAGGAGATGACAGTGAACATAAGACTGTCGCACCTGCAGTCATCCTGAGGATTTGTTCCCGCCACATGCATATCGGTCGCAGGTACTGGGCAATGATGTATTTCTTGTCTCACTCCCTATAAAGACCGCTCTGTATCAGAGGAGGTCGTTGGCGACTTCCAAGTCACTAGTCAAGAGATGGATGTTATTGATCACAGGATAGGTCAAGCCCTTGGTCCCACGCTGATAGGCACAACATTTGCTCTGATGTTAGCACTGTCTCTTTTGACTCCGCTCCAAGGCATGCTCACTCGTTTCACAGGTTCTATGGTCTAGCTTGTGCCCAAGTCATGTATTATATCTCGGAATATCCAAAGGACAAGACTTTCATCAAAGTCCTAGTACGCCCCTCTTGATCATGGTCTTAGGGGCTCCTCGGTTTGACTCGCATTCAGGTGGCTCTCTTATGGTACATTTTCCCTTTCCACGCTTCCGTGGAGATTCATTGAGGTCGCGCAATTAGGCTTCTTGACACCGCAGGAACCATCGTTGACGCCGTGGTACGAGGCTCGCTGGACATGAATTATGTGAAACATTGAATACGGTGCAGATCGTATGGCACTACACAATCAGGGTCCGATGCGACCTTATCGAATCTGCAAGATTGTTCAAGTGAGTTGATGTTGCAATTCGCATGCATGTTTATGAGGCCGAACTCTGTCTAGTACCGCATCGGTCCGTCACCAAACGCTCAATGCGATGTTCTGCGATGCGCTGACATGAACAAATTCAGGCAGAGTATGGTATTGCTGTGAGCAGACATCATGCTCTAAGTACATCTTCTCAAAAACTGTATGCTTTCAACAGGCACTGATTATCTTTATCGTGCAATGGTGCGTTGTGACTACCTACGAACAGACTTACAGTCTTGCCCTCTCACCTGACACATTAACAGTTATTACATATACACGATATGGATACGTGAGTCTCGCTGCTATGCATTGTGTCGGAATATGACAGAACCGAAAAAGTACTCCGGGGAAAACTCGTCTATCAGTGGTCCTTGACGATCCTATTAGTGAGTTTTAAGTTCACATCAATGGTAGCTGTCTGGTAGAATGAAATTGGCTATACAGGGTTCTCTTTCGTTGACCTCGTGCGGTACGAATCTTACTCATTCAAGTTGAACTGACCCTCATCGCGGTGTTTGTAAGTCATTGGCTATAGTACGTGTTGCTCATGGTTTCACATTACGAATATTGTCTGATCTGTTGAACCAGTGAACGTCAACTATAGGTATCTTTTTACATGATAGATCTATTACGATGAGTGTTCTGACCCTCTTCTCCAGCCTCCAACATCCCATCTTTCCCGCCATCTTTGGTGCGGTCAAAGTACGTCCTTGCGAAAATCTGTTTGACGATGCTTGATTCTTTCAATATACACAGGTCACGGGCATTTTGCAAGCACTGACAGCCAGCTTGGCAGACATTTGCGCAAGCATAGCATTGAACTTGATCCTGAGTCAGAACAAGTCGGATCTAAACTTTAAAACGTGTGTCGCTCGAGTTTCATGTCTGTCACGATCTCTTGAGGCTCACTGGAACGTCGCCATGACAGAACGAATCGTATGATTCAGAAGCTGTCAGTTTATGTGGTTAATCGAGGGATCTTAACAACGTGAGTTTGTGTTATGCTTAATCTTGCACCTGCGAATCTATTTGATGGCTGCGGAGGCCGTTTAGCATCGTACAGACCGCACAAGTTATCGCAGTGAGCTTGAGGTACCTGTCAGTAAGACCACACACTAACTTCTCTGTCTAAGTACGTCTCAGTGAAGAGGAACGTGCTTTATTGGGTGGTATTTCACCTTCCTGGAAGCAAGAGTAAGACATCCTTACATTCAAAGACATGCGTGAAGATAATATTGAAACTCCATGTGCAGTTTATTTCAACTCATTCCTCGCACTGTAAGTCTATCCTATCTCACCTTCCTACACCCCTGACGTACCTGGCCCTGATAGATTGAATGCTCGCCATTATGTTGGCATGGACGGACGGAAGTATCTCTCGAATGGTCTCACAACGATGGACCTCCCCGATGTCGACATCCCATTGTCAAATGACCTACCTCTGGTCCGGTGTGTGCTCGCTTTCTTGCGCGTGACGAGTGTGGATTACTGACGTTATTGTTTTGTGAATGACAGGCGTACCAAGCCCATTATTACCGTGCATCGAGCTGCTCATCAAGGATGCACCGTTCAAGATGAGAAAGGGGATGCTGAATGTCAGAACTGCAGCCTCAAGGAACCTGGAGCTGCTAGGCTGGAAGCAGCTCCCACTAGTGCAAACCTGACTGATAAAGGCGATTGCAAAGAGTCGGATGATATATCAGAAATCCCGGCAGACTCATAAGCTGTCCTCGTTGTGTTGAATCGGTGTCATGCCCAGCTTCTTGTTACTATTTTAGAACTGTAAACACGCGTAAATTTTGTCCAAGACGTCGCTCCGACGTGGGACCCAGGATGTTGGTACTATGTGTTGCACGACAAAACCTAGACGAGAATATTTATTGTGCGCAGGAAAGCAGTTCGGAATTAGGTTCCCACGCCACAAGAGCAACATGAGGATTCTGCAGTTCGGAATATCTAGCTGTCCTGTCATCCTTTTCATCGTCGAGTACTAGCTGGAAGCACTCAGGGTTCCAATAGGCTCCATAAGCCTTGCTTGGGGTTCGAACACTGTCAGCAATATCTTCGGCTATGAGGTGTACACCGTAATTGCTTCCTTCAGGTATTCATGAATCAACATAGCAGCCACGATATGTTGGAGTATCGGGAAGCCCGTGCCAGGCCTATATTCTGCAGATAGTGAGGAAGCCTATATCCTGCAATCGACCCAGATGATGGCCCATCCGGATTGACCGTGCAGTGCCTTCGGCGCCGTGACTTGTTACAACCAGCAGTCAGGTGCTAGATCACTCAGCAGTGCACTTTGAGAGCTCGCGTATATTCTGATGGATAGTCCGGTGATCCTTGACCTCTATAGAACAGCTCACTTGTACGATATGTGCGGCAGTGAGAATGCGATGACTATGCCATTCTGGCACCCCGACGATGCGTCTACCGAGGTACAAGGCACTGGAGAGTCCATCTACAGGCACGAAGTCCTCGAGACCATAGAATCAGTCATGGCATCACTGGATGAGGAGCTACGCGCTCTTAGTCTTGACATACACGGTGCGCTCGAGGACTGATTGTACGTGCGATGAGTATATGACGCGTCTTGGCTTCTTTAGCTCATCCAGAGGTTCGCTGGGAAGAACAGTGAGTATCCCTTGCCATAGATTAGCGTGCGGAGACTAACCAAACATAGTCGTACACATGATGCCCTCACTGTGTACATGGAAAACAAAGGTTGGGCTGTGACCAAGCACCATCTTCTTCCTACCGCTTGGGAGGCGAGGTCAACTTACGGCACCGGAGGCCCCATTTTGGGAGTTAATTCAGAGATGGACGCCCTTCCTGGTATCGGGCACGCGTGTGGCCATAACCTGATTGCTATCGCTGGTGCAGCGGTGGCGCTTGCCGTAAGGGCAGCCCTCGAGACACACGATATCCCAGGCACTGTCATACTGCTTGGTACTCCAGGTAAACGTTGACAATGCTAGGTCGTAGGTTTTCTATTGATCTCGTACACCTTTTAGCCGAAGAAGGAGGCGGAGGAAAAGCGATATTGCTCGAGAAATGTGCATACGAGGGCATGGCTGCCTGTCTAATGTTCGTATGATATACTCGCACATTTACCCGCTCTGCATCAACTTCGACGATTTCAGGTGTCACCCGGCTCCCGGTCCCAAACATTCTGCGAGCCTGAGCAGTTGCCTTGCGCGACAGATCCTGGAAGTCGAGTTTTTCGGTCACACGTGAGTGCATCGGCTTATATCCATTTGTTTTCCTCTCGCTGACAACCCACTAGCGCGCACGCCGCGCTGTCTCCCTGGGAAGGCCAGAACGCTGTTGATGCCGCCGTACTCGCATACAACGGCATCTCCGCGCTGCGCCAGCAGCTCCGGCCCACGCACCGCGTGCATGGCATCTTCATCGGGAAAGACTGGACGCCCAATAGTCGGTCCCCATTCCAGTCACCTCTGTCGCTGCGGTGCTCACGTGCTGTATTCATGTGCAGTTATCCCGGACTATGCGAAGATGATGTACGTCTCGGGTCGGGACCGACTGACTGGTGACTCACGGGCGGAACCAGCTGGTATGTGCGTGCACCGACCCGCGCCGAAATGGACGCGTCGACACAACGCGTCATCGCGTGCTTCGAGTGAGTCGCCTGCGCAAGTCTCGTTTCAACTCGTGCGGACGCATGTATGTCTCACGCTATGTCCTAGGGGTGCAGCCATCTCGTCTGCGTGTCGGCAGGAGTTGCACAAGGGCGCCGCGACATTTGATCTCAGACAGAACAAGGCGTTAGGTCAGGTCCTACATGCGCAGTCATTGTCGCACCAGCGTGAATTGATCGTTTCACCAGGGGACGAATTTGCTGCTGTATTCCGGGGCCGGTACGGACCCGTCGACTACGTGCATGGCATCGCTGGTGCTTCGACTGATTTTGTGTGTCGCGTGTCTTCTTTCCTGAGTGATCGAATGGTTACACAAGTCATCTTCTTAGGGCAACGTCACTTACGGTATAGTTTTGTGGTCTCATAGGGTGTGCCTTGCTGAGGACAATTTCGGCAGCTCTTCCCGCCTTGCACCCGTCCTTCGGTGAGAACTGCCGCACGTGGCAACTGTCTGCACTAGTAACGCATGATTGTCTCAGGAATCCCGACGGTGCCGAACGGGGGGAACCACACGATAGCGTTCACTGAAGCTGCTGCTACCGTTGCGGCACATAGGGCCACTCTCAACGTTGCCAAGGCGCTTGCGGCTACGGGCGTTCGCGTCCTGGATGACACAGATTTCCGCGCAGAGGTTGGCTTATTCCCTCTGGTCTAGGAATGAGCTAGAAATATTTCTTTGTAGGTCAGAAAAAGCTTCAATACCGACTGCCGCATAAGGGATAGGTCGAATGTATAGAAGTGTGTGACGGCGAGAAAACACCTCTCATGATTTGAAGTCAGGTTTGGGGGGCAAACCATGAGCAGCAGAACGAGTAGTGTAGGTGTAGCTGCATCTCATATAATGTGATTCTGTACGACATACTTCTATCGTCGGTCGCGGTTCGCTTAACGTGGACCCTAACTATAGGTTAGGGTCCCCAGCGCATCTACCGATGCTATTCGATGGTCTCGTACCCATCCCCCCGTATCCGCACCCCACCACCGCGAAAAGGGGGTCTGGGGCAGTTCAGTAGGCACACCCCCTATTCCGTTTAGCGCCCATGTAACGGTCACAGATTTTGATATCGCATCATTCCGTTGATTCACCTCGCCTATTTAGGTAACTACTCCTAGCAACTTTCGCGTGCGCACTTGTTCTTCAGCGCTGCGAGCAATATTGTGCAACAGCATGTATATATCTACTACTTCTTGTTATTCCATTCAAGTATAAAAATATGCCTTGAACCCCTCAGCCATAAATGTATCAGGCCATTGCTGAGTTGTGAACACAGCTTTCTTATGTCGCCTTGAAATATTCTGTGTAGTCTTTTGGCTATAATAGAATGGATTTGCATGGTTCATATCCGGTCATTTGGCAACAGCGAAGTATAGAAGGGCAGGTGCATGCGCGAAAGTTGCTAGGAGTAGTTACCTAAATAGGTGAGGTGAATCAGATGCGATATCAAAATCTGTGACCGTTACATGGGCGCTAAACGGAATAGGGGGTGTGCATGACCATAACAAAGTACTATAAGGACCATAACAAAGTACTCTAATGACCATAAGAACCTACTATAATGACCATAACAAAGTACTATAAGGACCATAACAAAGTACTCTAATGACCATAAGAACCTACTATAATGACCATAACAAAGTACTATAAGGACCATAACAAAGTACTCTAATGACCATAAGAACCTACTATAATGACCATAACAAAGTACTCTAATGACCATAACAAAGTACTATAAGGACCATAACAAAGTACTCTAATGACCATAAGAACTCGCTATAATGACCATAAGAACTTACTCTAATGACCATTACAACCTACTCTAATGATCATAAGAAAATACCTACTGAACTGCCCCAGACCCCCTTTTTGCGGTGGTGGGGTGCGGATACGGGGGGGGATGGGTATGAGACCACTATTTGACGTCTCAAGCACTTACTTAAGCGAACTGCCTTATGATTTGTGAACAGTATATCAGAGTTTATCGTGCGTGCCAACTTTCGGTTGAATATGGATAAGGTCAACCTTAGAATTAATGCACAGAGTAAGGCGGGCGCCGCTGGACAAAACATAAAGAATCGCAACGGAACCATACAAAAGTGAAACTGCGCCCAAAAAAGTCGTGAAAACGGCAATACAGTCCGCACTGCCACGACGCTATATAGGCTGTAGCTCATGGGCGGCTATTCACCTCAGCCTCGATACCCATCCTCATGTCTATTTTGCCACACCAAGGTCAGGCTTTCCTTTCACCAGAGATATGGGACATCATCATCCCCAAGACATCGAGGGCTGGACAGCGTTCCTGTCTCTTCGTTTGCAGATCGTTCTATGGGATAGCAGCGCGAACGTTATTCTCTTCTGTCTACATTCACCTCGGCCTCTGTGATTGGCGGTGGGCTTATCGGACTCGTGCCCGTGAAGAAATAGTGCAGCTGGAACGCGATAACATTACGCGGGCCAGCGCCCTTCTCGAACACATCGCGCACGATGTGGTCTTTGCGTCATATGTCCGGAAGATGGCAGTGTATGTGTTCATCAACGAGGCAGAGGATAGAGTATCCGAAGCGCGACGTGAGCCTATTAGTATCCTGAAAATGCCACTTTTTAGGGTTTCTGACGGTGTCCCGCACAGAATGCTTACTGTCTGCGCTCAAAAGCCTGCACAATCTGACCACGTTCGTGGTCTCCCAATATCGATCGTCCCTCGATGTGGACCAGGAATGCATCGACGCGCTAGCTTCAGCGCATCCGCCGTTGAGAGAACTTCACTTTCCGTAAGCACCTAATATTTCGCACTGGCCGTGGGCTGCATCCTAACATTCCTGGTGGCGCATGCAGCCAGGATGGTCCCATGAATATGACACTGGGTGACCTGCGCTTGGACTCGTTCGACCGTTTGGAGTCCGTTACTTTGCAACTTGAGGCTGGTTACAGAGTCGACGGCTTCACCGGATACGACAGAGAGAAAGAGTTCCTCCGCACTCTCACAAGCGCCCGCCGCGACACGCTCCAGTGTCTGAGAATCGGCGGGAATCTCGCTCTCGATTGCCCCGACGCTCTTGCTCAGGTGCTCCATCTGAGAGATCTCGAGTTACAGTACTCCGAAGGAGTGGACGAAGTGGAGACCATCATCCAGCGCTGTCCCAACCTGCATTCATTTGGTCTTGCGTCGTACAGCGGCGACCATGAGGGCGTCATGGAGATGTTCGCGCGTAACAGCTCGGCTCTACCCCATCTCACATCTTTGCGATACACGGGGTACGATCCGTTGTATGGGAAGACCTTTACCCTCGATGGGCTGGTCGGGTTCGTGAGGGAAAAGGCGCTACTGCGCAGGCTGGACTTTGCCGCCAGTTATCGCTGGGAAGAACTCAAGACGCTATTACCATTCCTCAGATCATCGCAGACGCTGCAGACGCTGGGGCTCTCGCTGCAGGCGGAGGTGTTCCGCGAGGATGATGCACGGCATTTGCAGGCACACTTTCCTTCCCAGATCCGCGCTCTACGCGTGCATGTTTCAATCAAGAGCCTTGAAGTGGACGCGGAAACATGGCACGGGCTGGTCAGTGGCCTCACAATCAGCTTGAACTGAGGATACGGCTAACGATATCGCAGTGGACGCACCTCTCCGAGCTTAGATTTATCTACGTCCACGAGGAACAGCACGAGCGCGGTCCCGTGCTTGACGTCGAGCAGCTGGCCTCGAGAGCACCACGCTTGCAGGTGATCGGCGTCAATGGCCGTTTCAGGGAGGTCGAGCGCAGAAGCGATGGCTCGGTCGCCCTCTCCGCGCCGTGGCCGATGTTCAAGATTGCTACGCGGGATTTCGACTGCGACGACTGGGAGTGGCTCATGTTCGAATCTACACTGCCGCTCTGGGAGGTCTCTGTGTTGAATGGCCCTCGGGCCCCGACGACAGGGCTGATCACGTACTAATAGATCAAATGGTGGGATGGCGGCCGAGGTCGTTGGCGTACGATACCCGCGCTTGCCTTCATCGTTTTCATTGGCAGTTCACAATTACTTGAAACCCGCACAAGGTTGTGGCAGTGTTATGTGCACACGGCGGTGGTTCTTCAAATGCAGAAGAAGGCAAAAAAAAACAGCATATATGATTTTCTACATGCTCGTGGCACGCGTCGTAGCAATGACACCCGCGATGGCATGCGCTCGCCACAATCCCAAGTTCCAACACAGCTGCAGGATCAGAATACCGTGACGCGGGGCCTAACTACATGTTCTATGTGAGGCCCTTTCCCGGACCAGTATTCTAGTTTGTGTGTCGTACTTTAGCAGTAGCTGCCACGGCAAGCATCGTCGCCGGAATGTCTTGTCACAAGCGCCAGTGAAGCATCTAGCAAAGAGCACTGCCACAGCCGGCTCCATAAAGGTAAGTAGCGTAGATATATGTTTCTGACGCCGACGTGAGTCCCCATACTCCCTTTATGTTACGACCGTCTTCCCTTCATTAGAAAGATCGTAATGTAGAGTGGGAGACTACCATACCGGTTGCAAACAGCAGACCGCCCTCGGGGTCGCTGAGGCATTTAACGGCATTCTGCATTACCAACTGTTCCTCCAGATGAAGATCATACAGACGTGCAAGCAATCTGGACGTAGAAAGGCTGCGGAGGATCCCCCCCACATCGTGCAGACCTTCAAGCTAGACAGCATGTAACGAGTACACTATCCTCGCCTATTTATTCTGTCGCGTCGCGCACGCCCACCGTATTAATATTGGCGAGTCCTGTTCGTGGCGCGTTCCCCGTCGGATATCCAGACGCGTGCCATGTCTCTGCGGAACACAGCCAGCGAAGTACACGTCGCTCATCTACTTGGACACGGTGCACAACTAGCGCTGCTCTGTAGCCCTGTGTCGTCTCTAGCATGTCTAGACGCCTGGGACGAATCTGTAGGCTGTCCCTTGGGCGTCTCGCACTTGTAGCGCCGGGGCGCCCTTCCCCGGGTTCCATGACCCATCCTGCCGCCGGCGTCCGTGAGGCCCAGCGTGCTGCGCTCGAAATCCAAACAATGCTCGGGGCGTCTTGGGCTCTGTGCACCTATTGCGGCTATGTGAGGTGCGACAGCATTGCACTCTGACTCGTCCGACGGCACCCCACGGTGACGTCTGTGGGGGCATAAAGCAGGCACAGATAAGTAGAATCCAGTCATATTCGTGGGCAAGATTCCAAGAGGAGACAAAGGAGGAAGGCGGACCTGACATCAGCGGATCTGTCGCTATGTATCATAGGGTATGGGTGCGTCTGACTCGCGCGCTTTGACTGGTCTTCGTGCCTGCTCGGACAGCGACAGGTATGGCAATAAGATTGAGCGCAGCATGCTCACGAAGAGTGACTGCTCTGGCCGGCAACGAGTATCCGCGGGGGAAACAAAGGATACACAAGTAGTACCGCCCCTCTGGAGATCCCGCGCAGCAGTCGTTGGATATCCGGGCACTTGCGATCGGTGTGCCGGTCATACGGTACTGTGCTGAGCCCCGCCTCTGGGGCATGACAGTGACGCGCTGCACAGCCCCGAATTTGACGACGTGCCTTCGACTCCACCAGTGTGACCTTACGTAGATATTGATGCTCCCACTGCGGCACGAATCTCGAGACCGGGATAGCTGCTTGACGCTTCGCCCTGTCCCCGGTCTTGCAGCGAACATGATCGAGTTTGCTCGCAGCATATACATTCCTGTGCTGGATCTTTCCGGATCGCACTGGAATTGTTGTTAGAAAATGCCGACGCGATTAGTCATGCAGCCGCCAGGCTGGCTAAAACGTGTGAGGAGAAATGCCATTCACGACGAGGAAGAGTCAGCCAGGCGTTAGGAGATATGTCGACCATGAGACGGAGCATGTCAGCTCGAGGTCTGCGCAACCCGAGACAGCATGACAGAGACGGGATCAGGCGCGTCCGACGCTTGCATCCCGGAGACAAACAGTCAAAGTCGCGCTGTGCCGTCGGCTTCACGGAGGGCGATGAAGAGCATTCGCGGCAACGTAAATCGCAGCTGTGCGGTGTTGAGTGAGAAGACACAGCTGCACATCGCCTCGGGCGCATCACGTGCACAGCGCGCCGCGGCCGAGCGCATTGCGCAGTCGGGAAAGGGAGTGGGCCGTCGGAGCACTGCATCCTGTCCACGCTGCTACCACTCTCCCGGCCTGACCGCATTCCTTGACTCATCACCGACATGTTTTTCGTTCTGCGCCACGCTTACCACCAATCCGGGGCAACTCTGTCCTACCCCACGCAGCGGTTCCAGAGTCGAGTCATCGCCCCTATATAAGCCCTCAATTCTGCGGCATCCCCAACTCACTCAATCTTCCCCATGACCGTCGTCGTCGCTGCACCCAGCACACACAAAATGACCCGCGTCCACCGCCACCCGACCAGTAGCCCCGGAAACGACGAATTTGCCTTCCGCGCCATGGACCGCGTACTCGCGCGCACCTTCTTGCGCGAGTTACTCCGCCGGCGCGAGCGCCAGTCAGGCGGCCCCGCAAACGCGCCTCGGACATACCAGCCAAGGTAAGCTTCCTACTACGACTGCTGCTGCTCTATTATCAACTTTTCTCCCGCTCCTTTGTTCCATGCTCACTAGCTCTATCCCTTCTTACAGAATGGACCTATGCGACGATCCCGCCAGCCCGCGCGTCGTTGCCATGCTCGAGCTGCCGGGACTCAAGCAAGATGACATCTCCGTCCGCATCGAGGACGGGACGCTCGTCATCCAGGGCGAGCGGCGTTTTCACAACCTCGTGCACCCTTCTGCTTCACCGTCGCCGCCATCCGCTCTCCAGCTTCACGAAGGGAATACGGCGGGCCTTCCCCGTGGTTACCATGCGCAGGAAATCAAGTACGGCATGTTTCATCGCACACTCGCCCTTCCGCCCGGCACGCAGACTGAGCACGTCCAGGCGTCGCTCTCCGACGGCATGCTCACCGTATCTTGGCCGCGCTACCCCACCGAGGTGCCAACGACCGACCGCTATGCCGGCGAAGTGGCCGAATAACTTGCTTCTCGCGGTATAAGCCCACGCCCCGCCCGTATGTCCCATGCGTCAGTCGAAGCTTTTACTACCACAGGATTATCGAAAATTATTGTACGCACCGCTCCGAGCCCTAGCCCTTCCCCTAGACCTTTTCCCACGTTCCCTGTCCCGCCATCCTGGACTATACTTTCCACTCCCTGGATTGCTCTGATCGACCGTCCGTCTGTCCAGATCGCTCTCGCTCTCGCGGCCGCACATATGATGTATCACCACCATCCCATCTCATTTTTTTTCTTTTCCTTTTGCTGCTTTAGCTCATACTAGTCTTAACCTACGCTACTCTCAATCGGTCTTTTCCCATGTAGCCGTCGCCCGTGCATGTCATTATTCGTAAATATGTGTTTGTTCGTGCTCGTCTCACTCTGGGCATTGCGCGTGCAGCGTATGCAATAATTTGTAATATTTGTCTATTCCTGTAAAGTTGGGAGAGATGTCGCTGACAGTGCTTGGTTGCAACAACAAGGTACATACGATGACTGACGTTGGTATGGGTGCTTTCATCTCATCTAAATTCAACCCGATCCGATGTGGTACGCATGATGATTAGTGTGCAAATTATTAAGCAAGTCATGCACATACGTCGCACAGATGCGTTTACAAGACCATGCTCGTCTCGATGTTGCTGCGTCGGAGTATGAACTTGTCGCGGTGACATGCCGTGACGATTTGAGCAACTCTATGCCTATGACACCCTCAAAACGAGTCGTCCTCGCAGATTCGTGCCGGTACAAGTAAAACTCATTGCATTGCACTGAAAATATTTACAGGTGTAAAAAAGGTCTCAACGCATCTATTGACACGAGAATTATCAAAAAAGTCCAGTGCTTCGTGAACCCAAGGCTTGCGAATGCGGCCATGAGCAACCCTATACACCCCATAGTAAATTGTGAATCGACCATTCAATCCAATGCCACCCTGAGGGGACAGCCTAATAGACTCTGCTGTCTGCAACCAAAAGCGCCATGCGGGACCCCAACAACTGTTGACTTTTGGGTATGTCGGGCAAGCGTTGCTGCCGGCCCGGGTCACGTGGTCGTGCGCCGGTGTGGGAATAGGACTTATGTAGGCGTCGCGCGCCGTAGGTAGCCCCATCGGTTTGTAACCTAATCACCCATTGATCCCTGTCCATCGAGGACGTTGTCTGCCGGCGGTCTTTCCGGCGTCGTTCTCACAACAACCTGCTTCGAGTTTTTTGAGCATCTGCCTTGTTAAATAGTATTGAGACATGCTCGATCGTGCAATGGGCGCGCAGTCGGGCATGCCCCGGGCATAACACTGGCCAGCCGTCCTGGTGACATCACCTCCTCACCAGCCGCATAAACCTAGATCACGATAATATATTAGGCAATATTACACCTGCTCTATTTATTCGTACAAAACATGAAGTTGCGCTCTAGTATGTAGGAGCGTGAACTCACCGGACGGATGGTTTTAGGAGCCTGTTCGATTACACGATTTCCCTGTGGACACGATGCCATTGCTGCTGTGCTGTTGACAGTCACAAATAGACACGTTGAATTGCATATGTCGCTAGGAATCTCAAGAGTGAAGGATATCTCTGTTTGCAGCAGATCACGTACGCCAGTGGCACGACTGCCAACGAAATCAAATTGTATACAAGATGGTAAACTTCCCATCCATCCAAAACCTCCTCCTGATACAGTTCGCATGCCGCGGACAGGGTAGAAACTCCCCCAGCCCAAACAATGATCAGCCCTGCAGCTCAGAAGATCGTTCGACAATGTATCTCCCACCATAATACACCGTCCTGAACAACGCATATACATCGTATCCGACCCTGGCAAACCAGGGATCCTCACGCGCCCGTGGTTTCCATGCCCTGTGCACAGCAGACACACGGCACCGTATGGTCTTCCATTGCGCCAGTGCTTCTGCCGCAGTCGGCCTCGACGTGGGCACTTCCTGCGTCATCGACCGGATCAGAGGTAGGAAGAAGTCGACGTTGGAGAATTTCTAGGGGCGCCGCATGGTGAATCAGGAGCTGCGTGTCACGGTTCAGCACACGGGGCACTCACGTCGTAGAAATAGCGACGGAAGAAATTGCCGAGGATGAAGATGTCGACTTTGAATGGATCGTATGGGACGGTCTCCGATAACTCGGGAACTTCTTTATCCCTACCGTGCGGCCCGATGGCTAGCTTGGGATGTACGTCTGGTGGGATAAACACGGATATCCCAAAGTCAACGTAGTAATACTTGACCGGCACACATATGCGGGATAGGATAGGTGCTGGCGTGTACCCATCTGGGAGCAGCTCGTCGTACACCGGATGGAAGCTCTTGGGGAACAGCGCTGTGGCCTCCATCAAGATGTTTCTGTATGTGCAGTCCCTGTACATTCGATCAACACGTCTGTAAAAAGTTGATAGTGGGTGACTACCTATGGGCCACGCCATGATCATGCAGGAACACAAGACCCTGTACTTACATCAGGGTCGTTGGAGATCTATTGACAATGTCGTAACGCACCTCCAGAAGCTGGTCGGCACAATCTATAAGGTTATCCACGGTCTCAAATTCAGGGGAGTCTATGAGGCGCAGGAATGGCATCACCATATACGAAATGCTGGAGTCGACATCGTCCTCGAATAGGTCCAATATTGGAACGCAATGGTTCGCGGGGTTGTCGCGAAGAGGTGGAGCACGAAGCAGAGTAGCAATTGTGGATTCTGCATCATTTGTCTTGACTCGCTTGATGTACACAATTTGTCCGCCCTCGATCCTAGTCGCATCTATTAGGTGTCTCCGAATCTACAGCCACGAAACAAGCTGATGGTAATAATCAATCATCACCTCAAATTTGTTCGCTTACCGGAAGTCGAATATGGTCCTCAAAGTCTATTGGATGCCGATTCGTTCCCTTCCATGAAGGCACCCATCCGGGACGGTACCTCGGTCGTAGCATATACCCACGAGATTGAAGGAATGGCTGACGATCTCTCCACGCTTTCTCCCCTTCACCAAGCTGCGCGAACAGCTCCTGCGATGATTGGATCTCTGCCTGTTCTTCTTCTGGGCCCATGTTCAGTTTGAGCTAAGCGGACGTCGTCGATGTGCAATTCAGTCAAAGGCTGCATCCTTGCTCAGAGTCGTGATGCTTTCGTGGCTGATGGGAAAGTACTCGTGACCAGAATTTGAATTTGCCAAACAGCGGCCAAACATGGACCCACCACTAGACTCCGAGCTTTCCACGATGAATGCGGCGACAAGGTCAGCTTGCGGGAGCGCTGCGTAACGAAGATCGTTAGCTTAAGGCTCAACATGATGTCGTCTCGTGCATTGCCTTGCTTCAGAGCATCGATTGGCTTGCCGCGCGGCGTTCTCAAGGCCACTGAGAGATATTCTTTGAAGGTAATACTTAAAACACTGTTTTCCCCACCCTGCCGCACAGTCACTTTGGCGATTGTCCCGCACCTCGGTTTTGCGCCCTTCTCATTTATGATATGACAGAACAACCCACTGGTCTAGTAAAAGACACCTTTTTTCATGGACTTGTGACAGCCGCCCTTGCCACACTCAATAAAGCTTTGGAATACTACTCAGCTCCCGCAATCATCGAAAGGGCGATTGATACACTCGATGATATGGAACGTTACATAGCTCGCATCAAAGCTGAAGACGTGCCTGGCCAAGAGCTTGACGAGAAAACGCGCAGGATCCTCGACGACCTGCGGGAGTCAATACCCAAGTATAGTCCCAAGCCATTCTTGTAATTCTTGTCGTTATCTTATTCAGTGCGAACCCTAGTATGAGAACAGCCATACTTCGCCTGTCTCTAGAGGGACGCGGTGCCTCTCTATACAGTCAATATTCGCCTGCGTGGTGCGGGCTGAATCCTCTCAAGAAGCGCATCTACGCAAACAAGAGGACTATTGATCTGATGCGTCAAGACCTACTTGTGAGTCTACTAAGCTTTCTGCCCTTCTGGTGCTTGATAGATACATACCAGGCGAGTACCGAGTCGCTTCAACATTCCAGTAGTCCCGACAAAATATGGAATATACATAGCATTGACATGTCGACAGCCGCTATAAAGTCCAACTTCCGTACGTAAATCTCAGCCACTCAGAACTTGACCCGGTCTAACGCCAAATAGTCGCAATGCTCAATTGGTTGGCGGAAGCTCTGCCGCAAATGCCACTGGATCCAATTGAACTGCCGCACCTCGTGCGGGAACCAAACGATATCGAGAGCAATCCTGTACAGAATGCTCCTGGACATCAGTCCGATCGCTCTATCCACAGCTTAGAGTGGACCGCTGAAATCAATACAGAGGTGACATCACTGCGCTCTAGAGCGACAGGCCGCACGGGTGCTTTCAATCCCACTGGTTGTGAGTGTTTCTTGCCTCGAGCACGGAAACATTTCTCAGTGAGCCATATTATAGATAATATGGTGTGATCACTAACTACAACACAATATGTACGCATTGATCTATTCGAGTATATCGAGAGCTATTCACGATCGCATCCGTTTTCCGTATTGGTAATGTAACGCAGTACTATGGCGTGTTTGTTAGTCAGATGGGTTTTAATATTGTGATTGTACCGTGCATTGTATCCTCACTGAAAGCACGCGTATAACGGTATAACTGCCTGCTGGTCAAAGGTCGAGGGCGGCCAGGAGACGGTCGGGGTAATACGGCCCGAGGGCAGATGAGAACAGGACCCCGGCTAAGAGCTCTGATCCCGCGCAGACCCCATTTCGGGGTAGATAAGATACCGTTTGTCACGATCTAAGCGTGAGGATTTCAGGCACATTGCATATTTCGATGTATCTTGGGGAGAACTGTCTACTCACCGATTCTGGGAGGGATCAATGACAAAATGATTTCGTAAAACGCAAAATACTGCCAAAAGTGGGTCATTTTTAGGGTCATTTTCGGGGTTTTGAGGGATCAGACGTCTGGGGGGACTTTCCGGGGTCCTAGCAAATCAGCATGGACGCATTGCCCTGACGGCGGCATACTGTGGAGTACGGGGTTTTGCAAAGTCGATCAATTTTGCAAAACACCGTGATCTCGTCTTCTACCTTTAAGACTGTACTTCTGACACTTGTATGACATTATAGACATACATTGTAGTCTACTTGTGAAGCCGATTGAGGAGAAATAGATTTGTTGTGGAATGGGAGCCTTAAGACACTTTGTATGGCTTTCTGCAAATTCTTGATAAGACAGATGTACAGTGATTATGAGCCGTTGTCCCCAATCGGACATCCGATTTAGTATGTTCCAACCATGCCTTTCTTGATCCTCCAGCCCGATATGCTGTCAATAGAGTGAATCGCGGTGTGTGGATGGTTTGCAAAATGAACGTGACATTCCCTGCCACCATGCGTGATGATTCAATCCCCGCCCTCAAACGTGATTGCAGATGACACGCTTGGTCGCGCTGTTGCAGCTTCTGCCACGGCGGAGTTTGAACTTGCCGGCGTGACCCGTGAGTGACAGAGTTTGCAGAACTACCGCACTTGAGCTGCTTCCAGCCGGCACCTCTCTACTGCTCGCAATTCATCATGGATTTCCTTGAAGCTTGGTATACGAACTGCCAGGACCATTAGGAATGATGCCTGATTGGTAGAACAGTAGCTATTTTGCTCGCTTGAGCACATAGGCCCAGGCATCAAAATGTTTTGCAAAACCCCGTACTCCACAGTATGCTACCCGACAGAGGAACATGCTGAAGCCAGGATACCGGTACTTCAGTGATCGTCAACGGCGAGCTGTCCTATCGATGGCTCTTGGCTAATTCAAACGCGGACGCGTTTGTATTACGAGAGCAGTGTGCTGATCTGGCTCTAAGGGCGCGGGGCCCAGCAGGGGCGTGCCGGTGAAATGCACACAGCATTGGCTGCTGAGAACACCATGTTCTTACTAAGTTAGCAGCCAATGCTTTGTGCATGATGATTGCGCGCGCACTCCTGGGAGGCACCGGTGCTTCTACGGTGCGGCCAATATACAAAGTAACTAGCCAGAAGAAGAAATGGTAATCCACCCAGCCGTCCCTGCAGGTCGCTCACTCGATGCCAGCATATCGTACGTCGGCATGACCTTCCAGCCATCCCATCCACTGCTTGAGAAAACGTCCTCCATGCTGCAGAGTAGACGAGTCTCCAACAATGCACTGGCACCATGATCAGCGGCCGCGTCACCTGGAACAGACAGCAGACGCACCAGATGTCGCCTTGCTCTCGTCATGGCAACTACGGAGTGGATGATTAAATTCATGTCATAGGACGAACGTCATATTGCGCACCATTCAGTCTTCGCTTGTCCTTCAGGAACCCAACCTCGCGCTACCCAGACTCAATCAGCGTGTGCGACGCTCAACACGTTGCACAACACCCACCGTCTCGTTGCTTCTGACAAGGCTGATCACGATAGCCTCCTTCTCCCGGCCCTGCATCCCGTCCACCGTCCCGATCTCGAGATCAGGACCGTAGACCGGCCGCAGCAGTGTCGTCAGGAGCGACACTTGCGCCTGATACCTGTTGTCGTCTCATCAGCACATTCACCCTACGCCTCCAACAACGTCACCCACGGTGTAATAATGGCAATTTGAGACGGCAGGATGCCTGCTCCAACCTCGCAGGATGTCAATTCGACTCACGACACAAGATGACGCCCAGGCTTACTAGCTGATCCACATGGTTCTTGACCACAGTTACTTCGTTTTCGTTGCACCGACTGCCCTCGTCACCGTCTCCCTCGGTCCGCTCGTAATATTCGCATCCTGCCGTGTCAAAGAACACGACCGGCGTGCCAAGAACCTCCTTCTCGTCCTCATCGTTCTCCGCTCGTGCGTTGGGCAGATCGCGCAGGAGGTGCGAGGCGACGGACGCGTGTGCTGCAAGCTTGTTCTGGTACATCACCTTCGACGGGAACGCAGCGATCTGTTCGTGCATTCTGCAAATGTCAACGCAGACTCTCAGATATGTGCTCCCATCGTCTGTATTGTCTGTGGTGTAGAGACGACACGTACCGGTACTGCACATTCAGCATGCGCTTGATCCCCGGGCCATACATCTTCTCCAGTCTGTCGAACAGAGTTGTCTCTAATGAGCGGGGTACGTGAAGCTCCGTCCGCCTCCCGCCGTCACTGCGGGCCTTCGCTTGCCGTGTCGTAGCAGCCTCACCTGCTACATCGTTCTCCGCGTCGTCATCTGACCCTGAGCTGTCGCTGCCGTCGTCAGACTCTGTTGATGCGCTGTCGGGCGGCATTTCTGTCTCATCTTTGCTCGCTGCAGGCAATGGTTCAGCCGTCTTTGGGGGCTTGACATTCTTCTGCAATTTCGGAGTCTGCGCCTTCTGTGACCCGTTGACATGTCCCTTGGCCTTCTCAGTTTTGCCAGCTTTCTTCTTTCTCTTCTTGTCAACAGCAAGAATCGTTGGTGGTAGCTGCATCGGATCCCCGGCAAGGATCAACTTCTTCGCCTTGAATATCGGTATCCAGCACACCTATAGCCAGGTCGCAAAGTCAGTCATCCGCTCTCAGCGATAACATCTGTATCTCAATCACCGCTTCCATAGCCTGCGTCGCCTCATCAATGACCACAACATCGAACTGATGATTGCGCAGCTGACGACCGCCCGCAGAGTAGCATGTCGCAATGACCACCTGCAATGCACGACGGTCATCATCACCATCATAGATTCTAATGTCGCAAACGGTGACTTGCCTGCGATTCGCCGAGGACGGACTCTACCACCCCGCCTTCGCGTTGCCGATATCTGTAACGTTGTTCTGATTAGCCCGACAGTGGCCCACGGGGTAGTGCATAGACTGACTCTTTACGCAGCGCCTTCACCTCCTCCCACATCTTCTTCCGCTCCGCTCCCCGTGGCCCCTTCCCTTTTGCGCCCTTGCCTTTCCCTGACAGCATGTCCAGTGCAGCCTCCAGCTCATTCTTCACGTCTTTCGCCAGAGCAGCCTGCACGTTTCCAAATCAATCAGCACGCTTGGCACATACAAAGCTACACGACGACGAGCATACCTGGTCACTCCGACTGGCCTTGACCTCTAGCGTCGCATCCAGTACGCCCTCATGCGCCATGATACGCGCTGGATGCCCAATCCGCGTCGCCCTCAGCTTCTCACTGCCCGTCCGAGAGGGTAATGCAAGAAGCCGCTCCAGGATATTGTCCACCGCCAAATTCGATGCACCACATATCAGCAGGCGCAGGGGGCGCGCATTGTGCTCGGATACCGACGTGAGCTGACGTATGATCTCGATCAGCGTGTGTGTCTTCCCTGTCCCTGGCGGCCCATGGATGCAAGCCACCTCTGGCGACTCGAGGGCGAAGCGCACAGCATCCTGCTGGCTGGAATTCAGACCGTCATCAAAGAACTTAATGTCTCTCATTGGCACGCGTTCTGACGGTGCCTGCATCCCCATCAGCACACGGATGAGAGGCGTGAGTCTCGGCGCAGACTGGTCACCCGCCTAGATATCAATATGTTATGCGTCAGTCCTGGAGAAAATCTCGTCCCAGTGGGTACTACATACAGGGTTACTGCCCTCGGAGAGCACTACTTTCTCTAGCTGATCCAAGGCTTTGTCCATTCTATGTCCACATTGAGAGCCGAGAGCCTTCACGCAAATCTTGAGAAACGTACCTATCATAGGTCACGCTGTTGGCCAATTTGACCACCCGACACCTTTCAGGTAAATCCAGATTGTCGCCGCTAGATTCTGATGCATCCAGCGCTATTACGATTCGAACATCGGATACCTTGCATATATTGAGCTCGAGGACTCGTGGAATGGCTGCCGTCATACCTTGTATATGACACCCTCTGCCGCGCGGCGGTGCGATCCATCACTAGCATCCGTCTTCTTGCCTTTAGCACCACTCGCCTTCTTGCGCGAAGAATCTGCGATATGCTCTTCGACGCGTGCGAGATCTCCGGGCCTGCTCCCTTAGTGCAGGCGCTGTACTTAGTGCACTCTAGACGTACCTCAGGGTATGCGGAGGGAAGAGTGGTGATGAGTGGTATGCTGTCGGCCGCTCTAGCTCGACGAGTCTGAGATCGAGGTCCTTCGATGTAGTCAGCTCTCCGGGGACAATCTGCGCGTTCAGACCGCTCACGTCTTTGCTCCCAAACCTATGTTGACATTGACGACTCCGAGGCCGAGAAGTGCGAGGCCTTTCTGCTCCAGTAGTCTCGGACTACAGTTTGAGAGCAACAGTGAAGACCGTTGTACTTCAGCGTCGCGCTCTTTGGCCAGTAATATGCGGTGCTGCGCAATAAAGGCACGAATTTCGTCTTCGCTAGTCATTATACTTTGAAGAGATTGAGCAGCTTGAGACTCAGTATTGGGTGTTGCTCAGATCGTTCACATAAGCGCGCGTTTGCATGATCGGATCTGAACGTGATTTTGCCTCAATGGGACATCCTCAAATGCCGCTCACGATATTACATTCAGAAAATAGTGAGGACAGCCTGTAATACACAAAACACTACACCCAGGCAGCTATTAAACAAGGTTTACAAAGAGGGTTGGTGCGAAAAGTACACATATCATTTCAAGGACGAGCCAGCGCCACGCAAACGACCACATAAGCGGTGCATACCAGTAGGACGGAATGAGACCTCAATATTCCTCCACCTCGGAGAGAGATGCATACTCTGACACCGTCTGGTCGTCGTCGTCATAATACTCCTGCACCACCTCCCGCATGGCATATCGCATGATTGGCGTGATGGGCACCAGCTTCGGGCCAACGACGTCTTCCTCGAACTCCTCCGGTCCGTTATCCATCAACCGCTCGTTCGCCCGGATGAGCTCGTCCTCGTTCATCGGTACCATCTCGCCCTCCTCTGACGGCACGACGTCGCCGTAGTCGTTCACTGCCGTGGCGCTGCTCCCTGCCGCGAGCTGCACGCGGACGCTCTCCCGGACGCGCATACTCTCGCGCAGCCGTGCGCTGTCCCGGATCCGCGTGCTGTCTCGCAGACGCATGCTCACTGCCCGGCCGTCCACGCCCTCCTTCGTGATCGGGTCCGTCCACCTGAGGTCCAGGATCCGCCCGCGCACCATACCGTCCACCGCACGCACACCCATCTCGCGGCAGAGCAGGAAATAGGGCAGCGAACGCGCACCCGGCTGCGCAAGACGATTCATCACCTTCAGCAGCTGTATCGCCGTGAAGTCCGCACGGAACTCCGGCGCGTCCTGTCCATCTCCGTTAGTGGCCCCAAACGTTGATGGTGCTGCGTGGGGGTTAACAAGAGGAGAGTAGATACGGAACCCGTTATTCGAGCCGGGCGGAGGGGAGAGCCGATGGATCGCACGCTGCGACCCATCATGGGTGTCTGGATCGGGCGCGGCCTCGCCAGCGCCTTCCGTACCAGAACCACTAGGGCGAGGGGGAGACTGGGCCGAATGTATGATGTGAAGGTTAAGGAGCGCATGCGCTTGCAAGAAATGGGAGCTTTGTTTGACTGCGAACGTATTGAGCATCTGCGAATATGAGTGCCGAGGGTGTGTGTGAAACGCACTGTCCAGCTTTCCGTTCGCGTTGACTGCAAAATGTGTGTCAGCGTGGCACACACTGGTATGCACAGCAATGCGACTGACTGTAGTCCGTGATAAAGTCCTGCCAGTGTGCCAACTTTCCTCCGAAAGCTTCAAAGAGGCGTTCAAAGTCCAAGCCATAGCGGAGCGGCTCAGGGACGATAGGTAGAATCCTCTCCCGGAAAAAGCGTCTTGTGTCCCCCTTCGAATAATCGCCAATGGTGATGATCTGGAAGGGAAGGTCAGGTGTATGATCCGCCTGATGCGGGGCATCGTGCATACCTTACAGTGCTGCATTACGTTCAGCTGCCGCAACCACGTCTGATAGAATGGATCGCTCGTCGCATGTATGACGTGACACAAACGATCCTGCTTCGTGAGCACCAACATGGCATCCAGCAGCGCCTTCATAGCGTCCACCGAGCGTATCAGCGCCGGCCTGTCATGCGGCCAGGGTACGCTAGCATTCAGCAGACATATCTCTGAGTCAAGAAAAAAAAACTGACAACTTATGCGCCTCGTCAATGAAGAAAACGGGGATCTTCTTCACCGGTGGGAGGCGCTCCTTCTCCTTGCCCTTTGTCTCATGCCTTGCATCACCATTCATGGTTTCACGCCCAGCGTCACTGGCCTTCGAGTCCGCGCGCCTGCTGCGCTTGCCAAAGAGCTTCATCCTCCATGAGACCCGGCTGTCGCGCGTACGGTCGCTCCTAGTGGAAGTGACGGTGTCCGTGCTCGCCTTCCGCAGGGGTGTCTTCGACGACGACGCAGCCGAGAGGTCAGGCTGGAAGTTCCAATAACGCAACAGGGAGCTCTGCCACAAGCTGCTCGTCAGCCCGCCAGTTTGGCGTCGATCACGTACAGACTCGCCTGGAACAGCTCCATCAACCGTGCGACATCGCTCGTCTTGATCTCACCCATGCTGGTGTGCGCAAGGGTTTCCCCTGATTGAGTCGAGCTCGCCATGCGCCGTTCCACGTTGAGTCGATCGTGCTGGACGGAAAAATGACAGTCCGATTGGTCAGTTGTCATGGGCAATGGAAGGCCACAACATCGTGCTTTTCGGACACACGACGCATACAGCCTATAAAACCCACATTGCAACCCACTACTCACCTTGAATGCCCAAGCTTCCTTCTCAAACTCCTTGTAGCCAGGCATTTCTGGATCCTCAGCAATCGCCATGAAGTACGCCTCCATTTGTTGACTGTCGAGTTATGTCATGGAACGTGAAAGCTGCAGTTAGCCAGGGACACTCACTTGAGACTCATGTATAGACTCGCCAGGTCGGCGAATCCAGCGATACGAAGATCGAAATGCAGAACGTGATACTTTGAACGGGTAAGGACTTGGCGTAAAAGGGCTGTCTAAGGGAATAAGTCCAACCCTGAATATCAGAATACTCTCGACAGGATGAAACAGGCACTCGTGCGCGCCACCGCGTTTTATAGCGGCAACAGGTACTACTCGAATACTGACGGTCAAAACTCACCTTTCCAACACTGCTCGCACCGAAGAGCACAGTAAAACTAGGTTCTCCCTGTAGTGCGCGCTCTATAGCCTTAAGCTCAGCGGGCCTATCGAAGAAACCGGGTAGCGGCGAGAACGTGTGCGTGGGGCTCAACTGAGCACGTTCTCGTGCTTCAGCCAACTCCTGCCTAGCCTCTGCTAACATTTTCTTCGATTCTGTGAGCGAACGGAGCGTTTCCGAGGGCTGGATAGTCAGCGCGTGAGCTTGCATGGTAGAGGTCAAAATGAAAGAGCGTTTGCTGCGTACATTAGCGAGCACACCCAGTATCTCTCCAATACCGAAGAAATTGCGCCTGTTGACGTCGGCTGGCATGGGCATGCCGCGGCGGCGAGGAATGTTGGAACGGAAAAGCCAGTGGATGTGGACCCTCGCTGTGGGTGCCACGGTGTGCAAGCTCTGTCTGCGCGAGGACGGATTCGACGACACATACGCCCGCGGACGTGGACGGGGCGTGGTGGACTGCAGGCTGTTAACAGCTGGCTGTTGACTCGAGGTCGTGCGCGTGCGTGCCATATAGATATTCACAGTGCTTGTGCTTAGATCAAGGGGTATCGTCAAGGAAGACGGATAAGAGATGGAGTTCTGTAGGTGATAGAGGAAATAGAAGGAAGAAGCGGGCGCGGTCGAGGAGAGATGAGATTTTGGGCAGGTCTGCGCCCTGCAGCTCGCTAGCGGATGGAGCTTGCGCGATGCGCGCGGCCACTGCCACGCCCTGTGTGATGTTGAAGGCATGCATGGCTTACGAGGGTGCTTACCGGCATTTTCACGAAATGAACGTTCCAAACAATGCTCCAAGCACGTTGCGGCGGCGGAGACGGCCGGATTAGGGGAATACGCACAGATCAGATCAAGTCATATGCGTGCATGCAATAGGTATACGATTATTTCTAGTGTAATGCAGATAAAGAGATACCGTACAGAGTCAAGGTATTGTGAGGAGAGCTCGAATGTAAGACGATCAAGTCGTCCAAGTATTCTTTGTAGGTATTTGCTCCTGGCGCTTAATGCCTCTTCGCCGTCACTTGATTCGAATTCAAGCTTTAGCCTTGTCAGCGATTCATTTCATGACAAGGGGGTGTTTCAGAAACTCTCTTGCGCAGAGATTACTGCCGAATTGCCTGCCATTGCGGCTACCGTATAGCACCTGCGCCACAAGCGCGTCTTGGGCGCTTATACGTCTCTCGACGCGTCCACACATGTTCGCGCAACCTAATGACAGGTCATACCACGAGAGGAAGATCATTTCTGCTGCACTATACTTTCGACGTGGACTGGTTCCCACATATTCTATACGAGCAGCGCCAAGGAGAAATCAGTGAGTAGCGTGGTCGAGGCTTGACTATGACCAATACGCCTTATGTTTATCAATGGCTGCACGGTTGATACGAGGCATCTGTGATATAGTTCAGTCAAACGAATTACTACAGCGCAGGATTAATCGCGGGTATTCCATCTTAGAGGTATTGTAAGTAAATCAACCTGGCAGACGCGTGCCGAGTCCTCACCAAGGAACTGATATTGAATTGACGGCACCAGCATCATTATGATGTCTCATGCGGCCGAGAAATTACAACAGAACTTGCGAGAGCGGCCCCATCTGCGTGCAGGGACCGTGTCTTGAGTCCCTTTTCTCATAACATACAGACAGCATTGCTCGCTGACGCAACACTGCATCCTGGTGGCATTGCGGATGCGTCAGCCACGCGTTCTGCTACCGCAGTATGCTGTTAGCACGTCCCTCGCGGATCCCTGCGTCTGGCGCATGCCGCAGCATATTCCACATTTTCGCAAAATAGCGCGGCACCGAGTAAACACGTTGCTCTCAGACACCGAAATTCGTCGGAACCGGTGCCATTGCTCGAATGGGCTAGTCTTTCTGACATGAGTCTTCGCATGTGAGGACAGCCACATTGACACGATGGGGGCGACTCGAGCTCACCGGTAGACGGACACCTGATTGTACATCTCAGCACCCATTGTCCAGCACAGCAATGTTTGCACGTGGGACGTCAATAATGCAAATGTTAGGCGTGGAGGACTCCTCCCTGCGAGGTGAGACAATAGTTGCCATGGTGATGAGGACGGCCACTAGAGACAAAGGAATACTCATGTTGCTGCGGCCAACGGCGCAAGCGAAAGGTCGCGCCTTTTGTTCCAAAAAGCAGGTCTAACAGTCTGGGAACCATATAATTCATGGGACGGCGACAATTTCAGGATGCGGAGGTATTAATGGGGTGACAATTGTAATGGAAAGTCCTACAACAAAAACTCCGATGCGTTAGCTATCAAGATACGTACCGCAGGGAATCTTCCTCGTATTTGACGTTGGTAACTCTGAACCCTCAGAGCTAGACACCCAGGGATACATATTTGTACTGCTGGACCGATATCGAGACAAAGTGGAATTCTGATTGGCACAATAGGCATGCTCAATGCGCCTATTTGAATCTAATGAAGAGGTAAATTTCATAATATATGTCGCCGATCATGCATGCATGAACACCCACTTATCAGCCCAGTTCATGAGGGCCATCACCGCGACTTGGATGGAACAGACTGTCAATGCAAGCGTTGTTCGCATTGACGAGGTTGTTTGCGCGTCCTCCTTTGCGTTTACCACGTACCAGGTCATCTATGATCTGTTTTGAGGCACCTCTAGTCAGCAACTCAGAGTCGCCTTGAGTACATTGGGTAGGGCTGATCGACGCATGCCACAAGGACATTACGGGCCCCGATACGGTTTATTCAATCGACGATGTTGCCGATAAAGAATGCCAACCGCGCCTATCCGATAATCAGCACCGACTTGGCCCATCGCCGGCCGTCTTAATTTGTTCTGAACAAACCCCGGTGGAGTTACATACTCCGCAGACCAATAACAGGACATCCCCGTCCCAAATTGCGTTCGTCCGAACCGACGGTCATACCTGTTTGGATGTCTTCGAGCGTACATTACATCGCTAGATGCTTCTCGATTGCGTCCGCGGGGCGCCGGCCTCGCAACAATAGGGACTACGCCGGCAGAGCAGGGAACAACTGCTCTGACCGTACACACTGTCTTCCAGAGTTGAAAATCCGAGGCGAGGTTGTCTGGATGGGCTGCGACGCAGGTATAATGCGAGTTTCCAAATGCAGAATACGTAATTGGGGTTTGGGGGGACGTTCGGAGTCGAAAGCTATGCAAACCTTGTACAGCAGAAGTCAGGAAGGCATCCGCACCCACGGTCCGCAGGTCATCGGCGAAGGAGTCAGCGTTGGTCCGGGATGCGCCTGTGGTTTAAGTTGTGCGACAGCTATCGACAAATTGTAACCTGGCATAATTCTGTACAATCCGTTGTCATTGTTCTAGCGGGTCAGCGGGATGTCAGAAACCTGGAAGTTACCTTGGCAATGACTCAGAACGAGCTTTCATTTCGTGCGCGCGAACCACCGCGAGTGCAAGGCTGTGAGGGCGTCATGTCACGTGGCAAATGTAATTGTGCTGCTTGCCTTTCTGAGCATAAGGCCACGTACTCTGTAATGTTGCTGAGTTTCCGTCCGGGAAATCGTGGAAATGCGGCGATATTTGTTCTGGTGTTGCACTGGGCGTTGTCCGCACTTGCGGGGATCAAATAGGCCGCGAGGTGCGGTCCCACCTTGACTCAATCCCCCACTTGCGCTATTCTCAGCAAGACGCGACTATCGCAATCACATAGCGAACACACGCACAACACAGTATGAACAGAGGAGGAGATCGGGGACGTGGCGGAGATAGAGGAAGAGGACGCGCCGGCGGCGGAGGGCGTGGTGGAAGCTCTGGTCGGGGCAGTCCCGCACCAAGCGAAGCATCGTCCCGAGGCCGCGGTGGCTATCAAGACCGTGGCGGCGGCGGCGGGGGCTACCGTGGCGGCGACCGTGGTGGTTTCCGAGGAGGAGATCGCGGCGGCGACCGTGGTGGTTTCCGAGGAGGAGATCGTGGCGGCTACCGAGGCGGCGACCGTGGCGGTGGATTCCGTGGCGGCGATCGTGGTCGGGGCAGAGGTGGTCCACCTCGGGAGCCAGGCGGGTGAGTCCAGTCTTGCCCCCCGTCCGTCGGGATTGTTACTTACCTTGCCACATTCGGTAGCGTCTTCCTTCCTAACGAGCCCGCGACCGTCGACCAGCGCCTTACGGATGGCACACAAGACTCCCTCGTGTCGGCGTTGCGTTCCCTAACCCTCAGCGACACTGACTTGCCTACGCGTCCGGGCTTTGGTACCACCGGCACCCAAATCAAGCTGCGCACCAACTTCTTTCCAGTCAAGGTGCCCAAGGGGCCACTATTTGAGTATGATGTCGCCATATCGCCCGCAATCAGCGTCAAACGAGTCAAGCGGCGGATATTCCAGTTGGCGGCGTTGACAACGGAATGGGCAGAAGCGGGAATGCAAGGCAAAGTCGCACACGACCACAGCAGCAAGATGATCTCCTGCTTTCAGCTTCCTCAGCCCCTGGTCATCAAAGTGGACCACACTGATGAGGATGAAGAAGACGATAAGAAGAAGTCGAAAGAATATACACTCACAATAAATTTCACTCAAGAGATCGAAACGCAGAGCCTGACTCAGTGCGTGTCCATTCTTCTTACTTCCCTCCTCTCAGAGGATGCCAGATGTCTTGAGATTCGATATACTAGAATGGATCTCCGTCCAGTATGATCGTCTGCTCAAGAGTCTGGCCTTTCTTTTGAGTGTTCACCACCAACTTTCTGGTTTTCCGCGTTTTCGTGCTGACTATTGCTTGTATAAGGTATCTGGAGGGAGCTCGTCAGTATCGTGGCTACGATATCTTGCCTGTCATAGCGGCCTTGAATCTTATTTTGGCTGCACACCCGAGCAATCCATCTGGTGGCGGCGTCATGGTGGGCAGGAACAAATTCTTCCATCCCTCAGCCGCGCATCCACCTCTTCCCTTGGGGGGCGGACTAGAGGCTTGGCGCGGATTCTACTCCTCAGTGCGCCCCGCGTATAAGCAGCTCATGGTTAATGTCAACGTTTGCACCACCGCATTCTATGAAGTTGGGAACCTTGCGCAGAAGATGCAGGAATTCGCAAGCGCCAGTTTCGGCGCCAGATACAATGCGTTCGCGAAAGGTGTGCGCATCAAAGCTACACATCTTGGGTACACGAAGAGCATCAGCAAAGTGGCCGAAGTCAATGCACGGCAACACAAGTTCAAGACACCCGAGTATGGCGATGTGACCGTCGTCCAATACTTCGAGCGCAGTGAGTGCCCATGACGTTGCTCTTTCGTTGTAATCTCGATTCTGATCGAATGAACCCAGAATATAGCATCCGTTTGCGCTATCCCGACCTACCCCTCGTCGACGTCGGCGGCAAGAACTCAAAGCAACGCAACCTCCTGCCTCCCGAAGTTTGTGAGATCCTGCCCAAGCAGCCCTGGCGGGGAAAGCTCACCGAAGATCACACTGCTGCCATGATCGGTATTGCCCTGCAACCCCCAAATGTCAACGCGCGCGCGATCACCGAGCGCGGATTGGATGAGCTTGGGTTCAAGACCGGCCCTGACCCACTCAAGGCTTTCGGCGTGAGCATTGGGAACCAGATGGCCGTCGTGCCCGGGCGTATCCTGCACCCGCCTGTCCTCCGCTACGGCCAGGGCTCGCCTCGCGTCGACGAGCGCGCCAGCTGGAACCTTCGAGACGTCAAGTTCGCCGTGGGCGGCCGCCTGGACAGGTGGGCCGTGCTGCTCATTCGGGACGGCAACCCCCGGGACGAGTTCCAGGGGCCGAACGACCCCGAACTGCGCTTCGTCGTAAAAGGCTTTGCAGACATGTGCCGCAAGTCAGGAATGAATGTCGGACGAGAGGACCCCTCGTTTGCTGAGGTGCATCTCCCGCCGAAGGACCCGCCCATCCGCAAGCAGGCGATCCAAGCGATTCGGAGCGCGATGATGGCCGTCAAGCCGAAACCGACGATGTTCCTTGTCATCCTCTCCAACGGCGATAAGCACATCTACTCTGGCATCAAGCATCTGTGCGATGTGTACCTTGACGTCGCGACGGTGTGCGTGCACTCCGCGAAGATCCGCAAGGAGAAAGGGCAGGTGCAGTACTATGCGAACGTCGCTCTCAAGCTGAACATGAAAATGGGAGGCGTCAACCATTGCCTCGACCAGCGGAACATGGTCTGGCTCAACCAGGCGCCCACTATGCTGGTCGGCATGGATGTGACGCATCCTGGCCCCGGCACGGTCAAGGGGACGCCATCCATTGCAGCGGTAGTGGCGAGCATCGACAACCAGTACGGCCAATTCCCGGCGACGCTTCGGATCCAGGAATCGAAGAAGGAGGTATGTATCGGCTCTGTGCCCGTCCTTCGCTCTGCTCACGTTCTGTCCAGATGATCACCGAGCTGGCATCGATGATGGAGGAGAGGCTCAAGGCCTTCCAGGCCCGCAGCAAGACTCTGCCGCAGCGCATCCTCGTCTACAGGGACGGTGTGTCAGAGGTACGTGAATCTCTAGTAGCGGAGCGCCCATGTGCTAAGCTAGCTGTAGGGACAATTTGCGATCGTCGTGGCGGAGGAAATGCCTGAGATCAAGAAGGCGTTCAAGAAATTCCACACGCCTCAGAAGCCATACCTTCCGAAGTTGACCATCGTCGTCTGCGGCAAACGTCATCACACCCGCTTCTATCCGACCGAAGCCCAGCATGCGGACCAGCTCGGTAACCCGAAGGCAGGAACCGTCGTGGATCGCGGTGTGACTGCTGTTTACGACTTCGACTTCTTCCTGCAAGCGCATGGAGGTACGTGACAATTCTGTGCAATCAAAATTCTGATTCTGATTTCCGTCTGTCTATAGGATTGCAAGGGACGACCCGGCCCACCCACTACTATGTTGTGCACGACGAGGTTGGCTTCCAGGCCGACCAGCTGCAGGGCCTGACGAACGACGTCAGCTACATGTTTGCTCGTGCCACCAAGGCGGTCAGCCTTGTCTCGCCTGCGTACTACGCTGATCTCGCGTGTGAACGGGGCCGTTGCTATCTTCATGCGCTGCTGCAGGGCCATTCTGACAGTGGGACGACCGCGACGAGTGGGACCGGAGAGGAGGAGGTCTTCAAGGAGGCTGAGCGTATGTGGCACGGCGGAGTCAAGGGCCTGCTGAAGGAAACCATGTTCTATCTGTAATCTGTCTGCGGGATCGGAAGTCCCTGATGTAGCGTCCTTGGAATCATGTGGGCCTTATATGTCCCTGTATCATAGTAGCCGATGTATCATGACTGATAGGTAGGATCTTATGTACTCAATGTATGCCTGGGAATATATATTGTATGCCGTCTTGACTTTGGAGACCGTTTAACGGAGCTACAAGCATGTTGCTGTAGTACACCAAGTCCCAACACCACCCTTACCAGACAGGCTAGGTGACATATGTACTGCTATTTCCATATATGATGTGCAGCTTCATCGGTACACGGATAAGAAGCAACGGTACGGATCCGTACATCTACCTCGTTAACGCGTTCCTCGGCTTCTTACTTTACGCGCGGAGAAGTCTAACTCGAAGGCGAGATTTTCTGGACCCGCTAGTACGTCTGCGTGTTCTTGACATCACTGGGTTTGAGTACGTCCTAGGTGGGAGTAGCCTAGAGCGAGCGACAGATATGCGATTGCCCGCCTTATGAGTGACTGGTGTTCAAACCTACGCACAAGGAGAATGCTGCCGCCGAAGTGAAACTTGTCACAGAACGGAACTCTAAGAAGCCTGACCATCGCGCCAGCGTGATTCGGGGCAAGGTGGTTCCAGTTGGCAACTGGGAGTCTCGATGAGGTTGCGAGAGATCGTGAGTGGGCATGCTCCTAGGACCAGCCTTAACTGTCTCGCTCCAACATCCTAGAGGCCAGTTTTGTGTTTGTTTCCGAGAGGTAATTACGAGTTTTTTCCTACTATAGTAATACATGATTAGCCGACTGAGAGGAGTACGCTATAGGACGGCTGGCGCAACTGGTATGGCCGCCATCACAGAGGTGAGCAGCGAAGAGGTGAGCAGCGCCAAATGCAGTAGAGTATTGGCTCGACCCCGTACTAGGGTTTCATTTACTGGTTTCATTGGAAACATTGGGAACAGGGTATTTCAGTACTGGCACACGTTTCTCTCTTCTCATACAATTACTAAACAATTTGAAGATCTGACTCCTGACATGCTCGGTGATCGTCTGTTGGAACGGTATCATTCATGGATTGTGTGGGCCTGGAACGATTCATATCCAATGTATCGAGAGGCATGGTCAATATTGCCCATTCTGAACAAATGATAGAGAAATGCGTACTGCCGATCGCCTAGCGGTATGTCATCCGGAGATGTAGGGTCGCCCGGAAGATCCATTATGGAAAAGCCGTTAGAAAGGTACTTCTGTCCACTTCTATTAAGATATTGACGGGCGTTGAGTCTGTTAATGATGTGAGGAGATGGCTCTGAACAAAGTCAGGATTACGCACACAGCAAGGAATGAGTTGAAATGGACTATTTATGAGGTAATGGGATATCATCTCAACATCATATCTCCAGATGCAGAAGCACTCACTCTTGCTGGCTGGGAGATGGAAGATCGTCCAGTATAATGCAGACTTCGTCGTTGCGACATACTGAAACCGAGGCTGAGCATAGCCGTTTGATAACGAGCGTCCTCTGTTGAAACTCACAGTAATGATATGCGCAATCTGCACGATCCTACACGAACACCGGGGCCATGTAGTTCGTAAAGCCAAAAAAGAGTCTTAAAAGGCCAGAATCTCACGTTGTCAAACCTCCCCGATTTATGGCATACATTGATAGTTTTTGAATAAGGCGATCAGTCCTGCCGCGATATGCATGAGCATCAATGGATCATCGTAGACAAGTTGAAAAACGTACGCTTTAAACCCGGTTTTTTGCCCTCTTAGAACGAAGAGCAGGGTCACCGTTGCGCAAATATCCACCAAGGTGGCTGTTGATGTTTGTAAGAGGCCGGTCACCTAGACACATGCTCATTATCAGACATACAGATATAAAATAGACGGTTGCATACCATTGGTTGGCTGAATACCGCGGGGAAGAAGGGATGATGGATGCTGATGAACATTTAAATGAGCATGGTGGATATGAGTATGGGTTCCTGCAGCAAGTACCTATAATTGACATTCACTGAATGAACGATTATAAGACCCAGCCAAATGCGGGAAGTGATGAGTGGTACATGCCATAGCCAATTACTTGCGAGCTCTATCGTAAGTTCTCCTTGCACGTAAACGGAACAGCATCCCTTACCAAATGAGCTCAAGGACATAGAGGCCTTATATTGTAAGAGGTCATCATTTGGAAACACTGTGATCAATCAAGGTAGAATACGAACGCACCATGATAATTGTCAGGGGCCATTTGTAGGTGCGGTGAGCCAGTACTTGATTCGCGCTATGATATATATTCCGATCAGACCCACAAAGAGGGTGACTCACGAATCCAGATAGTATATATATAATAACTGAACATGCAAATGTGTCAGGGAAACAGTCCACGGTAATGAGTGTTTCCAACATACCATTGGACAATGAAGATGGTCGGTGCCTGTCCAAAGCGCTCAGCGGTGAGGTTTGTGTGCCCGTATAGTTTAAAATCACCCACAGCAAGCGCATATTCGGACTGCCGCAACATGCCTCTGTCAGTGAGATGAACAATGACTCTGAGGTTGGCGACCGACCGACGCAACGCTAGATGACTATGAGCTTCGCCTATATTCACAGCGGAACCCACTTACCTGAACACGTCGATAAACGTTATAATATCAGTTTTTGTCTTGATTGTGTAATGCCATACAATCTGGGACCTAGTTACTTGTCTGACACAGTTCAACTCTATTGTATGCCGTACCATGGCATCGACGACGGCTGCCGCTGTGTCGAGGAGCCTAGAGGGCATGAGTACCTTGATATGGAGCAGTGGAGAGGAAAGGCGTACCATAGAATAGCTACCTAAAAGGAGCATCATGAGTGAGCCTGAGATTGTAAAGAGATGGAACAACTGTGGCACACCAAGCCTTTCAGAAGTAATTTGTCCTTGGGATACGCTGCAGCGTAGTAAATCACCTGAGCACAGCTCAAACCGTACAATCTGGGATTGGGCATGAGCATAGATTGACGCTGCATCGATGATGGACATGACCAACGCGAGAGCAGCTATCGTGCCGATTAACGCTGGGCCCAGCGCCTCGTTCAATGCAGGTTGAAGGACGATACCATCCGACATACTGAGCTCTGTATCGTTGTGTGAATGTCTGGTATGAGATAAGTTCGCTTTAATACGATCGTTGGAAGACGGTTGCGAAGCGCCAATTTCACGCGATGCTGTATAGAAGTAATGTTAGTTGAGATTGCAGGATATGGAGAGAGCTATGTTCTTGTTAATAATATATCATTTCGCTGAAGAAAGGTAACGACTTATGTAAATCGCGTGGATGTGGCATCTTCTAAGTGCTGTGGACCAGGGTGCGACGTCGTTGCCATCGGAGACACCACACACGTCCGATCCGAACATAATCTGTAAATATCTGTCATGCACCTGCGCAAACGATGCCCAACCAGCGTAGAGAGCGAATTATATGCATGAGAAATTGGTCACGACGATAAATGACGGGTTTAGATAGGAAAGTATCAGCTGTGGTATCTATGGGCAAAGTAGTGTGGGTGAACAGTGACGCGTTTTAAACCGGCGAGTGAACAACATACCGTGGAGACCACATGGATAATATGATCCTTTTCGAACAACGGCTCAAATCAATATGGCTGGAGTAGTCTGATAGATTCCCTGCTCGTCGATTATAATGTCTTCTCACGTAGGGACGCAACAACCGTTGTAGATCGACTTATCGCCATGCAAAAAGTAAGACAACCTGTCCCACGTAACCTCGGACCAGAGCGGGTGTTCCCTCCTTGTGATCATCAGAGGTTTCGTGCGAGTCAAGGAGGCCACAATTATAGATTTCACCGACTTCCATTCTGATGTCGGTGATAGGTCCACTGGACATGAACAGTGTGTCTGTGGAAAGTAATGATTGAGATCCTCGGGACCGACATCATACCCGAGCGGGCTTATGACAGGTGTTATGAGTCCCGTGCTTTCCGGAAAACATTGCTTTCCAGTGAGTTACGTCATGTCCACATATACCCTCAGCAACAACAAGCGCCGTATTTGAAGGCATCTCGGATAGCACAATTCCGAAATCGCAAGGGCATACCAACTGAGAGCGTTCACATCTCGGCGACCAGTCGGCGTAGCTTAGGGCAAACGACAAACGGAAGAAGCCAGACCAAAGTCAGTGAGCTAATGCTATAAAGAACCGTGCACTGTTGATGTGATAGGCTCATCTGCGAATGAGCCAGCAATTTAATCGTTAAACAACATGCGTGAATGAAAACTGGGCTTCGCAAGCGTGGGGAAACGTCACGGAAAACTCATCGCGACGACGGATCGAACCGTCGTCATTTAACGTTTTCATCTTAGACCTGGACATGACTAGAAAACCTGTCACTGGAATCACATATATCGTACATGTCAGTACAATGTGAGGGCGAGAAAACGGGGAACTCGCCTGGAGGACATATCCTCATTTGATGACGGAGGATCCACTGGAAATTCCATCATGGAAAACCCGTTAGAAAGATACTTCTGGTCATTTGCGCCCAAAGAGTGACGAGCATTAAGGCTGTCGGTTATTGTATCAGATACTCCTTCTATGCAGTTGGGAGAATACTTGCACAGCCAAGAAAGAATTGAAATAAACTACATCGACCCATCGGCACCTGTGAATGAGCGTGTGTTCTAAATGTCGCTACTAAATGACCACTTACTCTTGCTGCCAGGAAGGTGAAAAATTACCCAATAGAGTGAATTCTTCTGCAGTGCGATGGACTTGACCCTGTGTTCAACACAACATCGTTCCATCGGCTGTGAAGAACTCACCGTAATGAATTGTGTGGTCTGTACGACACTATGCAAACGAGAATCAACTGTCATGACTGAAACTCGAGTAACGTGGGTTTTTATACTCACGTAATCAAGCCGCCTCTATTCACCGCGTAGATAGTGAGCTTCTGGACAAGACGTTTTCCGTAAAAGGGGGAGCCCACCGTAACCAAGAACTGATAGACTCGACGTGAGTGTTTCAAGTATGGAAAGATCTGGTTTAACCTACTAAACGAGCTCAATGTGAGGAAGCTCTACGCGAAAGGAAAGAATGCACTGTGAGAATCATGAGGGAAATAGGTGATTGGACTTGCCATAAATATCGTGAGGGGCCACTTGTACGGACGTTGACCCAGTACTGCATTCATTCTCACTAAAGAGCTCAGAGCGCACTGAGTAACGCCAAACGTACAGATCCAGATTGTATAGATATAATAACTGCAGACGAGGTCAGCGCGCGAAAGTATACTGTAGAGGTAGACAAATCATAGCCTACCATTGCACAATGAAGATCGTCGGTACCTATCCAATGTGTCCGAACGTCAAGGCATTGGTTGTATAAGACCTGACATGTGCTCGCTGCAAGAGCATACTCGGCCTGAACGTATGTGCTTAACGAACAGTTCGAGTGTCAATGGAAAGAGACGGACCGATGCAACACTGCATAGGGTAGAATATCAATGCCTCGTCCATGTCAACACAACGTCTACTCACTTGAATAACTTTGCAAGGTCAAACACATTGTTTCGGCTTGTGACCGTATAATGCCAAACAATCTAACAAACCAA